TAGGTTAGTTGTTTACACGAACATGATTGGTATGTAACGGCCCTTACATTCATTTCTATAGGACCGACGATCGAGTCCATCAAAAACAACAATACGCTATTGTATCACTACCTGTCCAACGAGAAACAGGTGTTTTAATGAGAAACGCTGATGTCGGAAATAAAGTTTTAATACGTACATGCGAACAGGTCACTTTGTCGCACCTGTAGTTCGATTGCAAAATTTGTTATTGTTGAACAATAAAACACCTAAACTTTCCTATTAGTTCACGTAATGCCTCAATTAAACCTATTGTACACTAATCTTTATATCTCAATCGGCATCGGCCGACTGATGCTATCGGTTTATTTCCGTAATTAAATATGATAAGTACTTTCACCCCAGGTATTTAATGTAATAAAAGGCTTAAGTTTGGTAACAAATGTATCCAAAACTACAGGTTAATAAACCCAATTATTGTAACTTGATTTTAGAGTATTACATTTCACCAGTTTACACACTAATTGTAACAACCTGGTAATGTACACACTCCAATAAATCGTATGTTCGGCAATTGTGAAGCGAAAATGTTAAGAAACAAATAGAAAGTATCTAAACAAAAAAGTAAATGATACATAAGTTATCATCCATATCGAAAATATGTTCTAGTAACGTTTGCCAAAATATCGGACAGATACCCACTCCACAATATCTAACGTCTGTTTTACTGACATGTTGTCGAGTATCAATACAGTATCTACCGAAATTGTTTATATACAATTTCATTTTTATAATTTTATTGTATTAACGGGTAAAATGTCCTACAATGCTGGACATAACTTACAACGTATACACGTATCCACGCTGGCTGCATTGCTGTGTACCTATGTGTGTAATGCTATATAATTTAAGACAAATCTAATTAGTCCTAAATTATACAATTGATGATGTTGCTCCCGTTACACAGAATGGTAATATCAGAGTCCTACCTTTGGTTGTATGTGGAGGTAAATAAATGTTTGAGGTATTATGAGGCTTTGGAAAAACTCTGACTACATGAAATACGTATTATTGTAGGTGTTGTACATTTTGGAATTAAGAACCGACGGCTAAATAAATAATATTATTAATTGCCTATTTTTTTAAACATGAGTTACGTATGCATATAACATTCTTCTTTTTAAATGACCTTAACATTCCAATGTTTCTGATGGAAAGTAATGAATTTCATCCAATAACTAAACGCAGGGCCGGTTACACGGCGAGTATTTCCTGTTTACTTAAACGTCATAGATCAGTCCTGTTTGTTTACATAATCAACTTATTGTTTACAAGGAATAGATACCCGGCTAGATTACTTCTTTCTTAGACAATCAGAACCTATGTCAAAAGATCCTAATCTGACTTGTCACCTTGGAATCCGTTATCAAAACAGATCAACGCGCGTTAAACACACACATCAAGTTGTCACGCGACGGTCGCACGTGGCTTAGACAGCGGTCACTTTCGACAGTGAGGGAAAGTGACCATTTCTGATCTACTCCGTGTCACTGCTTACCTTAATCAGAGACGTATTATACGTCTTTGCCTTAATTGTCAAAAATGGTATAAAAATCGCAATTTCCATCACATTCACCACAATCGTCTCTTTCAATACTCTACAATACAACACAAGTCAACATATATCTTAACGATGGAAAGAACCGACTCTACCGCCAAACTTGTCGACAGTGATCACCTGGGCCTTTTGAGCGACCAGCCTGAGTCTGAAGGTAAATGTTAAACATGCATTATTTGTTAAAGGGAGTTTAATTGGAAAACTATCGGTGTCGAAATTATCAGTCTTATGCAAGACTTATAAGAGTTACTTCCCTTAAATGTGCTGCCCTACGCATTAAATATAATTTGGTACACAAATAGTTTGCTATAGAATTAAGGATATATGCTACCTTACATAGTATATAGGCTATCTTACACATTTACCCGTAATTCGTGATAGAATTAAGGTGATATGCTACCTTATGTATATAAATCTTTCAAATCATACCTGTGATTTATGTAAGAGTTAAGGCGATATGCTACTTTAAGAGCGTGAAAAGTATCAGAATTAAAAACATACACCGCCTTACACTTCACACATGTGATTTATGTTTATGCGATATGCCACCTTACACATTATGCATGTGTCTTGTTAAAATTTACATTTTATACCTGTCATTTGTGTAAGTTAAGTTTTAATGATAAATTACAAAGTATATCTGTAACTTGTAACAAAGTAAAGGATATATGCAACCTTACACATTGTACTTATCATTTGTATTAAAGATATATATGCTACCTTTCATTGTTGCGCTTTGAAAACTTTTAAGTGACATCTAGAACTTGTTTTGGAAACATTACAAATATCCACGACCATAGTCAATGAAAGATTTCTAGATTTAACGGATTCCGTAAAATGAATGTTGAAAATAACTTATGCCCTTTTTTTTTTTCAGGATTCTCCTCTGGCTACGACTCGGCCGATACATCGGACTCCGAATCATCTCCCCCACACGACAACGACGACAACAAAGATGTCGACGACGGAATGGGCTTGGAATGCGACAACATCAGCAGTGATCACGTGAAGTACCAGAACACCAGTGCCCTCTGTGAACACCTGAAGTACATCTTATCCATGCCAGAACTTTGTGACGTCACATTTCTCGTAGGGCCAACTAAAGTCCCCGTCCATGGAGTGAAGGCTATTCTATCAACTCGTAGCAGGTAAGCTTCATCATACATACAACCATGTGGGTTGGTTCAACGTTTTTCATTTAGACAGAATCCTATCAAATGTTAATTCAGAGAGTCTACAATGCCCAAGCAAAAGGAAACACTACTGTTAAGGGTGCATAGATATCATTCATCGAGGATCCCTGTGCTGTATAACAATTGAGGCATCGCACCGCTAAGACGGTTATTTATAAAATGAAATTTGACGAAATAAATCATATATATTATGCACACGACAAGAAGACATACAAGATATGGTTATAAGTATATATTACTTCCGGTCCTTGTCACTATACGGTCTCAACTTTTTACCGATTGTTTTGTACCATTTTACCGGCAGATTTCGAGACAATGTCCCTTAACAAATAACCAACATATGTTTGGAGAATATTCCTTTGTGATCCATTGCACAATCTATCACTACCTTTTCTATAACAACTTGTTTATGGTTTTAGGGTTATGTACCAGTTTATCCTTAAGAATGAACGTTGTATGAAAGAAGCCAAGAAGTCCAGAAAGCCCAGACAATCCCGTTTGACCATTGAAGTGAATAAGTACCAGCCCGAGGACTTCCGCAAGATAGTACAGTTCATCCACTGTGGCTCTGTGGATGTAGACTCCAGAAGTGTTGCAGGTAGGTTTTGATTACAGTCAGCAGTAATACCATTAAGAAACCTCAGTTTCATGAACTTCTGCAATATAAATTGCACTATACAAGTGTATTCAGATTACATCTGACAACATAGATGCAATGACTTTGTTTTTCTTTATGAACCTTGTTGACAACACCAACAATGATAGCTTTACATTGAATTCTGTCATTTTGTTACCAGGTTTGCTTTGCGGTGCAAGACAGTTTGGATTAGACGATTTGAAGACCGCTTGTTTGGATTATATCAGACGATGTGTCCAGACACGACCTCAGTCGCTGATCACCATACAGAGGGGTGCTAACCAGTACATACACCACCGATACGGCATCAAGTTATTCACCAAGGTAAGCATACCGATTTATGTCGACACTACAGGATAAAATACTCTGCTGGCATTTAACAGTTTCACACTGATTTTAAACATTGTTTAATTATCGCACTAAGATAATTCAAAGATACTACAGAACAAACGTATGTGACAAGTATAATTCAAGATCAGCCAGTGTTTGCTGTCAATGTATGTTGTCATACTGGGACATCAACCTCCTTTTACAGAGTCCTACCGTAAGGGCAATATTAAATATTAGTGTAGACTTGAATCAATTAACATTTTTAATGTCCACACAGTATTGTATAATCTCAATTTCGAAAAATAAGGGAGACAATTCAGTCACAAAGTAAAGAGTATTGATTTGTGTTAAGTAGCATATACTCCATCAAAAGCCTTGAATATGAAACATTGAAAAAAGTTTTTTTCACCCTCTAAAATGTGTTGTTTTTTTTTGTAGATGCAGCATTTCATGACATCAACAACCAAGAAAGTGACATCAACTACCAAGAAAGTGGCTATAGAGACAGCAGTATGAAGTACACCACATAGAATATTTCCACAAAAGTGCTAGTGACAATTATCACCGACTGTAATCGTGAGATACCCACTCTGTTACAAGTGCTAGTTACAGGTATCTGTGGGTCAGATACATGTCCCCTGCCATACCGGACACCTATGATAGGGCATTGTGTGCTATGTTTGGACATTTATCAGCAACTGTTCTCGGTTTTGTCCTCTTGGACACTGGACAACAACTGTTCTAGTATTGCCTCGTCCTTGGACACTTGCCAACAACTGTTCTAGTATTGCCTTGTACCTGGATACTTGCCAACAACTGTTCCAGTATTGCCTTGTACTTGGACACTTGCCAACAACTGTTCCAGTATTGCCTTGTACTTAGACACTTGCCAACAACTGTTCTATACATTGTATGCTGTACAGAGACACACGGATGTTGTTTTTTTATCATTAAATTACAGTGCTATAAGATTAGGGCAATCCAAAATACTCTCAAACGTTGACACTTAATTTTTATAATTACTGTGCTGTTATCATACCATTTTATGTTTCCTGTAAATAATAAAACAAATGTTAATTTTTGATTTCTAGTTTTTATTTCTTTTTTCCTATAAACTCTTATGTGTTTTCAGTGTAACAATACATGTTCTACTGTGATGTTACTACAATACAAAACACATGTATTCCATACTTTGTTACCACTGTACTGGTCTTACATTGTCAAAGCCTATTGGAGACAACAAGAATAGTCCACATATAAAACAACATCTCCAGTAATACTCCTTCACTTCATTACGTCTCTGCTAAAAACTGACATGGACAAATCTGTACAGACATCATATTTCAAGTTAACTGTATATATGAATAATTGGCAAACAAAAACACACAATGCTGTCTTGTATATGATTTCTTAATAAACTTTGTCTCGTCTTTTTATGTCTCTTGTACCTGTTGTTGTACAAAACACACTTAGGAATCTTCGTATGATGATCAAGGATGACAATACTTTTCAAATGATTGCAATAATATATGGAGATCAGCTGCCTTACAAAAACACAGGTAAAATTGGCCAACATGTTAGGCTTTAAAACGTTCATATAAAACACTACAACCCTGTCCATTTGAGGTTTGAGCTGATCCATTAAAACAATATCCCCACTTCCGACGTTCCACCACATTAGGTTTGACTTATTTGTAACCTATATAGTGTTGCCTTGGTCTCCAAAACCCTCCTATCACAAAATTATTGGGAAACATCCTTCCATGGGGATGTTTTCCAGTAATTTGGATGGGAATTGTTTCCAAATATTTCCTCCATGGGGAAAGGACATTTTTTATTTGAATAAAAGTTAAATACTTTCAACAGTTTGAAAAATTACAGCAAATACAATATATTAACTACCTACTCTTAGTAATAAGTCAAATCAAATCAAATCTTATACTAGTCGCTTTGTGATAAAAGTCAAACCAAAACTGCCTACTAGTCTCTTCATGATAAAAGTGATGTTATCTCAATAAAATATTTGAAGAAATGTGTCCCATTTTTTAATGAGAAAAAACTATCTGCTGTTATGAGACAAAATGAGCACAAAGGAAAAATACAGGTCAAATTTTACAATTTAATTGTAACACAGTTATTTTTTTTAAATACATTTGTTATTCAGATAAACCAAAAGAAATTAACAGAAACATGATAAACCCGAAGAAGAATACTTAAATTTAATCACAGGATAAAAGTACCTTTAGCACAGGTATTCACTAGTATAATTCTCTACTTCAGCTACAACGCATTGCTCAGTATAGCGCCGCCTACATACATTATTACCGGTATCTCTGAATTTCTTCAATTAACTGCACAAGATAGTGATATATATTGACAAAATATACACTAGTTCAAACATTTTTTTTCAGTGCTTTAACCACTATTTATTTTGACAATGAATATGAAACCATTAAAACAAGAGAAAAATAAAGCTGGAATGCACAGTTCCCTAAATATTATTGTCCAACAAATCAATCTATCTTGTTCCTCCATTCCTAGAGACCACAAGGTGGCCCTAATCTTACTGACATTCCCATCAAGTCAAGATGGAATACTCAGCCAGTACCTTGGGTTGACGAATGGATGAAATATTTTAACAAATAATTTCACTGAAATTTCTACATAGCATCGATGAAAAATGTACACATGAAGTGAGATTGTCTCCAACGATGATTGATTTGATGATCCGAGTAAGGCATGGCGTGGTTGTGACATCAACGTCTGTACGGATGGTAGCTCTGGGCCCCCGCTGCTCCGGCCCTCTGGTAGCCTCCTGCAGCTGGTGGTGACCCGTACGCTGGCTGTGCATCCCCTTGTCCTTGGTACCCCCCTGCAGGCTGTGCCACACCTCCGAATCCACCAGCAGCATCAGCATAACCTCCTACAAGGCAGATTTTTTTTATGAAAAGGTATGCAGAAATGTTTTCACCTGATCTGCAATGTAAATGCTATGTCATCACAAACAAATATGTCACATAACAAACTTCCAAATTAAAAAAAAAAGATGCTGGTAAGTTTGACTATCCTTTGAAAAAAACAATAAAAACAGAACAAATTCCAAATATCCATTCCATTTTTAGTAGAAGCTTAAAATACCCATTACTTCTATCAGAACACAATCTCAAGTAGAACAGGTTCTGTATTTAACACACTGACAGGATATTGAAGTACAAAGTACTAAACAATTGTTGATGACTACATTAATCTCCCATTAATCTTGATGAATACTTCGGTAGAGCATACCTAAAGCATCTCATACTGCATCTGAAGCTATATCCAAAAGATATACCCAAATCATGCCTAATTCTGTGTCCAAAGCAACAGCCGGCTTTGAAAATTTCTTTGTTTTTGAAACCGAGTACACAACTAAAGTGCAGTCCATGTGTAGTGTTTGGTGTGACCAAGTAAGTAGACAACCATTGTAGAACTAGAAGTACATAGTTTCTCAAACCTAACACATGCAGCCAATAACATTGGTACAAAATGCCTCGTTAAATTGGCAAATTTTGGTGGCGAGAAATATGGACGGGAGAGACTACAAACCAGAAGTGCCCTAATCAGCTGTTTGACAGTGGTAAGTTAGTGGGAGGGGCCACATATGATTGTTCTTATGACCACAATTAGCGACCGTGGCTCTAGGGATCTATACCTGGAGCTGCCCCTGGTTGTGCAGGAACTCCAGCTGGGGCTGGCTGTGCGTATGGGTCTGGTACACCTGTCGGGGCCTGAGGGGTCCCATAGGGGTTGTAACCAGCATAAGCTGGGGTTGCATTAGGCGTGGGCTGTCCAGGCTGACTAGGATCTACAAATGAAAGTAAATATAACACTGCAGCACAGTCTTCTAAGTTATTAACAAAGCTTAACTCTATATACATGATGATCATAAAGGTTGTTCTGAACGTTTCAGACTAAGGACATAACTCTGTAGATAAAAAAACATTCATCTAAGTTGTCACTACATTTTGGCTAAGGAAGGAGATGGTTAAACATGTTGGAATCTGTTAAGATGAGAGTTTTGAAAATCCTTCATCTCCATTAGTGAGAATGTAAAGAAGTTTGGTTGCCTTTGCTCCCCTCACTGTGACTACACTTAACAAGTGAGAAGTAGGTAGGGGACATATATCTCACTAAGCCTACGACTCACTGACTGTATTCACCAAATGGATGAGGAGGAGCGGCAGTCATCAGACTTTGGGGCTGAGGAGGTTGTATACCGTAAGGTTGTGCACCCGGTGCAGCTGGGGGTTGTCCATAGGTTCCGTAGCTAGCCTGGGAAGGGGGCTGTGGCACGGCTGGGGTCTGGGCTGGTGTGGCAGGTGGCATCGCTCCCCATTGTCCGCCATAGCTGTTGGCTGCTGCCTGCTGTCCATAAGCTTGCTGGGGCTGTCCTCCGTACGCTAAAATAGAAAAGACAAAGATGGGATTAACTAAGGAAGCAATATTGAAATAAAAATTTGTTCTGACCTGCGGCTTAAGTTAACTTTCTATAATCAATCGAATGTCATTCTTATTTAATCTGGCTAAAGTTTGATTACTATTTATGCTTAAAACATGCAACAGTTACAATTTCTCTTCACTATACTGACTTATTTTGCTCTTTTCTGTAACTGACTTATTTTGCTCTTTTCTGAAGAAATAAAAGGTTCAATATTACGCTTGCATTAATTTTTAAATCAAACAATAGCATATTAATGATACCAGAAGAACTAAACAAGATAATGTAACTATATACTATGAAGTGATAATAAATTTTATAATTAATAAAGATTAAAATCATTATGTGCATCTGTCAATACTATTATGCTTATTTACAATAAATGAGTAGCAAGTCTCGTATATATTCAAAGGATAAAAACTTATAAGAAGTGCATAAACAGTACAGTACATATACGGAAAATAATATGTGAGTATTGATATACACAACAAAACATAGCAAGGTGTATGATACACAAAATAGAAAGTAACTGGTAAGTAAGAAATTAACAGGCTATACATAAACCAGAGCTGTAAGCCAAAGGCTGACTGGTTACCCCCTCCTGCTTTGCGAAGAAAATGGTTAAAATTGAAAATATAATGCAATAACCATTAAGTGTTGCTAATGGGTGCAAAATTTCATAAAAGCATGTTAAAAATATGATAGGCTGTTTGTTCTCATACAATAAAATCTAAACAGGAACTGTTACCAGTGTCTTCCAAGCTATCCCAAAAGTTGCAAATGAAGCTGATATGAATTGTACAAATACACCTTACAAAACTAAATTTACATGCATTAATACATCCTCCAACAAGAGGCCAGGACAACCATCTCGAACCCCAAGACTTGAAAGTCAGTTGTTACACATAAAGTATATTCCTTATTTATCAATGCAACCAATTATCAACAAAGTTGGTTTAACAGAACTTAAGTTATAACTGTAATCATCTCCACCAATCAAAGGCCATGGTGGCCATCTTGAATCCTGAAAATCAAAAGTTGACTATTCGATGTAAAGTATATGCCCAATGTATCAATCACATAGTCATTCAGATCCCCCCTTCCAAGCGAGTTTTAGAAAATATTTTCCAAAATTCAGGGTTTGTGTTATAGTGAGTTTTCCAGTTTTACTGCAATTCATTTTAATCTTTACTTCAGACTTCCAACTTATTGTCTCTAAATTGTGTATTACCAAATTAGACTTTTGATAATTTCAATATAATTCCCCTTTTAGTGAAAATATTTCAACAAATTTCTAAACATGAGAAGCACAAAAATGTATTATTGAAATAGTGAATTTGGCAGTTTTTTCTATGTATAAGGCACTACTGAACCACTGGATCGATACATGTATAGTTTCACAGTGTTAGCTTTGATGGTGTTGGAGTTATGCTCTAGAAACGAATTTGACAGTTTTGGCTATGTTTCCATGGTAACAAAACAAAAATGGTTACTAGATCAACACATTTATTAAGTTTTGCACAATTATCTTTGACGGTTTGCACTTATGCTCCAGAAAGGTAAATTTCGTACGAATAGACCCCATTAGTAATTGTTTATCACAGGTGATAAAAAATAATACATGTATAAGCACAACTACATGATGTATACCAGTGTTTCTCAAAAGGGGGCATTGGTAGTGTTATATAGACAGAATATCGAATTTATGGGGGAATGTACACAATCTCCCCTTCTGGAGAAATACAGTGTACAGATCATGCATAGATTTGTTGAAATTGGCTTAATCATTAAAAGATTTGTTTGGACAGCTTTTATTCATGAACAGACATACGGAGGGAGAGAGGGAGGGACAAATGCAAGCTGACTGCAGAATATCACCCCTAACTTAATATTGGTTGTTTTCTGTAAATATACACACACACCAGCATCAGCAATAATATTCAGTATAAAAAAGCTAAAACAGTCTACATCTAACCACTTACATCTACAACATTAAAGGGCATCTCAACTAAAGCTAAAACAGTCTCAACAATTGTGTCAGCAGTCTGTATAGTGTAAGTAAAGAAGCTGACACTGTCTACAGAAAATGTCATGTTTATGTTGCCAGAACATTGATCCATTCAAACTGACTGAGGGATGAACATTCTGTTTGATTTAGAACTTTCTCAAATGAATGTTCAGGTCCAGAGATTTGTTTTTGTGAGGCATAGATCAGACAATAAACCAACATAGGACAGAAAAAGAATGCTGACAAGTCAGCAAGGGCCCTGTCATTAGCCTGACTGCAACCCCATTCTTTATTTTCAGCAAAAGTGACGTTGACCTCAGAAGCTTTTAAAATCCCAATTACACATCTGAATATCACATTGAATCATAATAATCATAATAAATATAAAACTTCAAAAAGATTAGTCTTTTAGATTCTGAGATAATGACTGTAACACACATGGCTTACATTTAGCAACAGTGACCTTGACCTTAGAAAATTTAAAAACCCCATTGCACATCTACATATATATTATCATGTGAAATTTCAGAAAGATTGGTCTTTTTGATTACGAGATAATCTTCAGAAATGAACGTGAGGACAGACAGACAGACTCGGTGATTACTATATAGGGCACTCGCATCTCCGATGTGGGGCCCTAATTACAGATAGACAACACAGATACAGATATAGGCTTGTGTTTTTACAAAGCATGCACATTACAAGACAAAAAATCAATACAAAACAACATACAAAATGTAGCTAAAAAAGAAATAGAAAAGGTTTAGTGCTTCACAAATTTACTGACTTAAATCAACTGATCAACACGAACTTTAAAGTCTATTGCAGCAAATAAGATTATTTCTGAAGCAATCACTATTGATATCCAAAAAAGTAGGCTATTTCTACTTGAACATAAATACAACTGAACCAACTTCCATTTATATTTAACACCAAATTTTTACCGGGTACTTTCTTTTATCTCATTAAAAATAACATGCAGCTCATTTTTGTATTATGTATTTTCTACTAAAGTGTAAATGCTGATTGAGGCAGGTTCCTGCGAGTGTTTAAGTCTTTGAAACTGTCATAAAACCTCACAAAAAGTTTCAATATCATGCTATCGTAATAATTCAGAGGCTTCGTTGTAATTAAATTCACTCTTGGTCTATCAATCTTGAAATCTAATAACAACCTATCAACAATATAAGCAGACACTGGATGCTTCAACTGCTAGCCCGTTTAACTTGAAATAAACACCAATGGAATCCAAAGAATTTGAAAAACATGCTGATGGAATGCAGCTAGATAACTAGACATACCAACAGGATTGGGCAGAGGGGCCTGGGCAGGGACCTGCGTGGGAGGGGGAGGAGGGCCTTGAGGTGTGCTGGGCTGGGCCGGTGCTGGTGGGGGCCAGCCACCTGTAAAATATCCACCCTCTTACAGTGGTGTATCGCATGTAACAAAACCACAAACACTTCGCAATACCCATTGTATATATACAACAATGTAAAATACATGATCCAGCAGATACAACACATATAATAAAACTAGGAACACTTTACAGTTCATTGTCACCATGTTTAACATATCATACTACATGAATAATTCTATTTACATGTCTGTGTAACCTTTAAGTGTGCAAAAGTCACCCTTATGGCTAAACTCTTATACATGTATTAGAGCTAAAAATCTGTCAGTGACATCACCGATACTCATTAATTATGAACCAATGTCCGATATATTTAGTGACTAAATAAGTTTTATATATAACATCATTTATGCATATACCAATTCAAGTGTAAGGGCTCTATCAGAAAATATGGCATCCCCATATATGATGTGTTACAATATATTTTTAACTTCAACAGCCTTCATATATTATTTCTCTCCAGACCCAGTACCACCCACTACTCACTGGGAAATCTTTAGCATGTTGTCTGATCATTTAAAAGATTTTATCAGACATTTGATTCAAATGAATCCTAACTTGAGTTATAAGTATATAACCTAAAAGGTCAAAAAGAGGTGGCAACTGACTACGGCACTCATTCAGATAGTATAGAGAAGATGTTCTGTAAAAGTTACTACTACTTACTTCGGATTTATCGTTCAGTCTACCATTGTGAATAACTTGAGTTAGTAGCCATACAATCATTTAATATTTATAGGCAAAAACATTAGGTATACATATATACTTAATGTTGATAGAATTCAGAAAGACTAGTGAAACAGAAATTACAAACCAACTACTTAGGATTCATTTCTATAACACAACTACCCCCAACCTCCATCTTGATTTTTACCATAAACTTAACACTAGAATGTGAAGATATCTAAACAAAATAGAAAAGTGCATGAAATTTGTTAATCCTTAAAGCTGTTAGAATTGATACACAGTCACCTATTCAAGTGACCTACCTTGTTGCCCAGGTGATGCCCCTGGTTGTGGAGTCCAGCCTCCCTGCTGAAAGCCTGGCTGCTGTGGTTGTCCCTGAGGGGGTTGTGGTTGTTGGTACGAGTTCGGAGCATAGCTCTGGTTGAATCCCTGTGGTGGTGATTGCTGGGGTGGGGGTTGTTGTGGTGGAAATCCCTGCTGGTATCCGCCCTGTTGGAAATGGTCTGGGAATCCTCCTGGCCCTCCAGGTCCCCCGGGTCCACCTGGTCCTCCATGTCCCCCTGGACCTCCTGGTCCAGGCCTAGGACCGCCACCGTTCCAGTTCCCTCCACCTGGCCCCCAGTCTCCATCTGGTGGAGGGTTCATGCCCTGTCCCATCATTGGTCCTCGATGCATGGGACCACCACTGCCCCTATCTCCGCCACCACCCTGGCCTCCACCCCTCCCATCTCTGGGCTGGGCTCTTTTAACCTCAACCTACAGAAGTTAAATACATTGTAAATACTGCCGACATGTGAGCATGCATACAGTAGTAGTCACAGTCACTTAAATATGCTCGACTCTACAAAAACTTACATACCTTAATGGTATAAAGCATCCACAGAGAGGGATCTCTCAGACTTATCTTACTCTATAAATAACTACAAACAGTTTATCATTAAAATTATAAATCTTAAATCTCTAAATCAAATCATTACCAGTATCTTGATACAAGTCAATTTAATTATAGCTGGTAATGATTTTTGTTTTAACTATTCTTAATATATATTTAATAAGATTGACAACAAATAAGTTTTAGCCATTGCCAGTTAAACTAAATATCACACATAGATTATGGGCCGATACAGGAACATGATTCTAACATTTACCAGAACTAAACCACATGAATTAATTAGACCAATTACACATTAGAAAGGATACATGCAAATATTAAGCTCTCTTTAAAATGTCAAGCAGGTAATTTTAAGTTGAATTTCATAAAGCCAATGTCATTTTTCTGGGCTCGTAAGAATTTTGTTTGTGAAGAAGAAACTGTGAAATCATGATAATCATTAAAAGTTTATGTTTTGTTTTGTTTTGTTTAACGTGAATAACATCTGTTTGACATTCTAACAGATCAGTCCATCCTCTTCCTCCCCTAAGCCAGACAAGACCTAATATGCAATCTGACAGTAAACAATATGTGTACTTTGTGTACAGCTATATTGTAGTTAAAATACAAGAGTGTTGGCGAGGTACTACTCAATTATAATAGTTAAAATCTTATCATTTAATCTAAAACCTTAATCACAAAACATGTGCTAATATCTTAATATGCACATCAGAAAATTGTACCAGTAATCTTAATAGTTAGCTATCAAATTCTAACTAAACAACGGAACTATCTTAATACCCTGCAATCATTGTACTTTTAAACTTGTACAAAAGTATAGCTTGAAAAAGAAATTTCACCCCGCTTGTGGAGCATACCATACGACTATCTAAATTCTACTAGGCAAGATATAGACATAACAAATAATACCATGGACATGGAAAGAGAAAAGTTGTTAATAATTCTAATTAAAATTCAAAATGTTGTTAGTCAAAGTGATAAAAATCAACTCCGTAACCATAGTGATGAACCATAAAGAACCATGTCCTATGGTAAATGTTATTGTCTTTGTATAATATTCTCACTTGTATGGACTCGGTAGTATTGTTGTTTACTTCATAAAATCAAAATCTTACAGCAGCATCTTCCAAATCATACCAGAATACTTCTTTACCCAACTCATTACCCAACTCATAACTTATATTTTTTTCAGCTTCGTAAGTACCAAGAACCTTTAATGATAACAAGAATTACATATTACCATGAATTAGAAACAGAACATGCTATTTACAGCATGTCTATCCTAACCACATAACAGTAAGCTGATCATAATGAAAGAAAGCTAAGTTTATGTAAAATTTCCCGTCATAAAACACATTGTACGTCTATTGTATTGCAGACCTAGTCTGACCTTAATAACATGTGTTTTAAAATAACATGTATCTAAAAAATGTTTATAGAGAAGTGTATGTCAAGATTAAATATTTATGACACACAAAGATATATTATGACTAGAATGACTTTTTAACTTGATATATTGTGCAAGTCCACCACCAACACTCACAGACTTGCTGGTAAAGGAGGTATATGTAATCTTAAGGATAACACTAACACGGTATACTTTGCAGATGGCCACACACACACAGTGATAGAAGTAAAGATACAGGACAATGGGTTAGTACTCAGTAACCAGTGAAACTACAAATCTACCATATATAAACGTGTGATGTGTCCTATGATGTCATTATAAAATATTAAATTCTTAATCTGCTTTTAATCAATGTGCACCAGTTAATATGTCATGGATATATATACCTCAACTATATTTTTTAAGTTAACGATCTAAAAATGTTCAAGTTGGTAACATTTTTGTAAATTCAATTGATGCAGTCTCAAAATGTTATGTACAGTGTATCAATTCTAACAGCTAACTTATTTCAGTGTAAATGCCTTATATTTCATCTCTGTACGCTATACCACATATCAGTATACTCAGTGTAAACCAAATCCACCCTATAGTCTACTACATGGTATGGCCTAGGGAATCAGGACTCGAAGGACATACGAGCAGGATTCTTAGCGATAATGCAATAGTTTCCTTAAGTCAAGAGAAATTACTCTTATGTCATGTTACTAATAACTACATGGTTTAATGCAGGAAGAATAACTAGATACCATTTAGCATCTATCTAATTTACTGTATTTCCCAGCAGATAAATCATTACTTTTAAGGTAGAGAGTCCCACTCCCACTGAACAAAGTATAGTTTCAATATGTTTGGCACTTTTCAGACTCGGGAGTTGCATGCCCACTTACAAAAGCAAATAAGCTCTTTTTTTCTAGAAACCAATACCTTCACAGTAAAGCCCTTATTTCATACATGTATAAATAAGTGAATATTTGCTTATAACATAGCTAAAATCATGTCAATGTTATATTGCCAACTTGTACATATTTCACACCTTTGTTTGTGTAGTACATACCCTGCACTGGTCACTCCTGTGATGAAGGGTGACTGAGTAGATACTGTACACTTAACTTTTTGTGCTGCATCATTTTTTTTAAATCCATAAAGACTTCAATATCCATTTTTCTTTGTGTTCCAATGTTTTCCTGCATTGATTATGATCATGAACTATTCTCCAGGTACTTAACCGTTTTAAATATTCATAATGGAATGCTTTTTGTGATGTGATTTGTGAATTGATCAAAATAATTCATATTTGGGACAAAACCCCATATTTATTTTACCCAGGTAACATTGAAAACTGTTTAAGTAAGGTGTCATGACTTATCCTCTGAACATTCTCACACTGTCTGTTCTTGTTAGCAGTATAGAACATACCTAAGTTGGTGTATTCACACAGAGACCGTTAATTTAACAATAGCAAATGCAGCAAGTCCACCACTTGATCAGAGTATAAACACTGGCCTTTATATTGTTAACCTTTGCTAGAGCTTGTTGAGAGCATACTCATGGTATTTTTTATTTTTTATTTTACCGTTATATTATCATCTAAGCACAACACAATATTGTTTACTTATAATTGTACTGCAGTGGACTCCAGAAATCTGCCATTGATGTAATGCATGCAACATAAATTTCTTCATTCTTCCTAAAATTGAACCCGTTGATGGAGCATTCTAGCTAAAACAGTACATGTAGATTGTAAGCAAGCTTTTATGTATTTTAGGACTATAATTTTAACAATATATCACTTGTTAAAAAGTCATTGAAAATCTCTGCAACACTGCCAACAGCAAATTTGTTATATACTGTTATCAATTTATCACAAACAGACATCTGAAAAGGCCAAATACTATGAACTTGATATGTATTAGTAATTATTGTACAACTTAAATCAACTGATTTAAATGGTAAAATTTTAAACCAAATGGAAACACTAGGTTGTACAAATTAAAAACAAACACTTTTTGAATTAAATTCTAAATCCAATGTCTGTTAGCAGTTTTACAGGTGGAGTTGTATACTTTTATGAGCTATTTTAATAATTTATTATATAGATAGTAAACTTTTCTAAATTCCACGACTAAATAAAACCAGGAGGGAAGAGGATGGACATCAGTTACTGCAGCCAATGTTCTACAGACCAGGTAAAACTGTCATCAATCAAAATATCATACTGGCAAATAGAAATAAGTCTCAACATGATATTACCTGAATACTCCAGTGTATTGAGTTATCTCCCATCTCATGTTATTTTTGCAAACCAAGGTGTAATACTTCAATTATTTCAGTGAACTTACAGATGCACCTTTGGGTTTAATACAGTCATGCATAATCACGTAGAGAAGTAAAATTTGAATATTTTGTGTTAAAAATGAACAGAAAATTCACTTGGCATGAAAAAGTTGAGATGGGAGGTAACTCTGTTTCTTCTTGTCATATCTAGAATGAGTTGTGTATACTAATAACCTTCTTGCCACTGATGTTGACAAAGTGTTCTCCACACACGCCTACTACACTGTCTTCGCTCTCGAATGTCAAAAACCCAAATCCTAATTAACCAAGTACAGAAAATAGCACTATTGCAGCAACATGGTCAAGGTAAAAAAAGGTGAATGTAATTAATTAATCAACATCAATACATGGCATCAGCAAAATCAACAGAATATTAGGACATATGGAATCTTTAACCTATAAATGTAACATCTAATTCATCAATATTCCTGGCAGAAGAATGTTCATAAAGCACACGTCTAATTAAAGCAAGTTCAATTGTTTTAAATACAAGTCACACACACATACACACTCCTGCAAAACTTAATATGTTTTTATTCTGAAGCCTTAGTAACATACTTAACTAATGTTAATGACTTAACTTCTTAATCTACCACACTTCAATGTAGCAATACAAAAATCCTTTATTTGTTAAGTAATATGCAAACATGTTGTTAAACTAGGGGCCAATTATAGAATATCCACATAATATTTCAGCCTGAAAAATACCAGCAAAATAAACACAGCCTTTGAAATGCAGGATTTCGGTCGATAGGATCATGTAACGAGAAATTTCTCCAAATCGCCAGAATGCGAAAATTAAAACCTGAATATTTTATATCTTCGAAAATGTATGACCCTGAATCAGCTTTTTCTGTATTTGTTACATACAATGCTGATACAAAAAGTACACCTCACAAATGAATATATGTGAAAATATACAAAATAATTAATAAAGTTTACTTTTTTTTCTAGTTTTATACTAACTATAAATCTATTATTAAAGAAATGAGAAGCTATCCCTAAAAAGGATAGTTAACATTTTCCAAATAAATAACAAAAATTTAGAAAAAAAGAGCAATTTAAAATTGTTCAGTTAATATGAATACTGAAGTCTAGTTAGATGATCATATAATAAGAATATAAGATATTTTTCATAGCTACATGACAAATAACTTATACGAATAAGAGAAGCGAGTAACTAGAAAAATATGCTGGTAAAATGTATGTTTAACTATGGATTTCTTAATTATATGTCTGAAGCCAAGTTGTTTCATGTACTAAAACATGATTACTTCTGGTACCATGATAATGAAATGATACAAAATCGTTGCATGCAATACCAATTAAGAAATATCTAAAACCTAACAATTCTTATATCAATTAAAATGTCACTGAATATTTCACTTGTATCGTATGAACTTCAATATTTTAGGACACAAGAATACCATAAATCAAAGTCTTTGTAAAGTAAGGTAAGGAGTTCTTCATCTTCGTTTGTGTAACACCAAACAAAATCAATTCAAATGCATCTTGAATTATGTAAACCAGCTAAAACTACAGCTATAGTCACAATATTGTAGTAAATACTCGCACTCACATGCAAATGTTAAGTCTTACAGAATGTCAACATCTGCCAGGAATATTACACTGTTATATATATATTACATACATTACTTAGTTTCATATGTTCAAATTATCTTCACTTCCAACTTTCTTTAAATAATTGTAATATAAGCTACAGATATTTAACCAATAAAAGACTTCTACATAAGGCAAAATAAAAACATGTCTGTTTGAAGATTCCTACTGATGAGTGACCCATTAACGGTGTATCCTAAGGATTAATTAGAAATCAATCAATCCTTACTTGTCTGTACTGAAAGGAGGTTGACAGTATGAGTATAGATTGTAGTGATATATGATAGATTACCACTAAATTATCAACTCTTTTTGAAGTGGAGAAATATAGCTAAAGGGAAACGGACAGCAAACCATAAAGTAGGTTGTGTATAGACCTTGAAACAGACAGTTTTATTTTGATCAGTGATTTGTAAAAGTTACATGTTGTGTTATTAAGACCAACATCATCTTATTTTAATAACTTTAAACTTATAACCCTTATTATCTTAACATAAGCTAAATGTTCATATTATTTTAACATAAGCTAAACATTCATATTAATATTAAATAATATGTTACATTAAATTTAGAATAACAAATTCCGAACGCAGCAAATTAAATACTGTTGCAAAATCAGGAGAAAGTAAAATTAAATAATAGTTCAGGACTTACCTTTATTTATTAAGAATGGTACTTATTACAAATTGCAGTATGCTTGATGTTTGTTTTAATGTTTCTTGTTTGAAACAGAGGATACATTTCTGTGATCACAGATGATATCTATGATACACTGCAATTTGTCACACAATTCTCAAAAGTTTGTTGCAAATCTAAAAACAACTTGTGTTTGATTTAAGATGTGCTTCAGCAGTTTTGTTTTTGAAAATTGAGACCATTAATAGAATTATTATGTTTACTTAACTTCTATTTTTATTCAGAAAATTTCATTGACAGCTCAGAAATTAATGAATTCAAAACTTCTCATTTCTTGGAATGTAACATATAAGGATTTGCTCATATAATGGAAAACTCTTGGCAAACAAAAAGAATGTTTCATATATTAACACTGAGCTGTCAAGAAGCTGAAACAGGACTAAGAATTAGATATATTTTGAATCTCTATTCTTTGACATACATACCTCGTGATTTCTGTTGAACCTGATCGTACATTATGGTAACATCTTGCACCTGTACATAGATAAAGGTGAACTTAAACAAATAGTTCATGATCAGGAGGTGCAAAAAATACATCATGTTTGGCAAAAGTTTATTAAAAGTACAAAAATATATTTGCTGAGAACAGGCATAATGATCCGGGCCCCACTCGCAGGCTACAGTGCGGACCTGTTATCTATTCACCGTTCCCTTTGTCCATGAATCCTATAAATTAGGTAACCCATTAATATGAGTATAGCAATGCATCAATAATTTTAGGATATGATATGTCAAATGAAAAAAGTTAGGCCTAGGACTTAACAATGTAATGCTCAGCTGGCTGGCAAATCAAGTGGTGCAAACCCAGGGTGATTCTAGTATGCCTCACATAAACATTCTTTGCAAGGGTATAAAAGCACATTCACTATAAAACCAGAACTTACACTGTTAACTTCAGAATTAACACAATATCTATACATTACCTTTTAATATGCATGTTTTAGTAAACATACCTTTCCATATTTGCCAAAGAAATCTTTAAGAAAATCTTCATCTACATTTGGCAGTCCTCCCATAAATATTTTCCTATTTTTATCTGGGTCTGGTCCTCCACCTCCTCGTGGGCCTCCTCCACCTCCTCGTGGGCCTCCTCCATCCTCTCGGGGACCACCACCCTACACGGACACAAATCATGCATAGAAATAAATGATACATAAAAATAGCATATGTCATGACTTCATTTAACTGCTTTGATGTCCAAGAAAAATCAACAAAGTTGAAATTCATTCAATATAATGCTCTTATTATTTATCATTCGGCTGAATGGAAAACAGTAATGACATCAGTTGCCCGACACAGTATCTGTTACAGAAATACCATAATTAAATATACGGTCAGATCGAACAAGATCAAATAAATATTGTCAAACTGTTTTAATTACATGAAATTATCGACTGGCTATCTTTCATAGCTGTTGGCACAATGAATCAATAATTTTGGTGTTTCAGTATTCATATTTTGTATTTGAACAATCCAAAAGGTTGGTAAGCAGGGTTCAACCTATCGCTAGACAAGAAATTGTGGTTTTTATTGTAAAATATAGATGTGTTCAAACTTCCTGCCATTTGAAGTAACTGGAGGTTAATCGTATACCAGAAGAAAATACTGTATTTCAATACATTATATAATAATATGAATTGATACGGAGAACAATATTTATAAGGACAAAACTATCTTACCGGCGGCTTGTTCATTCCTTTTGGATTGCATGCTTTGGCATCCACCTGAAATTAAGATAGGAACAGTATGTTTAAACTTCCTTTCATATTACTGTCTCCGACAAGAAACTATATTGTTATATATAGTCTTTTATTATCTCATGGCTTCGGCAGTTATATGCTTATTATACTCATTGCTGCCTATATTTGTCCTAACTGTTTTTCCCAGAGAAGTGAGATTAAATTAACTATCTATAAAACCAGCAATGTCCAAGAACATTATCTTTGAAAGCGAATTGGAATCCTAACTGATAATTTATATAAAAGCTTTTGTACAAAGCATATTTAAGAATGCATTTATCAGAATGATCTGATTTTAAGACAGATTTATATCACTAGCTTTCATTAATTGGCATGGCTTTTAACTTAAAATGGTCAACTAAAACTTCAACCAGTCCATAAAACTTAGCAGCAAGAAGGAGGAGGCACAGAAAGAGTACATAGGAAAATGTCTCTTTGTATATCCAGATTCAAAACTAGCAGGTCGTAAAATCACCTGTCTTCCATCAATCTGGTGAAACTGCACGGACAAAACAGTCTCCACACATACAGGATCTTTGAAGGTAACAAAGCCAAAACCTCTTGACTTTCCAGTGGTCTGATTCTTCATCACCACACAGTCTATCACTTCACCATACTGGCTGAAGTGGTTCAGCAGGGTATCTAAACAAAGAAACACATCTATCAAAAAATCATCAACAGGTGTCTAGCAATCAGGTTCAATCAAGACTGAAGCAGTTATCTCCAGGTCCTTTTAGCAGGGTCAATAGGTGAATGGTTTGTGAAAATTGCCAGTTATGACTTCCAAAACACTTGATACAGTTATAGGTTATACACTTACAAATACATGATTGCATTTGACAATGCTGAACTAATTGGTCCAAAGGGTGCAGAAAAAAAGTTTAAAAACAACCATTCTGGGATAGACAGAAGACTTAAGATGTAGAAAGCTTATCTAGATTATTTTACCTTGATCTGTATCCCAGCTGAGTCCTCCAATAAACAGCTTCCTACAAAAACGAAATAAAGAAGGATGGTTACTCATTGTATAAATTTCAAACGCCAGATGTTTCAAAAAACATTGCCCTCACTCCTTTTAATTCTCGTACAGGCACTGCATCACTTGAAATATTAATGTTATTCAATCTGCTTGGCTAGATTACATGACGTCATGATAACTACTTTCATAGTTTGAATGTATGGAAAACATGTTAGTCCTTCTACTATTCAACGTGATATCAATAACTTCATTTACTACTTCGATTACTGTCTGCTGCATCAGATTTGTACAACATCTATGGCTATGCAACTCTCAACATTTCCAACAATTTAAGCTCCCACGTTAAGATTTTCAGCTTGAATATCTCTCCTTTTACAATTACACTGCAAACCAGGGTGGTTATATTCCTTGCAGAGTATCTTATTCCTGAATCCAATAAAGGACTCGACAAAACAGGGAGAGTCAGACATAATTTGTAACAGGAAAGAGAAGTGTGCTTCCCATGGGGATCAAAACAGCAGCCCCTACCTTCCCACTCCATTGGGAGTTTAAGGGATATTCCCTCTAGCGTGAAGCTAAATTGTGATCATAATCCTATGTTCAATATTCACATTTTTCAAATAAAAAAGCAACTCCACCAAAAGTGGTTTATGTCCAGTAAACATTAATTAGTCCAACCATGTGTGGTTGTGTTTGGGGAATGAGCAGGGGAAGTGAGGTTGTTTCAGCACTCAGTTGATTGGTACCAAGCAAGAAGTGTTCACTAACTGTTAAAGTTAACTTAATAAGCTTTATGTTTATTTTCTTATAAAACCTAGCAATCGATTGAGAAAAAAATAGTTTAAGTTAAGATACGTGTGAAATGTTTCATAAAATGAACATCGTATACAAAATTTATTTTTGTTCAGTTATATTGGCAGCTAAAAAGGTGTAAAGCTAAAAAGACGAGTATACAAAATTGTATACTCGCCCGAAATTGCAACAATTTCCCCTACTTTCCAAAATCTTTTTGATATTTTATAAGATTTCCAGCACGAAGACTGTGCTGTTTTGAGACTTGCTTATATTATTCTATATTAAAGATTCATCAGTAATTTTACAATGAAACATCCAACGTTTTTCTTCGGTACCGAAACGGCTAGGATTCAGTATTGGATGTATCACCGGTTAGCCCCTGCTGGGCCTTAAAAGTATTTTTATCGCTTTTAAAATTAACATTTCTTATTAAGGGGCAGTCAATATTAGTTGACGTCTTGAGAAAGATTTAGGCCTATCATGCACACATTCCACCGCGTCCGTTCACCGGTCGTAATTTCAGCGAGATGTTATCATAAATAACTATGCACTGCGCTATTGAATCGATCAATAATCTATATAAATACAACACTTAGTTACCCTGCTTCATTTCTGTTCCCTTTTTGTGACATTGCAACCTGTGATTATTCTTGTGTGATGATGTTATTTTGACCAATTTTGTTGCTCACAACCCACAAGGAAGAATTAATGGCCGCTGAAGAGATCACGTGATGGGGGGAAGGGAGGTAATCCATTTTCTAGCACGACAAGGTAGCACGCCACCATTTCCAAAATCTACTCCCACAAGCCATTGAAATCACAAGTTTTCTCAGTTGTAAACGACTCAAATTTATATTAACTAGATAGGAATGAAACAAATACAATTATACCAGCAAGATTTAGTTAAAAATCGCACATCAATATTATGTAAAACAATAGAAAAGTTTATCAGTTCACACATCGCAGGTGTTTGAAATTCTTACTGTAAATCAGTGGAGAAATATTTCATATAAAAAGTAATGGTATTACTATAAAAGAGTACTTTTTATAGTAATACCCCTATTTTTAATATGATTTTGATCCGACGCTGTTGTAGCTTTGTCGGTTCTGGGTTTATTCCTGCACCGGTTTAGCTGAGTTTCAATGTCATGAATTGCAGGATGAATCTTGAAGTGGTTGTCCCTTGAAACCGTTTTGTTTAATCTATTGACAATTTTAGCTCTATATCATATGTCAACTACTCGATTTGTGTAGAAATGCTTTCAGATTTCCTGTCTACTCCGCTGTTTCACTATTATCAGATATTGACCCCTTGTAGTGCTGCTGTCCTTGAGTTGGAACATCCCTCTTGTAACTCTGTTGTCATAGATACCATGACGTATTTTGAAGGTCTCAATGAGATCTCCCCGTACCTTTCTGAACTTACAATGATAATTAAGCTCTTTCAAGCGATCTTCATAGGACTTGTATTAGCAGGAACAAACCCTGTTTATTTGTTTTATTCGTTGTTATATCGATCCACTGAAAGGATTCGTCAATGTAAATATAAGGAATGATATTTATTTTTTCAACATTTATGAGGGCATAACAACAATGGGTTTATGGTCATATTGAATGAATCGCGTTAGCAATTCATGTAAAATATGTCCAAAAATCTATTTTTGTTATGACCTCATAAATGTTGAAAAAATAAAAATCATTCCTTAAGTGTTGTCCGCATATAGCAGGACATTTGATTTCACTAACCCTGGAAGATCGTAATGAATAGGACAAAAATAATCGGCCCCAAGACTGAACCTTATGGGATTCCACTAGTCACTTGATGCCAATTGGCATCCTCGATATCCAGGGGTCACGCTCACTTTCGCTCTCTACACCCCTGGAATATGTAATAGCGAAATTTAAGGCTCGGTGTGCTTGTTGATGAGACAAGAAGACTAGTTCGATCCTTTGATATGTATACATCAAAAGAATTTTGCGGTCACGTAACGGTAAAAATTGACATGCTTTGAAGTCGGGCGTCTCTCCTTTGTAATCTTCAAAGTACAGGTATCAGCCTAGCGGTTGGTCAGTTGTTTTTTACCTGAGACCAATCAAACAGTTATCTTCGTGCCTTCATTTTGCTTTGACATATTCCAGGGCTGTAGAGAGCGAAAGTGAGCGTAACCCCTGAATATCGAGGATGGCCGATTGGAGGATTCACCGTTAACACATATTCTTTTTGTTCCAGTTACTGAGAAAGTCTTCCATCCATGTAATGTTCTTTAAAGGCTTCAAGCTTCTTTATGAGACGCTTATGAGGCACTTTATCAAATCAAAATCTATGTACACTGCTGCTATCTACCTCCTTTGTCTAGGATAGTTGTCCAATGATTGTTTGTCACTACATAAATGACGTTTGTCCATATGTGCCTCGTTCTGTTTCCTAACTAGTTTTTGCATTATCTTACAAATCCCACCAGTAAGGCTGACAGGTCTATAACTGGATCGTGAACATCTATCTCCCTTCTCAATCTGATTAAAATCATATGTTACATGACTTCGTTAACTTCTTACTACGCCTGAACCATGTAACAGATGATTTTAATCAGATTGTCTCCCTTCTTAAACAGAGCTGATATCTGACCTTCCTCCCATTCCCTTGGTACAGTGCCAGACTCAAATGACCGATTAAATATAATCACAGTGGAATATGAATCACATAAGTAGGAACCCGCAATACAACTGGATGAAATTTGTCCGGACCTGGTGACTTAAATATGTCCAAATCTAACAACAGCTTCCTTACCCTCCTCCTGATATATTTCATCATTTGAGCGTTCCTCTCCCAAGGCTACAACTACCTCTGGAATGCGACCCTCATTCTCTACAGCAAACACACTGCTGAGAAAGTCAGCCAGAATATCATCCTTTTCTGTATCTGTACTACCTATTACATGTTCACAACGTATTTCTGTATGTAGTTATGATATTCTACACTTCGTTTCCGCTTAAATTCTTGCAGTTTCTTTTGGCAGAATCAGATCTGTTGCTTTCCCTCTTTTTTCCTGTATTTTTCTATGATGGTGTTAATATCTGTACTTCCCAGAGTCCCTCGTTTCCATATATCTCCTCCACAAAATATGCTTGCGTCTGATATATTGAACTGTTTTCATATCTAGTGGTGTTTTTACCTTCGGGGTTTGTTACTTTTGGTTGGTATACCTTTTCTCATAGCTTCGTGAGTGATCTGGTGAATATACTGTACGATTCCTCTACACCCTTTACTTCCAGTAATGATACCCAGTCGCATGACATCTCGCGTGTCAGTAGCTCATGATCTGCTTTGGCGAAGATATGGCGTTCATGGTTTGTTACCTCACATGTTGCATAGCATGAAACGTCAATGGACACTCAAGTCAGCAGTGCACCGGTACAAAGAGTTGAGTGTTACAGAATTATGATATTCCCTATTATACACCATCCCTCATTTAAAATACAAAAATGAATCCCCTTAGTCCAAGATGCTCTAGATTTTCCTCTATTTTATTTTCATTTTATTGGGCTCTGCCCCTCTGTATCCCAGAAGAGGGAACCACTTCGCTCCCGTAGCAATGCCTACGGTCTGCTGGGAAATCTTGCTATCGAGCTCAATAAAGATATTGTTAGATATCACTGTTCGCCTTTCGCTGAGAAGAAAGTTCTTATGTTTAGAGAACAAACGCGTTCCTTCAGTTTGATCTAAGCTATAGAAGTGTAAAGAGTCGAAAACTGAAAACTTTTGGTAGAAGAAAACATTTTTGAGAAGAGAATTTTCAAGATTGGTTAAAAGATGTTTTGAATTCTTTAAACTTCATATTCCATTTAGTCCACTTCTCGAGTAGACAGTGTCACAATATGACCGACACCCTGATATAATAATAAAAAGGAGGACATCAAAAAGTCAAGATAATAGTTCGTTTGAGCAACCAGAAGAGCCAGTACGTTGTTTATAAGGATTCGTGTGAAGCTTCGGAATACAAACGAGGCAGGTCCATGTCCTTATCATTAATGGGTAACCGTATTCTAAAAGATTTTGATAAAGAAGCGTGATTAGCTAGCATGTTCTCTTTCGACATTAGAAAACGTACAGGTAGGGTATAGATAAATATCCCACACCATAAACCCGTCAAAGAATCACACGAAATACAGAGGGCAAGGCACCTGCTTAAAAAAAGACAGGAAACTTTGACAGGAAACTAATACAGATGAAAAGATATCATCAGTTTACAAGGTAACAACCAACATTTGGGGCTTAAAATCTACTAGCAGAATCAATAACATTATGACGTAAAACAATCTCTAGAAATACAAAGAAGAAAACGCTTACAAGAGTACTTAAACAATTAGATTGCCGAAGCTAATTTACCACAGTACCTCAGATACAAACATACCCCAAACAGGTATTTTATGTCAATTGCTTTCAAGCTGTTCAACTACAAGAAAATGAAACAGCTGAATAAAGATGAATTTAGGATAATCATAATAAATACAAAGAATAACTATTCTTTCAATATATTGTACAACATCCCTATACAACTATTGTTTAGCTGGACAAGTGGTAACTTGCGATATGAATAGTATCTATAACCGGAAGCTACAAGAGGTTTTCACGAGGTTTCAAGGTATCGAGAGACTCCTACTATCAATTGAAATGGAAATGTTAATATACTGATGGATTCTGCGGAAGACTAGGCCAGATAAAGGACAAAACGAGAGAATGCTCATTAGATTCACTCCCAGAGTGTTTTAAATCTTAAATGAAATCAAAACACAAATCTCCATTTCTTGATCCCGATGTTCAAATCGCACCTAACGACTGGATGACAAGTTTGTTGTTGTGTCTACAGACAAAGGCATCCATCACAGAATTTCTATCTGCAAACACTGTTCTATTTCCTACATGTGAAAAGAGCTAGAAACTAGAATCTTCACTAGAGTTCCTATACACAGTGTGTTATCGCTGGCTCTACTAGTTATTCTACCAAGTCATTATCCAAACGTGTCACTACCATCATAAGTACCATAACATAAGGGTTGTTATTGTAACACTGGAGTGGGATTAATGGAATGAGGGTTTTCAAGAACGCAAAAGATCGTCTGTTTAAGAAACCCAAATATGTTTCTTCTATCAGAACTTTTGACTTTCCCACTCTCTACATTACAATACCTCATACCAAATTGAAAAAATCCCGACTTCGTTCTCTTGTCATGAGAAGTTTCTTTTCCAAGAAAGGCGAACGACGACATGACTATAATTATGGTTGTACATTATTTTGGAGCATTTTTGTGAAAAGACCCTACAAGGGCCAAGATGAAAAATACCGAGGACGAAATCGTGCGATGTTTCTGTACCTTGTTGACAAAATCATTGTAAAATTCGGTGCCCCCACCCCTTAAAAAAACACACACAAAACCCCCCAGCAAATATACAAACAAACAAAACTTTAGGCATACCATCTCCTGCCTGACTTGTTTCTATTTCCATATGAGGCAGCATACTTTGAAAAGGTTTTCAGGAATGGTAAGAAACCCCTTGCCAAGTCCTTTAAAAATTACAATTTCACTGTCATGGTTCTTTTGAGTGTTGTCACGATCCATCGTATACACAGTTCCCTCCAAGAATAGTTTGGCCATTTTTGATTTCCACCAATTTAGCCCAAAGCATCACCATTGAGATCTAAAAGAAAACAACGGCTATATGGTGCAGTGTAATTCATGTCATAGGTGCACTCACACGTGTCTGCACCAGGTGGGGTTTAAAAGATACTATGGATGGCCTCCATTTTGTATAGTGTGTCCTAGATGTGATGGTTTGAAACCATAATGTGAAAAATTATGAAAGAAACAACTCCGGTGTATTTGAAGTGACAGAAAGCTTCCGGAGTATTGGAAAAGTTTGGTTAGCTGCGTGTATTTATAGATACAAACTTTGGTATACCGTTCATTCTCCAGTTACTGATGATGTGCATCGTAAACAAATATCAATAACCATCATTTACAAATATATTGTTAACACTTGCCTCAACCGATAAATCAAATGACGTATAGCTAAAAAGAACTGAAATAATTATTGCTAAATGTCATGACGTCATGATGGAGGCCGGAACAGTGTGAGCTCATTTTCCAACCTTTTGGGTGAAAATATGGAATTGTGGTTAGGACAATAAAATGGACATTCAATTATAGTCAGTTCCTTATAAATGCCATGTTTTTCCGAGAGTTGATTCACTTGACATTGCACTTTTAGCTAGTGTCACTGCTTTTTCTCGCATGTGCTTAATCACACAATCTAGATCATTTTGACGTTTGTTTTCTATAGCGAGTTAATTTATGCCTTTGTACATTAAACATGATATTATTAAGTGTCAGACAATGAAAAATGGAAAAATGAGGTAGAGATATTCCAGTATGGGTATAGATAATGTGTTCCTTCAAAATAAATCACTTATTTCTAAAAATGACTCAATTAAATTTACGTAGCATTTACGAAATACAGTAAAAAATAATATACGGAAATATTTTATGTTTACAAGACAATCAAAAGCATTACAAAGTAACGCAACACAAGATTGCAAATATCAGCAATAACTCTTTATTATAAATCAGCACTAAGCAATACATAATTTAGAAATTAAATTAAACATCTCAGTATATTGTATAGTATATCACCTATAATATCACATATCACCAACTTCTGAGTTAAATTCTAATTATGTCTTTTATTATACATATTTACAAGTGTATACAATCCACAAATCCGCAGTAAGGTAAGAATAACGGCATATAAAGACATTTAGGAGATGTTTTACTGAATAGTACAGTGTTTGTATAAATGAACATTCGATTTTTAAGGGTTTTGTATTCTTACATTCATTAATTTTTCAAATGTTATAATAGGAAGCAAGGTAGATCAGTATGTACCTGTACAAGACTGAACACTTTAATTTATAAAACAATTCATCTCTAATCTTATGATATACATGACTAGATATTATTTAATCTATTTAGAGATCAATATGACAGCTATACGATTGTAAATGTTAATAATCAATGACCAATGACCACTTTCTCCAAAACTGTTTTAATTCCTCTTTAAAAATAATAGGTGTGACAGCCCGATTTAAACATTCGATTGTAACGTTATCAACCATTCCCTAAATCACCATACAAAGCGATAGTATTTCCCCTTAATCATAGTTTTATCTTCTTTTACGATGGTGTGAAATACGACACTAAGATTAGTACGTCTTTCGGAAACAAATACAATCGTTGCATTGTTATTCATAAATTCATGAGTTAGTCTGTCGATGCAAAAAAAAACACCAATATCTTGATTTCATGTTAAACGTGACATATTCAATGATAAAGGCTTTTGGAGAACAAAAGTTTTGATATAAACAATTACAGATTCTCAGATCTGTACTCTGTATTTATCTGTAATCTGCATATTTCTACAGCTATTTTTCAAAAACTGGATTTAAACATTTGACTAAACACATCATCAACCGGATGAAGCTCCATGGACTAGTCATATACTCGAATGATAAATCCACGTCAAACACGACACTAAGCGTGAAACCCCGATTGGTTCCCATTGAACAAAAGTTAGTTGTATAGCATACTATTAGACAATCTATGGGCGTCTAAACCGTACCGACGATAGGTAACGTATTGACTAACGTGCGTTTACCACTTCAAACTCTCACCAATACATTGATATATCCATCCTCGATACCCAGGGGTTACGCTTACTTTCGCTCTCTGCACCCCTGGAATATGTCATAGTAAAAGTCAAGGTTCAGTGTGCGCCACCTTGTTGATGAGACAAGAAGACTAGATCAATCCTTTGATATACATCAAAAGAATCTGGCGGTCACGTAACGGTAAATATTGACACGCTTTGAAGTCGGGCGTCTCTCCTTTGTAATATTCAAAAGACAATTATCAGCTTATCGATTGGTCAGGGTTTTTTAACCGAGACCAATCAAACAGCTATCTTCGTGCCTTCAAATTTGCTATGACATATTCCAGGGGTGTAGAGAGCGCAATTGAGCTTAACCCCTGGCTATCGAGGACGAGATATACCATGAACACAGCAGATGTATGTAAGGATGACTAGGCCTGATGCGATGATTGATTTGAAGTCATGATCATATGTGTTTTGTAAACAAACGCCTTTTTATAACCATAGGGTTGTTTACTGCAGATTAAATATAGCAACCTATTTCGTCACCAAGTTAAACACTGGTCATGACCTACCTAGTTCTGTTGTAGAGATACTTTGAGACGTGTGACATGATACACCAAACGCAACTAATACCTTAATACAGGGTATATGAACATAACTTTGGACGATATTTAGTATTTATACACAAACTAATTCTGTGGCATTTCCACAAAGTCAAAATTCAACAGTACATTTAATACGCAAAAACCGGAAGAATGCTGTGCCATTTAGCGACATCTATTGGCCGTGGACTAATCATACTGTTCCAATGGTCTCGGCCGCGCCTGCCACAGTTGGGTCCTATCTCCACTTTACCCACGACATTGTCCTTTTTGTGGAGTTTTCCTTTCATGATGAGAAACTCGAGTGAGTAGGAGCTCATTTGTTTATCCACGTTAAAGAGGAAGGCTTCATTCCACACAGCATTTCGGCCACTGGATGTCCGAGTTTTCTGGACCTCTATCACAGTTCCGTCCCGAATTAATTTGACTACGACGTAGTGAGCTGCAAACACAATAAACTTTATAGTCAGAATCTTGTTTAGTGATGTTCAAAGGACTGAATACATTATTACTAGTGTTAAATAACAAATAATACATATTTTCATTTTTGTGTTTTATAAGACACAAAAAATCGCTTCATTCTCTCACCAACATTACATCCAATTACAATATTTTACCATTCAACTTGATGCGTTAGCATTTTCGTTGTTGCACAAACGTAGGGTAAGACACTTTCTTCTTGATATTTAAGACCGACAAATAGTTGAAGTGAACCACTCCTTTGTACGCATGTGTAATAACTTGTTGACACTTGATGATAACTTGTTTGATAGGAATTGCACCCTCATCGATACTCCAGGGGTTACGCTCACCTTTGCTCTCTGTAACCCTAAAATATGTCATAGTGGCAAAATCGAAGGATCAATGTGCACCACCACCCTGTGAATGAGACGAGAAGACTAGTTTGATCCTTTGATGTACATCACAAGAATCAGTCGGTAGCGTAACGGTAAAATTGACAGGCTTTGAAGTCGGTTGTCACTCCTCCGTAATCTCCAAAGGACAGGTATCAGCCTCCGCGATTGGCCAGGTTTTCTTTTTGCTATGACGTATTCCAGTTGTGCAGAATATATGTACGTAAGCGTTACCACTGGAGTATCGAGGATGGGCATGCACATGAAAAGTTATATATATTTCAGTCATTGCCCTGATAAACAATACCCGGGCATAACGTTACCAGATACTAGTGTAAAACTACTGCTATTTAAGGGCTGTTACTAAGGAAGCGTCACCAAAGTTTGTTAACGTGTTAGTGTGGAGGTTAGACTTACCTGATTTGACGACCATCAGTCGATCAGTTGGAGGTAATTGAATAGCTTTCCGTACAAACACTTTCAAACGGTCAGCTAACGACTGGTACTGAAGGTCAACGAAAAAATCGCCCAGTTTATTATGAAGCAACTTGTCAGATGTACTCATCTACAAAATAAAATCGTTTATCATGTTAAGTCATCATAAAATCGAACCAACCGGGATATTTGCAAGAAATTAAGTCTAATTGACCACATATCCACAAATATGGGGAAAATGTGTAGTCCCTGAGGAGTGGAAAGTGCCCTAGGAAAGTATGGTCATATATGTGTGGTGTTTCTATAGACGATGTAAATAAGCCAACATGCTCAACTAGAAAACAGAAGTACACTTAAGAAATCTATGAGTGCAACAAGCTTCGTATATTAATTGGGAAAGTTACCAAGACTGAAAAATTGCGGACAAAAACTACGGTAAAAAGTAAAATGATAAAGAGAGCTATGGGCTCGGCTCCCACATAGAACAAAAGTAAGCGGGGCGGGATAACAATATCAATTATCAGTGAACGGAAAGACCATAAAAATAAACTGAAAAAAAAGTTTATGGAAACAGGCGAGGTTACGGCATACAAGGCATATGCCAGGACAGGGAAAAGAACAACCCCTAATAAAGAAAGCAAACAGAAGATTTTGAGAGTGACCAAGGATGTATAGTTACATCCAAAAGATTGGAAAGTATGGCAATCGCTTTAACAAAAACAAACAATGAATATCAAAACTGCACACGAAGAAAAAATAACATGTATTTTCAAAAGTGAAGACAGAAGCATTGGCTGACTTCTGAATTCGTGTCTTCACATTTGAAACGGACGGTCATGTACCTTCAATGCCAGTCAGTTTCAAGGACTTCACAAGCTCCTTTCAAAGTTATTGAAGAAACTGAATTCTAACATTCTAAACCCTTTAGTAGCTATCTTTAATTGACTGCCAATTATAAAACACAAGAGATCGATAACATGTTGGAACATAGGCTGATGGATTTAAAAAGTGTGATATGGAACTTTACTGAGAAGATTGTCAGAGAAAATATTATGGACGAATCCTAGCTGCCAATAAAATCGAATTTGTATTTGTCAAAGGCAGATCTACAGTGCTTCTGCTTCTTCAGTTACTCGACCACTGGTCAGAAACCTGGGATGATGTAGGACATTTGGTGGATTTCACGAAGGTTTTCAATACCGGCCCAAATAGACGGTTGCAGTAAAATTGCCAAAATTAGATACTTTGCCATCTTAAGACAGAGACTATGACTAACACTATTTTATCATAAATACAAATGACTGTTAGCAGATGTAACAAAAACTACAATGAAACGGGAAAGGATGAACATTCTCAATAGGATGATTACAACTTCCAAGAGTAGTCAGTCAAGTAGTTGTTAATGTTCCTTACAGACTAATGTATGTCAGATATAAAATGGTTATAATGAACAAGACACAACCATGACGTTAACAAGTAATGTATGTCAGATATAAAATGGTCATAATGAACAAGACACAACCATGACGTTAACAAGTTATGTATGTCAGATATAAAATGGTTATAATGAACAAAATACAACCATGACGTTAACAAGTAATGTATGTCAGATATAAAATGGTTATAATGAACAAAACACAACCATGACGTTAACAAGTAATGTATGTCAGATATAAAATGGTTATAATGAACAAGACACAACCATGACGTTAACAAGTAATGTATGTCAGATATAAAATGGTTATAATGAACAAGACACAACCATGACGTTAACAAGTAATGTATGTCAGATATAAAATGGTTATAATGAACAAGACACAACCATGACGTTAACAAGTAATGTATGTCAGATATAAAATGGTTATAATGAACAAGACACAACCATGACGTTAACAAGTAATGTATGTCAGATATAAAATGGTTATAATGAACAAGACACAACCATGACGTTAACAAGTAATGTATGTCAGATATAAAATGGTTATAATGAACAAGACACAACCATGACGTTAACAAGTAATGTATGTCAGATATAAAATGGTTATAATGAACAAGACACAACCATGACGTTAACAAGTAATGTATGTCAGATATAAAATGGTTATAATGAACAAGACACAACCATGACGTTAACAAGTAATGTATGTCAGATATAAAATGGTTATAATGAACAAGACACAACCATGACGTTAACAAGTAATGTATGTCAGATATAAAATGGTTATAATGAACAAGACACAACCATGACGTTAACAAGTAATGTATGTCAGATATAAAATGGTTATAATGAACAAGACACAACCATGACGTTAACAAGTAATGTATGTCAGATATAAAATGGTTATAATGAACAAGACACAACCATGACGTTAACAAGTAATGTATGTCAGATATAAAATGGTTATAATGAACAAGACACAACCATGACGTTAACAAGTAATGTATGTCAGATATAAAATGGTTATAATGAACAAGACACAACCATGACGTTAACAAGTAATGTATGTCAGATATAAAATGGTTATAATGAACAAGACACAACCATGACGTTAACAAGTAATGTATGTCAGATATAAAATGGTTATAATGAACAAGACACAACCATGACGTTAACAAGTAATGTATGTCAGATATAAAATGGTTATAATGAACAAGACACAACCATGACGTTAACAAGTAATGTATGTCAGATATAAAATGGTTATAATGAACAAAACACAACCATGACGTTAACAAGTAAGCGTGTACAATATTGGTGATGTGAAAAAAAATGCGGCCGTATTTGTTTAAAAGATACATTCCTACAATCCCGTGTAACTAGATAGTCTATCGAAATAATGCTATCGTTCACATACCAAATAAAATTTCAACACCGTCGGGCCTAAGTTTACTCTCTGAGAGACAAAAATCCCGACAGACATTATAAATTATCATTACATGGAGTCAGATACGATAGTTGCATACCACCACTGACCGGTACGGGCGGTACCCGTGATAAAGTACACAAAGACCTTCAATAACAATTACATATGTATTAGGAGAGATAGATGGTCAAGGTCGAAACACAATACATCAAAGACTATGTGTGATTTTGTGGTGATATACCAATAGATTTATACAAGGACGTGTCCATTTTGTTTACTTTCGTATAATTGATAGTGGGTGTCGTATACTAAACAGAATTTTCCCATTCAAGTTGACGGAGATTTAAGAAGCTGCAATGTTTCTGAACGCAATGGCAGTGTTTGTACTTTACATAAGGCAATAGCAAGGAGGGCGTTGGTTTTAATGTAATGGTGTCTGATATTGTATGCATTGTTTACAAAATGGAAAAAAACCCATCTCAAGTAAATTTCAACCGGGAGACAATGACTAGTTATGATAAAATTTTAAGATAATGTGGAATACAATACAACAGTTGTTTTAACACCTGCTCACTTTCGTGTCTTAGGTCAGCTGTCGGCACACCCGTAAATATACCACGGTATATATCATTGGTGGTCAATAACGTTAGAGGCTACACCAGACAAAAACTTAAATTACATAGAAATGTAGCAGAATATGCTAAATTTTCGAATCATCGGTTTCAAAAGAGTAATATAAAAACACTGATCAGTAATCACCTTTCAATCAGTAACTACAATAACAAACATAAATCACTCTAGTTATCACCATAGTAATCAGTAATCACGCTTGTGATCACTAGTGATAATTAATCACCGTGGTAATCAATGAACGTCATAGTAACCAGAGATATCCATAGCAACCAGCATCTCCCGATATTTGTTGAATGGATCCCTGGGAGTGAACAGTTTACGGTTTATTGATAAGGAATTTATACTTCGATAAAATATTTTGTGTGTTTACTCATAGTATGCCATTCAAGGATTGAATTATTCAGACACTTCAGGTATAAGTAAATAATATGCACTTTTCTAGAAACTTAAGTACGAGCTGTCACCACCGATTTGATATCAGTTGTAATCAGTGACCTACCTAGACGTGACTAAGACAAAGGTGTGCTATCATGATCGTCAAATCAGCTGTCGATAGAACGATACTGACAGCTGGACAGCACGACTTATTTATCTCCATAGATCGGTGCTTGTCGATATTATTCGGTCTAGTTAAGGGGATTCTGTCTATTCTGCGGTCCATAGCACTATTATAATGATAATAATTCGAGGTTCTTATATACCGCTTTATCACAACCTAATTCGTAGGTCGTCTCAAAGCGGTTCACAAATTATTATCCGTGGTTATAGGGCCTTTGCAACCAGCCAATATCTTTCTCAACTCCCTGGGGAGCATACAGACGTAGCTGCCATTTCGGCGCTAACAGCTAGTATTCAACAGTTCTAGCACTGCCCAACCACGTACTCATTTACAGCTGAGTAGACTGTAACAAGTGGAGTAAAGTATCTTGCTCAAAGATACAACACAGTACCGTGCCGTGACTCGAACCCGCAACCCATCGGGCCTCCATAACTACTCTTCATATACAGCACCAGGAACCCCACACAACCCTCTGACTATTGTGTTACACTAAGTCATGATCATAACCCTTAAGACATGTAAAACTACTTCATACACCAGTTTTTATTGATTATCATGCCCCTGTGGCATCACTATGTCGCCCAATCCCATTATTGCCTAGTGGATCACGTTACCTGGTTTTAATGCTACGGATGTTTTTATTTATATTTTTTCTTTCTGTTCAATTAAATTTAAAATCAGAGTTCAAATAAGGGCATGAAATATAGTAAATTGATAACAGATCTTTAGTAACAAGGGTACGTAAACAAAAGTAAAAGGTGCGTTCGATGACGCACTATCGGGCTGTTATCACAGTTTTCTTTAAAAATTATATGATCTTAGCGCAAAATAGAAAACCCACAAAGCACCGAGTGGTATAATTTTAGAGGTGTGTACATACTTGTTTGTGAGATGTCACTACGACACATACAGGTTGGCGACCCGTTTAGACGTTTACTTTCGATTTTAATGATTTAGCCCCAAGGGTAGATTTTAAAATTTAAGTCGTGTGCGTAAAAAACGTGCTATCTTTATTTGGCACTTTGAATGAATATTCGTATCGATGTACTGGTTGACCCGTAAATACTCGTCATCCCAGTATCAGTCCCCTAACGTCACTTATAAACACTTTGTCAATTGATATACTGGTTTCACTTAATTCATTTTCCTACTGAATTCACAGAAAACCGTGTTAACGTTTTAAGTTTCAAGACCTTTTCTGGAAAATAGCAGCTTTAAAATGCTTCACTGTAAAACAACTCAACATTTCCACCAGACTATGAAACAAATACAGAAAGGTTCCGTCTTATAAATGTCCTTAATAAGATGGTAATGAAATCAAGACCCATTAGAAATGTATTCAGGGGGAGATAAATCTAACACAAAACGTTTGTTTAGTATGTAAAGTGCAATGTAGCAAATATCTTTAAGGAATGGCATTATGCTAAAATCTCACAAATGGAGGTGTGATCAAAGCAGATGGCTAATCAGATAAAAAATAGAAACTACTCTAAAATCGTACGTGTTAACCACGCGCCAACACCTCCTACGCATGAGCTGCTATTTATATATATAGATATATCTGTGTCATATCACCCTCACCCTTGTGAGTCGTTTTCGAGGTGCCTCGAGTTTGCTGAAGCGGGTCGGAATATTGCATTGCATATCTACATCGGAACACTTAAGGAACAGTTCGCCGAGAAGACTGTCTTTTTTACCCTTTCTACCCTTTTTCTGTCGATAAAAAGAAATTCTGATTGTTCCGTTTTCCAAAATTCGTTTCCGCACATTGTGGAAAACGTATTGTTCTTCAAAACAAACGTAGTCACCGACACACGGCAGAGTTCTTGTTTGTCTCTTTTCGTTATCGTCTGGCATCAAACATACAGTGGCGAACACGTAACAAGTTCGGGCTTTCGTGGGTAAGTTACACACACTGTGCAGATTAACGGCCAGTGTGAAGTTCCACTCATCGTAATTGACCGTAAACGTCGTTTTCACGACACCATCGAACGCGCGATCGTCAATGCTTAAATCGAGGTTGCTCATCGAACACGACCGTCGCATGACATCGGCCGTGCCAGCCGACTCAAGTTTGAGTAAATTAACCTGACTTTGAGTAATACTGCATGCGGTTAAAGACTTCCTGGGTTTGTTCATTGAGAGAGAAGACGGCGGTCTACTTTTTTCCGAATCCTCCGAACTACTTAAAGAAGAGGGTGGTCCACACTCATTTATGCGGAACACGGCCGGTTTCACATTCGTGCCATACCCGGGTTGGTCTAAGCTCATCTCCGATACATCAATCCTTGCGTTTTCATTGAAGTCTTTATCCGGTTCCACATATTTTCCGCTCTTAGTTTCGTTGGTTTGGTTAGGAACGGACGCAATATTAAATGGACTGCGTGCATCCATTTCTACAATGTGCTGTCCAGTTACAAGTTTCCGGCGGATTGCTCTGTTCCGGCGGAAGCATATTGTACACGTCACTATGAAAATGATGCAGCTCACCACGGCAACACTTGAGGCGACGATGATGTCGGAGGTTTCTGTGAACATACAATTATGGAAACACTCTGAAGGGACTTGATTTAATAAAGCAGAGACACATCCCTTCAACAACATGTCCAGCAATGGTGTTTTCGTAGACTGTAGCTATAGTATGGTAAGCCAGTGGGTCTCACATGAGTAAGCCAATGGGTATAGCATATAGGTACAGAACGAGATATCAAGGTAAAAATCTTCAATGTTATACTATCTGGTGCACTAGTTTTTAATCTTATTTTATTTGGTTATTCACTGAAGATTAATTTTCAGCTTACAACAATAAAAACAGACAAAGCCACATCCTTTAGGCTGGAATCAGGTGTATGATAGGCGTAATGAATCAACGTACTGGTTTTAAAATAGTTTTATTATTTAGTTATATTCTTATAACTAGACTTACCTGCAGGACATATCGAAATAGAATTCAATCAAACTAGTTACATGTCTACATCTTACGTTAAAAGTGATATGGCAAATACCTCTGTTGTAACTTAATAATATGTCATGTATTATATATTATGTTGTAAGTAATTTTTGTCGTAACTTATGTTGAATATAACTTGTAGTGTATGTAAAACCAACAGTTTTTGCACGAGCAATTACCATCCGTCTCCGTCTAGGCGCTGTACGAGCTGGACTTGAATAGAAACCAGCTACAAACTGGAGTGTTTTGCGTCAATGAGGGTAACCGTTTAGTCCAATTTTATAAATAACATGCATGGCCTTTAACTTAAACCTTGACCTGTACAGTTGTACGTCGTCGGGGCTATTTTCAACTAAGAAATATCATTACACATGCTCAGAAAACTTGACTGTTTATCATTTTATGAATATGATTCTTTTTTAACAATGTAAGAACTATATACGCACACCAGGAACGATTTATTTTACGCAACACAATTGCAGTGGTGAACCAGACAGCAACTAGTACATTAGTAATAGGGGAAATCGAACCCGACTGTCACTAGACGGTATATATCGGTATACAGAAGGCGACGAAATCATCTCCATCCGGGTATTTTATATGTTGATATTAGTTACCAATTGAATGACAATGAAATACCGTTACAGGCTTGTCTGTTTCTGGTGTATTCCAACAATAAACTGCATAGATGCAGCAGACCAAGTGGAGTAACTACAACATGTTGCACACTAAATGGTGCGCAATTGATCTGTCACATCTATATAATGCATTGATTACATTTTCGTTTTTATATAATGTGCAAGATTGACGCTTTCTCTACAATTCAAGATTCCCCATTGATACCGGCGAGGCCAGATCAATGATCAGAACAGCAACAAAGGAACAGCTGGCGTCATGCGCCGTCTCGCGCCAAAATTGCAAGATATCTGGTTAATTTATCTTAATTTGAAGAAAATGAACAATATTTGGAATGAGTTGATTAAGGTTGGAATAGTTCACTATGGAATTTTAGGGATGTTTTTTTTAAGAAGATGTCTTGCCAAAAGTTGGTCAGCTTGAAAACATACTTTTGAGTATATTGAAACTATAGTAAATATGTGAAAGGAATGCGATTTTTTCGTGTTACACACTGAGAGTATTCTTTTTAAACATGCTAGTATATTTCCGGTCGCAAAGTTTTCAATTCTTGTTTTCGTTCATCCATTGTCTCACTACGATTTATCTTCGTTATTTAATTCACAAATTGTATGAAGCTGCGCAGACCAGACTGTAAAGCATCTGTACTAACAGTCCAGTACGCAGTATATACTGTACGTTACCGGCGGTCCGGGTTAATTACTTTACTTTCCCCCTTGTAAACGATGAACTCATTAAAGATAACCTATTTATAGTTTTTTATTCATAGCTTTACATAAATACAGTTTTTCTCATACTGATCTAAATATATTTCTGAATACAGCAAATTTGTAGATTACACTTACCTAAACCGTTTTCGGTGTCCGGGTTTGAATTCATCAAGAAGTTTCCATTTTTTTCCGGTACATTTATTCCTTGATCTGTAGAAACAAAATAAACATATCACAGTTAGAAGTCCCTAATAGTTGAATTTGTATCCACCTTTTCTCTCCTTATCAAATTAAATCATTAGACCTATACTAGTATTTACTGTAAACCGTGACAGTATTAATCAGGGACTTGTATTTATAACACAGGCGTTATATCTCCAATACAATTTGTGGAATAGTCTCGCGAATAACACTGCAATCGCGAAATCTAATACATTTACACATTTGTTACAATACATAGATTTAAAATGAATCTAAAATCACACAGTACTAATAGGACAACACAGAGTACATCTTAAAACATACAACAGTAATCGGCGTATATGGACGTTCACGAGGTAATCTTGGGATATCAATGGATGGCTTTAACAGATACAGTCATCATATTCCCCTCCCCTACTCTCCTTACTCCCAAATCTCCCCCTTAAGACCCCTTCCCGACCCCGTCATATCCCCTCCCCTACTCTCCTTACTCCCAAATCTCCATCTTACGACCCCCTCCGACCCCGTCATATCCCCTCCCCTGCTCTCCTTACTCCCAAATCTCCATCTTGCGACCCCCTCCCGACCCCGTCATATCCCCTCCCCTACTCTCCTTACTCCCAAATATCCCCCTTAAGACCCCATCATATCCTCCTTCGTGTCCCCCTCCTCCTCTCCCCATATCCTTATTAAATCCTCCTCTCCCAATCCCAGACTCCCCTCCTCATGCCTTCTCGTCTACCCCTCATCATCATTCTACATCAAACTCCTTCCCATGGAAAATCACATACTCGTCGCCCTTCTTTCGATCCGGAACTACCCTCCCTATACCTGATCACATTTTCCCCCTCCCGACCCCAAACTATCTCCCCTCCACCCTTATTATATTCCACCTCCCCTAACCTTAAACTCCCCTACCCATACCATTTTACCCCTCCCGACCCTAAACTCCCTCCCCATGTCCTTCCGTTACCATACTTCCACCCATCTTCCGACCCCCACCATTTCCCTCCAATATTCTTTGGGTACTAGTCAAGCCTAAATGGAAACGTGAGAATCCAAATATTTGAGAAAAATACAATCTATTCACAAATAATGTAAAAGATATTTCAGTTATATATCAAGTATATTGATATACTAATCATCACTTGATATGCTAATTTTATTTATGTATTAATTATATTTATATATATATATTTATACATTTATACCATCCAACATACATACCTTTGGTGCGATTTTCGGGATTTACACCACTTGCAATATTCACATACGACAAAACTCCCATTTTGTGCAATAGCTGTGTATGAAGTCCAGTGATTACATCTTACGTTGTCAGGTACTCCTAGGAAATGATCCGTGATCACCTTTAACGCTTACCTCATTGAACACACCTGTCGATAAACTGACTGGTGGCACACCCGGCGAGCGATAGTTTTATACTTCACCGAGACACGTGACCTCACTCATGCAGCGCTGCATAACGTCATGTTCAAATCGGGCCATAAGAGCGGAACAGTCATTGTATACTAAATATATGTTATGTATTAAATAACTTAGGTCTATCACAGAGAGAATTCCGATGGACATCCTTACAGACGAATTTAGAACTCGGGACTTACTTGAGCTATTTATAGAACACCGACGTTAAAATTAGTGTAAATTATAATATTAAAATAGCAATAATGAAAAAATTGTTATGATATATATTAGGTATTATACAAAAATAGTTTTTCTACACTGAACCAAATAATGAATGTCATAATTATTGTAAATTATACATTTTACAGAAGATCTCCGAATAGAAATCTCGTGTTAAGAATTATGAAGTCCTATATATTTATCTCCTTATGGCATTGCCACTATATGAATGCCAGGACCCGATTGTTGACGTCATCATTATCATGACGTCTTAATTGTGATATTAGACACCGCTGATCCTCCCTGATCAGATGCTGTTCTATTCATTGAATAAGCATATACGATACGTATGCTAGTCTTACTAAATTTTGATAAATCGATTAAAATTTAGATAAGTTTATTTAGTCCTGATATTAACATATTCCTAAAATGGTGAATTTGAGTGCTGAACACCTTGTGTTTGCATTCATACTAAATATGAATGCCAACAGAAATCAGTCCAATCCTTCAATGAATCACATTTCAGTTCTGTTTACTATTTTATTATTAAGTGTTACAACTTGTCCATAACCCCAATGTTTTTCACCAATAAAATATGTTTAAACTACTGTGCGAAGTGCATAAAACTTTTCTATTTTTGTTGTATGTGATATTAAAGTATTATCGATTTGGTTTGAACTGGTGTTAATATTCAATATATTTACATTTGCATGGCATTGTCACTATATAGCCCCTTTGAAAGCTGTGTCGTTGATGGGACTTTAATTACCATGCATCACGAGACAAAATTCTTAGCGTATTAATACAACACTGACCGGAACTACAATATCCAATATAAATAAACATGACGGCTGCTGAAATATCGCTGGGCATTGTGGGCTTTGACAATGTCATTGTAAATTTATGTGCAAAATAAAAATTAAAAAAACAAACACTTTTATTACAACGAAAATAAGACCAAGGTCTGCAATATCGTACAAAATGCACACCGGTTGAAATCACCGATGCCGGCAATGGAAACAATTTTAACGGTCATCCAATTTATCAGAAATATCGTCTGTTACACTGCACTGATCAACAGGGGTTCGTTACAAATGTCTGAAATACACATATTCTATAGACCTACTGACACATATGTTACAGACCTACTGATATGAGTCACAGCACACATAAACATTTCAGACATTTTGTAACGAACCTGTGCTCCGTCNTCTACCGACTGTTGTAAGGTTCCCATACAATCAACAAATAAATTCACGCCTGGATTCTTCACAAAATGAGTGAAGAGAAAAGTTCGAATTAACTTCCAAAAATAACTCCCTCGTGGAGGGCAAGGTCGGATTTACGGTGTTCACTGTATTTATCCATGCGCGAAATTTGTTCCGGGGAAAAATCGAAACAATTTCAAATCTTACTTTCAGCTCAGAATTCTATTGATAAACTTAAATCACCTATAGATATTTCATACGCAATTGTATTGATACTGAATTGTGAAATAAAATTGAAGTGTTTGTTAAAATTTCAAAGTACTACTTTGTTTGCCAATCAGCACGCGACAATACGCTGTTCAAACTATTGAACGAAATTGTGTGGACTGTCGATAAGGCGGGCATTTTTAATTTTAGATATAAATTATGAGTTAAAAAAGAACATAAGAGGCAGAGAAAACGTAAATATAAGCATTGAACTGTTTTTGTATGGTATTTATGATCTATTTGAATGACACAGCTTTGCAAGCAACAACATAATGCGCGCTTAAATAAAAGCCGACTGGAAGGTGACAATTTACACAAGGCGCGCGCTGGTGCTTCATGTTAGTTTTACAATAATGCCCTTACAGTTGTGGCATTATAGTGACGTCAACAGGTCATGGCATTCATAGCTGGGGTATATAATATGATATGATGCACATCTGATTTTTTAAGCCATAAATCAATTTCAGATACAAATTGATATCATACACGCTTCCAAAACAGTCTCTGAACATTCTTTATAGATAATATGAAGCAAATATCAAGTTGCCTATGTCTTCATGTTTTTTTTTTTTAAATATCGTCACATTTCCCAAGATAGTTACCACGTAAGTTATGAAACTTAGCTTCGTCAATATTCAAACCGAACAAGTATATGGTGTATGCGCGGCGAAGATTGAAAATCTGTGGTAACTCGTATTACGCAAGTACATGTGTTATACATTTACACTAATTCACAAGTAAACGTCTTAAGATGTACACGCTTTACGCTCGTAAAAGTATTACACACATACACGTATCACACAAATTACACAAGTACTGCGGCCCATATCAATGGAATAAGTATTAAAGGACTGATATGCCTGTCATTTACAGCCGCATGTATTATGGTTTGACGCTCTCTGTTCGTCCATCTGTCTGTCCTTATTTTCGTGTTCAGCACATAACTTTGTAACCCTTACTTTTATTCTAATTAAACTTTATAAGAGTGTTGCCCATAACCCAAATCTGATTAAAAATCATTTGTTACATGGCTCCGCCTACGAAGTTAACGAAGCCATGAAACATATGACTTTAATCAGATTGCCATAACCCAAGACTGTGTCATGACCGTGCTCCAAGACATAACCCAAAGGTCGAGGTCATTCGATATCAACATCTTCGGACTGTTCACAATAACGTGCCCGACTCATACCTTTGCAATTCTTTTGTTTTAATTTGTACCAAATTTTAGAGGATTGTCATGGTCATGACACAAGGTCATATCCCCAAGGTAAAGTTCATAGAACATCAACATCCTTTTATAGATCTTATGGAACCGTATCCTGTTTCATACGACTGTGGTCCATAATCCAAGAGTGTCATGCCTTAACCAAAGGTCAAGGTCATAGAGCATTAACATCTTAAAATGTGTCCTGGCCATAATTTTTAACTCTTTGTTGACAGTGACACAGGCGTTGGTTCATATTTTTCCCATGGTCAGATCTATCTCCAAAGTCAGGGTTATGATGCATTAACATATTGGAACTGTCTTGGCCATACGTTTGATCCATTTGTCTTTTATGTATTTCACGCTATATGAAGAATATGAAAATAAAATCCTCAAATCACATATAGTAAAAATTGTGGCCTCTTCATCAGCCTAAACATTGACAAATGGTTTTGCTTGTTCAAGATTTAACGACCTTGAAATAGTTAAGGTCATTAAAAGCACAGCATCACTGGAAAAGAAAATGCATGAAAGTGAAGTCCCCCACTTCTCCCCGGTTCTGTAGGTATCCCATATCAGTCGCCTGTGACTATTCACTCCACGGACAAGGGATACGACTCAACTATAAGTTTACGTACAACAATCGTAATAAAACTGATTGTTACTTATTGGGAGATTTTGTGCGAAAAAACCCAAAAAATATATAATGGAGTTGTTGATAAAGATGAACGTAACATATACTACACACGAGATTGCACCGATACAATCTGTAAATGGAAACAATATGCCAAAGAGGAATGCCTTCTATGACTCGTCGGCGATACTAGGAGCCAAAAAGGTCGCGATCGAAATTGAAACGGAACAGGAGGTTGGTGACATCCTGCTAAGTAATATTCCCCCCAACATGTTTCATAATGGAATGGTTCCCACCGTCGTAGATAATAATTTATCTCTTAATGTAGTTATTTTGTATGCTTGGTTTTCAAATGTTTCCAAGCAACACTTTGGGATGTTCAAGTGCGACCATAAGGGCATTCTATAATAAAAACTAGAAATATGAAGTAAGGACCTGTCCATTCAAAATGCAGTGCAAAAAAGTCCGAACAATTTATGAAATAGTCATCACATGTGCATGTATTAGGTGGAATATATAATGAGGATGAGAAAATGGCGGATAAACAATTAAAGAAGGCTGCTTTCGGCCTAAGTTGTTTATTTTCCTAAAAGGTTTTTTTTATCATTTTAACCGTAATGTAATTAAAGTACTTTTCGCGTCTACCTCAGGTTCCATACGCCTATAATATGCAAGGCGACCTAAATAATCCAAACATCTAGGTAAGCTGTTCTTTTGCGCATGCAATCAAATGTCATATTTTTCGCGTCTACCTCAGGTTCCATACGCCTATAATATGCAAGGCGACCTATTTAATCCAATCATCGAGGTAAGCTGTTCTTTTGCGCGTGCAATCATATGTAATATGATGCCTTTAGTCTTCATTTCAAAAGCTGCACGTTTTTATTATTTCTGACCTCGTTGGCAGATGTCTTGTTATATAAATATAATGAAGTCGTGTGTTTGGTCTTTCTCTGTGCGGACGGACTAGTTGAAACGGAAATACCAGCAAGAGCGGAGTGAACAGGAGGAAGTTATAATAGCACGGGATGTGATGAACATTGATCAAAAGAAAGTTGTGAACAGCGAATAGTATAACTCGTCCGTTCGCATGGAGAAGGAACAACCACGTGGTCTGATATATATTTTCTTAAATTTACAGGTTTGTTGTAGTACTTATCTAGTACTCTTAAAAAATCTGACCCTCTAACCCCTTCTTCCCTCTCTCTCTCTCCTCCCCTCTCACCATCCCCCTATCTCTCTCTTCCTTTATCTACATGTGCATGTTTATATTTGTGCGCATGCGTGACGTTCGGTGCGTGAATGTGTGGGTGTATGCATGTCACTGATTAATTAATTTATAATACATAGCTTATTTACGTAGTTCTGCCATCATGAAATTTTGTTATTTTTTTTTATTATTGTACAGGGAAAGGGCTTGATATAAGTGTGAAACTTGTGCCCAATTCCATTGCTATGTAAAAAAGGCAATAAAATATGTTTATATATACACGCGCATGGTCTATCGCCCAGTAATACACGGCTGAAACCTCACATATTGTGGACTTATCATCTGCGATGGTGAGTTCTAGCAAGAACCCTCTTCTGTCAACTCAATGGCTCAGCAACATTAGTAAAATGTTTAAAAGCTACTTAAACAATTGCATATTTATTTCAATTTTCACTAATAAATTCTAAGAGAACTTTATTGGAGCAAAAGTTGCAATTCATATTTTCAGCGAGTTAATCTTTCTCGCTCAAGTGGACCAAGACTGAATTTTACCTTTTCAATGTTCCCTTTCTAGCGTGAAAATGGTAAATTGATTTTTTTTCTAATTTTGTGCTCAGCTCCTAATGGTGACATCGATTTGAGTTGTCGGACGTTGTCTTCACCCAGACGAGGGATACCAGTATAATATAGCAAAATGTCGACAGTGCGATGCGTTTACTCACAAACACCTGTAACCTAAACAGGGAGGTTCTGGGTTTCGTTAGGAATGTTGTATAGACACCTCTCCCCTTTACGCTGTATTCTACATTGAATTTATTCGTTTTCCCTTTTAGTACCACTATTGATTCCTAAATAAACACATGGCGACACTTTGTCAGTGTTTTGCCTTAGTTTTATGGCGACACTTTGTCAGTGTTTTGCCTTAGCTTTATCGCGACATTTTGTCAGTCTTTTGCCTTAGTTTTATGGCGGCACTTTGTCAGTTTTTTATGGTTACACTTTGTCAGGTTTTTGCTTTAGTTTTATGGCGACACTTTGTCAGTGTTTTGCCTTAGTTTTATGGTGACACTTTGTCAGTGTTTTGCCTTAGTTTTATGGCGACACTTTGTTAGTGTTTTGCCTTAGTTTTGTGGTGGTATTTTGTCAATGTTTTGCCTTAGTTTTATGTCGACACTTTGTCAGTGTTTTGCCTTAGTTTTATGGTGACACTTTGTCAGTGTTTTGCCTTAGCTTTATGGCGACATTTTGTCAGTCTTTTGCCTTAGTTTTATGGCGGCATTTGTCAGTTTTTTATGGTTACACTTTGCTTTGGTATTCCCTGGCTGTTGTCCATAGTTATTATATCTATTTGTGGCCATAGAGTCCATGGATATTTGTCTAGAATGAATAGAAAGCAAATCACCAGTCTATCTGAGTATGTTAAATTTGGATCATACAAGGAAATGTAATACGTGGATGACATTTATCACACGCAGCTATATAAATTCCTGCCCCTGCCGTTAAGTGCGTCATATATTGATACCACAAGGTTACACCTGCTGACTGTCGTGTCGGTGATATAAGAGTAGGGGCTTGGCTTGACCACACTGATAGTGTATCCTCTAGTCTATCTGTTAACGACAGAATCGCACCTGCCGAGATAGGAAATACAAGCTGCTTGAAATAATTAAAGTACACAAAACATTTTAGCTATATTATTTATTTTCATAAATATGCTATTGCTGAGCAAATGATTTTACAAATATACTTTATAAATAATAATATAAAATATTAGTCACATTATGAAAGAATGTACAACAATTCATAAAAATTACTTTGCTTTCACGATGAAAAAAATGACGGTAGGTCTCAAAGAGAAAAATGAATTCAAAATGATGGGTTGGCAATCGTTAAATAACTGATTTAATGCATAAGTTATTTAAGGCCATATCTTTTCATATATCGACAAGCGATGTTGAGCAATAAGAAAAAAAGACGGGTTTCGCTCTTTTCCGAGTCCAGCGTTCTAGAATATATAAAATTTCTTTTCAAATTAAAACTTGAAAATTAAATGTTATATAATATAAATTTTCTAAGATTTTGAAAACAGAAATTATATATTTACTGTTTTATAGCTTTTTAATATGAATACCCAATACATGTACCTTGACAATTCTACCGGTGAACGATACAGAAATATAACCAATGGCACCAAATGAAGCACCACACGTCAACACAATATAACCATTGTTAAGAATGAGAATTTGGTAATGGAATTCCATTCTCAACCAAGTGGAATAGGTACCCCCCCAACATGTACATAGCATGTATAAATATCGAGACGAAAGGAGTTAAACAAAGGCACGTTACGAAATATGTGTAAGTATATTTTGATTTAAATACGATTAATTGAAATCTAAAGGTGACTTTCTAAGTATTGTGGACGGAAGTTTATTGAAGCCTATGCTTTGTACATAAATTAAACGTATCACAGAAAGTGCTTGGAATGACATATGTTTGTGAAAATCACAGACAAAACATACTTTAACTATAAATACAAATCACAGACGTAATGATGTCCAAAAAAAATAAGTATACAATGAAATAAAATTCGGAGCAGAATCACAGAAGTTGTATCACATTATAGTCATGTGCGTATAATTATACAATATATAACGTTAGCCATATGTAATGCTGTAGTATATCAAATAGCTAAGATATTAAAAGTAATTGATTTATTACCGATGTACACTTTGATGTTAGGTGATAGAGTTATTATCATACATTATTTATTCTCTTCAATAACAATGATCGAGCTTAGAGGCAAAGCAGGTCAACTTCACCATGAATAATTACATCGCACGATATCACAACGGAATGGCTAATGTATGAAATCGGCATATCTAAAATTCTGTATTCATATATATATTTATATACTTTTAATAAAATGCGATTAAATGATACACATATATGGAATTCCTGCTATCCACAGGTCAATACTGTAGAATGGACGGATGACGGTTAGCACACAAATCAATACTGTTTCTGGTGGATCTCGACTGATTCCTGAGAACTATGGCGGGGGTCACGTGCTGGAATTAGACATCCATTTCAAGGATCTTGGTGTACCTGTAATATCAAAGAGTTCCAGATGAGTAATACTATAAAAAAAATTACTCAAGTATCGTAATGTACAATATCAGTAGCTACACTAGTCACTACACTAGTCACTTATATGTTTCATACCAGAATTACACAATTATCAATGTGCTTTATTTCAGAATTTATAAGTCAATATCAGCAATTATAACAAGTTATAAACATTATTTATTTTTGCCATAAGAAAGTGAAACAAATAAAATATAATAAGCCAAAAAACATCAATTGCCAAAGCACACCTATTATTCTGTCATCCAATCACCCTTACATTGTAATTTAGGGATTCGTTACATATGAAACGACTGTTTTATGGTAAACAATACACCGAATATCAAAATAGATCTTTAAACAGGTGCCAACGTTCTATCTACTAATAAAAAGATGGCCGTATTGTCGCAATGTAGATAAAATGCTACGACAGAATACTTACCTATATGTACTACAATATTACGACTAAAGACATCAACTAATCGACTATCTTTGGTGCTTTTAACCACTACCTGAATTCTACACAGACTATCCGCTTATACGAAAAATATGTGCTATTCGCATAAATAAAAATAAATGAAAACAATGCCTATTCTAAAGTGAACCGTCATCAGTTATGTGCCTCACAAAAAATATCTGATGTCTATTTTTTCTAATAAAATATAAAGATTTTTGAAAATCTATACCAGTGTACTCTTATCTTTTGTTAAGTCTTCCTTTCGGTGTGGACGCTTGAATGATAAAACTGGTCGAAACCTATAAGGAAAGTCTAGCAATAAGCAGCAATTGAAAGCAATCGATAAACAATGATTATTTTCGTTTAATTCCGCATTTCAGGCGAAAACAATTAGTTTGAAAATATCCAGAAATCAACAGTTCTACTAAACTGCATTATAAGCTTATGTTAACACAACTTTGGTTTGCTTCCACAGCTCCGGCGTTAACAAGGAAATCCTTGGATCAAACTACCACTAACCATAACCTTACTATGTATCCACGGAACACAACATTGTATTGCTTAATCAAATCCGTTAACAATCCTTTAGATAAGAGTATTTGACACACACCCAAGCTTCTGTTTCCCTGTTAACCTATACGACTTTATAAGAATATTCAGTTAACATTTTTACATCGAAAACTAAGCTGCACTTTACCCCTTTTAATTCAAAGAAGCAATTTTTTTTTGCACAGATTAAACAAAGAACATTTGACAAATAAAAGTTAGTGATCAGCAAACACCATTAAGTGTTTTAGTAAAACAACCACCCAACAACACACAAACCAAAGGATTACAAAACACCCATCCAATAACACAATAATAAGGAGTTTGTAGGCTTGCCTGTTGTTCAAAAGAACGGAATAATGGGCTTTAAACGCAGGATCTTTAAACAGGAATGCGTTGCTCAAATAAATCATGATTTGTTACTAGGTTGAAAAAGGGTGAAGGAGAAGTGTACAAATAACATCTCTGTGAAAACTGAGACCGGTCCAATTTTATTGTGTGGTATTCATTTATAAACAATAGCTAATCGATGCAAGACTCTTCTTTAAATCTCCTTCATCCCTTTTTCCCCATAAATTAACATAATAGCGTGGACAACGAAGTCACAGAGTGAAATTCAAGTCAAGGAGAGTGAAGTGGCCTAAATTCTTCCCAAAACGTCCAGGTGAATAAATTTGACAATAAAAAAAAGTCCATGCCATGATTAAATATTTTGTGTTTAGTTACATGCCTCCAACGTAACCGCCAGTCATAAATATATGACGTCATCCAGATATGCCATGACGTCACGTGTCATTTAGTTTGAACAAGCAAACGTCTAGAAGATGAATAATGCTGTTATTCTACTTCCGTTGTTATTATAAACGTTGGATATAGCAGTCGATGAGTTCGTTGTTCATATAACACATTGACAAATGATGTGGATACGAATATAAATGAATTTAATATAAATAAATGGTATCAGAATGGATGATATACACGTGGACTACGTGATAAATGATAGGGAATGTTAGTGACAATGAACCAAGTGGCAAGTGATAATGGAAGTTGATTGATATAGGAAATACTCTGACAAACGTTCACGAACAAAGAATAGGAAATAAATTTGTTTGCATATAAGATAAATATTCTTTGCTACTTTTTATCATAATTATATTCATAATGTCATCACAATAAATATGTTCGTAATTTCTAAGCATCTAAAAAACAGACAAAAGCAGTAACCATCCCTGAATGAAGCAATTATTGTTTAGGGTTTTTGTGTCTTTGCAACAGCTACAACTACGAAATCCGGTTGAATGCTTCGCATATCTTCTCTGACCCCTTAGAAAATGTCATAAGATAAGTTCCTGTGTGCAACCGGGGACAATACGAGTTGACTAGTCATTAATACCTGTGATCTCAGAGTAATGCCTTGATTAATTATTAAAGAAAATCGCACGACGGCAAAGCAGTAACATTGACAGGCTTTAGTATTAGATAAGCTCCATGATCATCTTTAAAGCAAAAGTACCTGTCTATCAGCATTGTGGCTGGTAATTATTTTGATGTTTGGAACTAATAGCCAACCACAAGCCTTAATTTTTTCCATGACACATTGCAAATGTGCGTAGAAGATATACGACATTGAGAGATTAACTCTTGGGTTTCGAAGAACCAATAGTAAAAGCGAAACGAAGACGGTGTCAACAGATGTGGAAACCACCCGTCAGCTATTTTCAAGAGACATCTCACAGAAGTGTCATAACATGGACACGGTAACATAACATTGAAAAGGTAACATCGTTCTAACAACGGACAAAACGGGGATATAGGAACTACAGGAAAGAGTGAGAAGGTATGATACAAAGGATCTAAAAAGGATCTTGGAGCCCACCATTGTAAGATCTTCAATAGTTAAATGGATGTTTCGTTCTTATGTTTTTCGCTTATATCTGTTGGGTTGATTATCATGCCAACAGTAAAAACAAAACTTGATAGGTATGCCATGTTTTCTTCTAATAATGCTCAAATTTAAGTAGGAAGAACTTTTTTATGCAATCTGAGAAATATATATACTCTTTATCACCGACTACCTACATAAGAAAATATTTGAGAGAAATACTCCATTACTTTCTGAAAAATAGCGATAACAAACTTAAAGCGTCAAATTCCAAGAAAGACACATGAAAGCATCTTTTATTGAGATCAGTTCAAAATAGAACACCCACAACTAAGAACAGCTAAGATATATATATAAAATAGGAGAAAGGTCGGTCAAATACGTCTTGATAAGTAGTATCAAGTATTATTTATGGACGGACAAAGGGTTAAGGATGGAAGGATAATTGAATTGCTAACGTCTTATGATTGTGGGTTATAAAGTTTAAGCTTCGTAATAAGGAATGTTTAGTACTAGAACTACGCGACTGTTACCATGACAAAGGGAAATAACTTCATTTTATGATACAAATTTAGATAAAATGAAAAAAAAGAGTTTATCAATTATATTTCAAAACGATATTGAATTATATTTTTCAAATATTTTTAATTCTCCTCCAAGGTTACCATACCAGCAAAATATTTCCTTGCAATGCACGTTTTATATTTATAAATGTCATTGTCTTAATGGTGATCTTATTATCACTTGAGATGAACTAGTTTATTGATCTTTTTAATAAAATGACACCTTAAAACAGTGTTGCTATTTGAAATACAGCAGATTTGTTAAATTTGAAATACAAAATTTAGAAACACGACATGTTGTGAATGACAGGTGAAAATGAAATAATGGAGAAAAAGATGTGAGGTGTATTGTGATAACACAGAAATATACAGGAAAGCACTTGGAATTGATAGTGCGGATACAGAACTAGACACTAAGGTGCTATTTACAAAGATGAACAGAGACGATCTCATAGATTGCTGTATCCAACATCAGTAATAATAAATGGGTTATATTTGTAAAACTATATACACTAAAAACAGAGACTTACAAATGATGATTCCCCAATTTAATGCAAACCCATAAGTTATTGCCCCAGTTTTTTGCCCCGTTCTAATGTAAGCGATTTGGCTGGAGTCTTGGAGGCAGTGGAACTTGGAGGGCCGGTCTTCAGGAGGTCGGCTATGATCTTACTTGTTAATTTCGGTGGGTTGACCGACAGAAGCGATTTAGGGTGTGTGGAACGTCTGAAAATGGAGAGAAGAAAATCATAAATAAAAAAGAATAGCAGAAACAGAAATAAAGTAAAACTACAGATAAGAGACACGATGACTTCACAGCCTTTTTTTTATACAAAATCCATAGCAACAGTTTACCTAATTTAGAACCCTCATTCTCCAAACAAATCTTTCTCAGCAATAAGTGGTTGAATTCTGTTTAAAGGGACAAACTCGTTCAAATCACAATCTCATATTGATATAGTTGTTTTGCCTAGAAAAAATATTTTCATTCCTTTGATGTTGTTTCTATACCGACACTTATCTACCGGTATTACACGATTGAGCTGGGAGACCAACAATACCGTGTCAAAAATGTGTAACGTACAAAGTACATAATACAATAAGAAAATGCAATTGTTCAGCATGGCTTGAGCAAAGTTGGTTTTCATTTCCAACATCCTTTCAAAACAATTAAATATAATTCTTAACTTCGAATCGGATAAAGGGTAGAGAAATTAACAACATAAGCAAATCTCATCATCGTTATTAAAAACAATTCCAACAGACATGTTGATTCTTCAATGTAAAATTCACAAGGACAGGCAATTACAATGTGATTGAGAATTGAATGCAAATCTCTAAGTTTTGAAATAAATATTTCACAACACAACGCAACAAAACACAAAATAACGGTAAACAATATTATTTCATTAGGAAAACTCATCTTTGATTAAGCACCATATTTGTTCAAGCACCCATGCACTGATTGCATTAAAAATTAAAATCATACCAGATATTCAATTCATGCAGCTTTTTGCCATACTTCTGATTTTATATACAATAAAGCAACGGTTAAAATGTTACAATTTGCTGTTGCTCCTATCTAGATATATCATGCTGGAATTTGCAATAGGCATGAAGCACTGTATATTTTACAAAAAAACACTTGTTTTCACAGCATTTCCTGAAACGGAGAAAGTATGGTACTGAATGAAGAACCACGCCACACTAATAACTCTTTCAAGAATTCATTCAGCAAATCAATCAAGTTCCGCTATTGTCTGTAGAGAGTAAGAGAGATTCGGAATTGTTTGTTCAACACAGGACAGAAAGGCGAAGGTTCATTTCCAGCGTAAATCCATTCCCCATATGCTACACAGAAGCAAAGGAAGTACACAAGTATATACTTCCTAAGGAGATATATATGTATACAAGACTTTCTACAGATTCAATAAGAAATAAAATAAAGCATGGAGAAAGTTTGTATTACAATCAGCACTCGGCCAATTTGTTAGCCTACATAGCAGAAACGCACTAAAGTAATAGAAGACAATGGTCTTCACACGGTAATACAAAATTAATAGGATTAGCACAATTGTTAGTATTACTTTCGCTGAAATAGATTCAGAATGCTACAAGAAGTCTTCAACAGAAAGTTGTCCTATTAAATACCAGATCAGAGTTGATATAGCGTCAAGTGTACACATTGTATATGTCTCAATATTTGGTTAATTGTTGTGAGTACTACGTGATGTCCAACTAGTCCGAATTGGGATTTCGTCCTGAACCAAGGTTTCTTAAGCTTTTTATAAATTGCGATACTAATTGTCAGTGGAATGTTGTCAAATGGGAAAGTACTACGGTAACCAATATAACAATAGGTCACAGCAAAATCCTGAACACTTTATTTCTACGTAGTATTTAAATAATATGTACATGTATGTCATTTGAACATTTTAATGTTTCATAATTCTCATCACAAAGTTTATCATCAAACCGACTCCCGAGTCTTGGCGATGTACTACGGAGAGATCAACGACACCACAGAGAATCAACCAAATCAATGTGTGACAGTCACCATGCAGACTAGAATTAGTGATTACCAATCGTAAGCGGCTAAGCCATAACATCTAACATATCAGGTTTTAATTTGACAATCGCAACACACAAAACTTTCAAAATATTATTTTCAAAAAACAAAATCAAGATTATCTTCTCCTTTCTAACGCATGTAAAGCTCTTAGATATGAATAGTTTTGTCCGACACCCCTTAAAACGAAATACCAGCAAATGGTCTAACGGATCTAAAATATTTAATATACAAGTACATGAAGAAAGGCAAAACAGAAGGGGATGATGCCGCTATAAGTGCTATATTCACAAGAATATATATATATATTTATATGTATATTGCTGTTGGATATTTAGCTATAAAAGTAAAGTTAAGGAGGACTGTTAAGGATCGTCGTTAAGCGTTAGTCAGAAGGAGTAATAAGTCGTTAAACTATCATTACATATTGATTGGGTATTATAATCTCTGAGTGGCAGTTTTGGAAAAAAAATAATGTGTTCCTATACTATGGTGGGTAACTTTTTGTGATATAATTTTGGATCTGCATATACATAGTTAACTGTGCTTCTACACATTTTTAAGTTGAACAAAAATAATGCATACCTAATACACGCTATGTAAATATTTACTTTTTACTTAATTGATACCTAAACTAACTATAAATTTAACATAAATTTTACTACAAATCAACGTGATCCGCATTAAGCCCTGCAAAAACCTACAGGCTATATACATGGTTCGGTTAATGTTCTAATGTTTCTAGACAAGAAGTAGGAAGCGGGGATGTTGGCGATTCAACTGCATCTTTCCTACCGAGTCCAAATTACATTCTCTCTATTCTATATTCATATTAGTGTATGCTAATAATGTCCAGCTATCGTTATACGAAACATATTATTTTGGATTTTCTTCTTCCTATAATCCTTCAAACTTGATCGAATTGTAAAACGGATACTTATTAGTTTCGTTAAATGTATGATGCCAATTATATTTTAAAAATCAACGACGTTATGGATAGAAAGTTATACCATCTTCCGATTTAGTTAAGTTTAAACAGTACATCTATGTAATAATCAAATAACCTTATTAAAACACATGATTTCAGAGGGATGGAAAAACAAGCTTAGCGCTTTTAGTTTTTCCCTTTCTTTCAATAGAATGTAATTTCTGCTGCAACATTAAGAACCCGGTCAGCTAGTTCTCACACAAAATAAAATAATTACGTTCTATGATTAACACTAAACACTGGCAAAATACGTTTCAATTGATATAGAAAATGAAGCACTAGAATACACTTCACTTAAATTTCAGTAAGGCTGCTAGCATATATTTTAAAGAAAATTAGCTCTACCTGATGAAAAGATGGGTTGGGTAGTATTTGTATAATTTACCAGTACGTCTATAGTTTATTTATAGCTAATTGTTTTCACTTACAAACCGACAGTTTCAATACTAGTTGCAACATATATGGCTGTTTTTACCAATATTCTAAGGCGTAAAGCAGGTAATTTGAAAATTACTTCATGTGTCTACTAGCTTAATTATATCTACTAGCTTAATAAACGTATCAAACGGAAATATTAATTTAATTACGTTTATGAAAAAGTGATTTGACCGTGTAGAAACACAGTAACTTGAGGCTGGGAAGGAGAAAGAAAGGAGAAGTTCTTGATTGTTATATATGATAGTAGGAGCGTGAGATACCTACATCTTACCTCCCGGGCGTGCTTGCCCAGAAGCTCCACGCTGTCTGCGCAGTGTCACAAGGAATAACAAATGTGATCTATAGCAACTGTAGAGGAACGAACACAGACCACAGTTAGCGGGTTAACTCAATAGGGTAGTAGGTCTTGTTGGCAAAATAATCGGGAACAAAATAATCCACGCGTGTATAATAGTCAAACCATGCACCCTAAATGAAGATTTTTTTTTATAAATAATTATAAAATATTACATTTTTATTTAATACTTTATATTATCGCGATAAAATGGGGGTTTACATACGGTGACAACACCTTAAACAATGAAAAATTTATAGGATAAAAATTATACTACAAATATGAACAAATTATTGAGACAGTTTTCGCAGACATACAATACATTAATATATATTTGTTTATAGAAATGTGCAGTTAATTTGGTAATAATACAACTTTACCAGTATCCTTCCTATGTTGTAGTTAGAATGTTAGATCTACACTGAAGTGAATACGTATAAATGTTATTAAATGGATTACAAATACAGCCAAACGTCATTATTTTAAAGAACATTGCACAAACAATACAGAAAATTTCCGGGCCGTAATAACGAGGTTTTACTGTATTGTTTACGGTAAGTGACCTTAAAATTATAAATTCCTTGGATTTTTGGATTTGGATTATATTTTTTCATCAATACCTAACCCAAATATAATTTTTACTGTATACATTTGGAGCAGTTGCCGTACATAATATTGGGTGCATGGTTTATTGCTTCCGGACTTGGAGATGTTTATTAGTTCATTAATGGAGAGGATGCAATGTTACAGAAAGGTTTATGCTGTTGAATAGCATATGTTTGTATAGGATGCAAGACTGGCTATCAGACCAAACCATGTTTGCAAAAGAAAATTTTATTAAAGCATCTTAATGAATATTTTTGCAAAGACGAAAAAGTCAACAGTACAGTGATTTGCCTACAACTTACCTTGATTTTGAAGATGTTTATTTGTGAAAATATTCGCATACAAAATATTTGATAAAAAAATATCTTATTTGCATAAATTTCAAATGCAAAACTATAACAATTAAATCTATACAGGGCTAAAATATGAGCACAAATTGAAATAAAAACACTACACTAGATAAAATCAAACTCTAGCAGGAGGTTCACAATTGTCACACCATGCTATATATACTAAAGGTACATGTACAAAAAATATGGCAACGTAAAACGTCACAGAATGTAGCACATCTATTTTTTCTAGACAAATTCTGAATCTAAAACTAAATAAAACTTTTCTTACAATAAAATGCCTACATTTCACACAGGCATGAATATATAAGGAAACAAATTTAGAAACGCCAGAAATTTAAGAATCACTGCGGACACACTAAGACTGTGGCATAGTAGTTTGTTACGAGCCGTGTACTACGTGTCAGAAGCCGAGTCAGGGATGGATTCACGATTGGAAAGGAAATGGTAACGGGTACCACTGTATATATATATTACAAGTAAGGGTGATGTGATGACAAGACGTGTGCGGTGTAAATATACAAATATACACACATATAATTCAACACTTCTTATTGACACTTCGAACAAACCACACACATAATCAGCACACTTACTTTTTAATGAGGGCGTTAATATCGTCCTGTTCCTGTGTATCGAGATCATCTTCGTCGATAGGTAGGTCTCCATCCGGTAGGAAATCGTCCACATCACCCTCACTCTGTCGGTCACTCCTTTTTTTGATTTTCTTGCGACTTTGACCTTGATCTTTGTGTTCACTTTGATCAAGGTCAGTAGAAAAACTGACAGAACTACTCGGAGATAAAGGTTCGTCCCCCTTTGGGGCATCGACCGCGAACGTGGGAAGTGTTGGGGAGGTTGCAAAACCAATGCCAGGTGTACTGGCCACATCCTTTGTGGTATGGGAAGAGGAACTCACCTCATCAGAGGATTTGGGAGCAGCCGGTCCAAAGCTACGGCCCCTCGTTACAAGTCCCATTTTACTGCTCGGTGATAATGACAAGGGTTTGATTTTTCGCTCTGGGAATGGGCTCTCGCTGTGGCTGCGGTACTTGGATATCAGAGACTGGAGGCGGTCTCCTCCCTTGTCCCCTGGCCCCGTACTAGAAGTTCTTTGTGGTTCTACATAGAAAATATTGAAACACTCTCAGTTGTAGAATAAACTTGAGTTATCATTTTCTATATAAAAACTCATTGTTTGGATAGATAACAGGCACATGATGTTTACAAGGATTTGACGTTCGATGATATAAGAAGAGGTCATATTTTTTAATACAGGTTTTGTTTCTCTATCCACTTGTGTATATGCTTGATATTGATATAACAGTCAGACCACCATGTCGTTATTTGGTAAATATTACAAGTCAGCACAGATAAAAAAAAAAGTGTTCATATAGTTGCTTCTATGCTTTTTTGCTCAGAACAGGAAAATTATATTGTGATATATTTTGTTCGCAGCATTATGTGTAGAATACTGTATATCGATAATCATTAGGTATGCAATGCTTTTAATGACAGCATTTTATTCACAATGGCTTTTAAATTGACTTAAACATGAACGGATTTTCTTTTCACAGGTTACTTAATCAATTTACATAGACGACGTTGATCGCATGTTAAAGTTCTAAAATGATAAAAGCTTGTTGGCAGATCCAAAAACTTCGAAAAGAATAGACTTACGAAACAGCATCCATTATTAACTGTATTTCATATTTTTTTTCTTCTACAGTTCACCTTATTATTATAAAATTATGTATATTTAATTATGACATTGTGTATCAAATGCCCCGCCAATTCTAGCTTTCGTAATTTCTGAAGTTTAGATTACAAATGACCATACCTTTTCTACTATTAAAGTGACTTAAACAAGCACGTATTTTTGTTGTTTTAAAGAAAGATGTATCAACTGAAAGATATAACCGGGTTGTATAACAAAGAAATTCTACAGTGATCGCTGCACCCTGGGTAAGTACACTCGTCCATCATTGGGTCTCGTTTTGAGAGAAGTGAAAGACTGAATTACCTACAATTTCTGTAGGAAACATTAATAGAGATCCAACTTATTGCATGAATCGTTAGAACACAAATATACAAGATTTTGAAGTCAATTTTATACAATTTTCAAAATTAGAGGATTTCCTAGTGGTGTGATAAGTCTCGCACACAACATACGGTAGAGTTATTATACAAAATATATCAGTGTAGTACAATTTATGTTTTGAGCAAACAAGTCTAGAAAAAAAAGATTTTATTATAAGGTTTCTCACTTTTTGTTCAAAAGGTAAACAAGTCATAATTCTAATTGCAAATGCCAAAAAATAGCAAGTGAAATAAATAGTCTACTGTATACTGGAAAAATTTAATAACTTGTTCTTTCAACAGTTAAGTTGATCATTTGTCCTATAAAGAATGCTCTATCTAGAAACAGTGGAGCCTCATTTTTCTGGACTTGCTGATTTTTTTAAAACTAGTCATGGAATTTCTTTTTAAGACATTTTTAATTTATTGGTATCTAGAATGATGAGGTTCCGAAATTGTATATAAGATTTTGTCATCATTCATATGTCCAAAATAATAGACAAGAAATCAATATAACAATACGGAGGAAATACTTCAGTATACAGTAGCTGAAACAAATGATGTGCTCGAACTGATGGTGTTATCTTTCTGTTTGGGACCGGCATTAGATTAAGTAGCAGATACAAGAGAATACAAAATTTATATAAAAAAAAGATTAAAACAAATACATATTGACGATATATAATAACATAACAAAATTATGTTCGCTTTGACTGTATAGATAAATTCTCTGTCACCTTGGTACGGTTCATAGGTCCTCTAAAACAAATCGATCTCCTGATAAATCACATTTAAACACCCCAATTCAACATCGAGTATCAGTGTTATTTGTATATATCAAACTTGTAATTTAGATTTTACAATGGTGCATAGCAATGTTAACGCAGTCAAGAATGAGAGGCATTAAGGCTGATATCTTCATGTTAATAGTTCAACGGCTTTCAGCATGTCAATCTCTTTTGCGACCTAACTTTGTTATGAAGTGTCATACTGATTGGCTTTACGTCCGTTTCACTACCGAGTAGTTTGGTTATCCAGCAGACGAACATGACATATTATCTAAAGGTCACTTATATACCTAGAGTCATACGTAGCTTTATTTTTAACTATGGAGGGGCATACTGGCCTTAAACCAATATATATATATGCTTATGGCTATAGGAATGCTGAAAGTCATAGTAAAATAACCCGATAACATACTTAATCGGTACGCATGCATTACAGTATGGCCTTGTCACCGTGATGAGTAATTAAACTTTAGATAAAGTGTTCTTTCGTAACAATTAGTGTTCGTATAGAAAAACGAGACATGGTATAACCATTATTACACTTTTAATTTACAATGGTTAACATGTTCAGCACATTAATAAGATCAAAGATGTTTTGAAATGTTGACACCATGAAGTTAATTTCCTCACGATCTAGGCATATAAATGAACTTTTTTTTTTTTTCATTTCGTAGCATTCAATTGGGTCACAAAAGAGATTGACATGTTGTAATGCTGTTAAACTAAATAAGCGAAATAAACCCAAATAACATATTTGAAATTTAATGTACAGCTGGGGTATTTGAATATGAGTTATTAGGGAGTTGAAATTTAGGGTGACTAAACCATCTTTTAGGAGGCTTGTCAAATCTAAACCGAGTTTCTAAACAATCGCAAACAGAATGAAAACCATCACAAATGAATTATCTTTGTATGATGAGCAGTGATAACCAATACATAGTTGTCAATACTTTTCTCATGTACTGCTACAGTATGTGCTTATTCAAATAATAAAGATAATCTGTTTTTTTTTTTTACAAGGATTCATAATTCGACTTTACATTAATTTTAACTCTGAGTTTTTTTTTATATATAAATGAAGACCAAAAATAATACGCCAAACCTTATAATTTCAACCAAAACTAAATATTTTATGAAATTGAACAATATGGTCACCTAAACAAAGAAGTAAAAAGATGCTGTTTCAGATATAAACTATCTTCGTATCGGTTTTATTTTTGTTTCTAGCTATCACTGGTTTTTGAAGCAAGCAAATGATGAAAGTGATATTGACAACATGTGATGTATAGATGACAATAGCGAACTACAAAATCAAGAAAAAAGCACACAAAAACAGCTGTCAACACCAAAAGTATTACATACCACAAAACGGAAACTAAATACACTGTAATAAACCAGGACTGGTATTAATCATGGACATGATATCACAGTGATTATAATGGACATGAAGGCATTTATAAGTAAAAACAAACTGTCGAAATCCAACTTTCACAGCAGATGCAGCCATGATGCAGGTTATGATGAAAGTAATCTGTTTGCAACATGCGGCAAAAGCAATGACCTTATTTAGTATGACAGAAAAAAAATGATATGAAAAGTTATCAGAAAGTTTTAGGATATTGATTAAGAGTCCCAAGTCCAAAAGGAATCTATTCTATGAAGAAGTATGTAAAAGACGTTATATATTTTTCTATCAAAATTGCACATTCTGTCAAATTCGATTCAATTAAAATACACATGTAACTTCCCAATTCTTTTTTTCAATAATAGAAATAATAATAATTCTTATATTGAAAATTAAATCAAAAATGGAATTTCAATAATTCAAATTTTCTCAATAATTCAAAGTATTCTATCCAAAACCATTTTGTGACCTCTTAAATTCGATTATTCTCTCGTAAATCAAGCTGCACTTCAAACTACAGGCAATTTTCAACGGGTAGCATTCAGACACGCTGAGCCAACACTGTGTATAGTTGCAGGTTAGCGTGGTACTTACTAGTTCCCAGAAACTTTGTACCATAGAGCCCAGGTGTGACCGAGATACCTGGGTCAGCACCCTTAGCATCTTTATCAGAAGCTGGAGTGCACAATAATTTCGTAAATGAACCTGCAGGTTTAATATGTGGCTGCAAAAAGGAATTTCGAAAATATGTTATGGAATGCACTTTTAAATAAATCCTTGAGCTAAAACACTTTAAATTTTGATGTTGATCATCATTCCGTTAGATACATTATGTATATTTTAGAATATCACTTGTTTCAACATCTGACCAATTTAAAAAAGGTGTTTGAACTTAACAAATGTTAATTTTACATAAAAAATCAAAAGAAAAAAAAATCCATGTATTTTGGTCTTTATTAGAAATCAAGATTTACCTTAGGACTACGAGGTGTCAGTTCTTCGTCTACCAAAACAGGGAAATAAGTAAATGCATTTATAAATATCCTATGAGACGTACGTACTCTCAAGTCGAACAAAAATGATGTAATATGTATGAATCAGGAAGGACAAAACGATGAGCAAAAGCTTGAAAGCAGCTGATTCACATTGACTCATCAAACATAACTACTTTATACCATTATCAAAACTTAAAATGAAAACATGATAGCAATATTTAATTGAAAATGAATAAAAACACATCATTATCAAATCTATTTCAACAATACTTCGATTTCTATGCTGTTTAAGGTAGAAATAAATCTTCAAACAAACCAACCATATTTGAAATATCTTCCTGAAAATGAAATTTAGGAAAAGAAAAGTTCAGTATAGATAAAGGCATACACAAAATACAAGTTCTGAAAAAGATTAATGAAAATTAAGATAGAGAAAACCACAACCAATTTAAAGGAGGAGGTGTCATTAAGAGCTATAGTGAATACATAATTCAATCGAGTGGTTTTACTTAACCTTGGTTAACTCATTCACCCCTAAAGATAAATTTGAACCCTTCAAATTCAAAGGTTGGAATAGTTCATTATAAAAAAGGGGTGAATGAGTTAAGTAACAAAATGGCTACAAACACCCTTTGAAGTGCAGGGGTATTGGATCAACTGACAGAATATATTATCAGAAAAGAGTGACATTATAATTAAGACATTCACTCAACACCCTCAACAAACTAGAGCTGATAATGACACCATCCTCCAACATAGAGGTACCAAAGCACTATCAACGCATTACATAAGTGGATAGAGACGAGGGGCTTAGCATTACATAAGTGGATAGAGACGAGGGGCTTAGCATTACATAAGTGGATAGAGACGAGGGCTTAACACTACATCATTTTACTAGGGTTGAAGGCAGGTGTCTTTTTTTGGACCCGAAAGCCAAGCTTTCACCCGAGGATACAGGCAAACATATTACTGATGCATGGGAAAAATGAAAGATGTGCACTCCCAAAAAGATGTCTCTTTATATGAAGATCTAATCACCAAAAGTTGTCTGGTGTGCTACAAACTTTATTTCATGTGAACTCGGAAGGAAAAGGGCATATTAATGTTTTAAAATATCCATGTAAAACAACATGTTTACCTTGATAAAAGCATAGCTCATAAACATAGAGATTGATTTAGAATTGAAAAACATTTCATATACATAATAAAGTCAAAGATATTCTAAAAGTTGAATTTTCACATTAACAATGCATATCACTTCAGACTAAAAAGTTTACATAAGAAGCAAATGTTCTTTTTGTCTTAGAAATAGAACAGATATAACAGCATATACTGTGATTATTTTTTCCTGAAATTCATGAAATACATTCAGTGTTATTTATAGAGTGTAAGGAAATAAATGAATACCTGGAATTTTACCTTCATCTGTTTTCCTGTAGACAGAGAAAGAAAGAATGCACAAACAGCAAAACCACCATATCAAACAGAAATCCAATTACATTTTTTTTAAATGCACACATAATATAAGTATCATGGTAAAATCATTCAAGTTGCAAAAATAATTCATCAAATCAAAACTTTCAAGAAACAGCTTTATATCTTTAAATGTCTGTTTTGATACTATTAATATTGGAGCAAATTCTTATTGTTTAACTGGAGAAAAATGAATTGACGGTAGAACATGCATCAAACTGGAGCTTAATCATGTGATAATGATAAAAGCAAATAAAATTGATTACAACATCCTCATTTCTTAAATAAATTTATATAAAATATCAAAACTACAGCCCTTGAGCAATTATCTAACTAGAAAGCGAAGCTTTTTACTTTAAATATGGTAATCCCCTAGGTGTTTCATTCTCCTAAGTGTTTCATTCTTCTAAGGAAAGATCAAGAAAAAAAGTGAATTCATGCATTTTACATAATCTTCTTTCTACATTAATTAGCTCCTGGCATTTTCATCCATATTTTTGTTAAAGATTTGTGTATGATTAATATCATGCAGATTAAGATTATTTCCAGAACTTCATGGTAACAGAATGGAATACACTTAAGTTGTTAATAGTTTTTATCTATTGTATATGATGTTTAATGTGTCACTTGAAAAAATAATTAGCTCACAAGGGAAATAGTATCATTTTTTTTAATATAATATCCTATAAGTAATCTTACCATGCTGAGGAAAAGTTACTCAGAAACAAATATCATACTATACATGTTCGCATGCACACCATTCAAAACTCATATATAAATCACATGCTTTTCATTCTAGCTGAAATAAAATATGTCGTTAATAGCAAAAGAAGCTTTGTCTTAAACCAGCAAAACACAAGAATAAACAGGCAATGCAGTTCTGTAGAAGATGAGTGTGTGTGTGCAGTGTCGACAACGATTAGTAACCAGAGGTACAGAGGACATTGGCACATGGTTACTCAAGGAGACCATGCAGGTAGGGACCCGTGATTCAGGTGTGACAAACCAAGACCTTTCACCAACAAGATAGGGGAACAATATCGAATTCAGGTAACCATTCAAAACATCAAGATTTAGATTGGTCACTAAACTTCAGAAAAGTGTCTGGGTTCAAATTCAATGTAACTAAAAAAATATTTATGAAAATCATCTCTACCTTTTTTCCTTTTATCAATTCGAGGTTATATTTCGACCAGTAAATACATATATCTACAACATAAGCTTTGCTATTTCAAAGTCACACTGAACAAATTTAAGCAAATTCTAATCTATTGTCTATTAATACAAGACATCTAAAGTAAGTTTTAGAAGGATAATGAGTCAATGCGATGTTATATATCCCTACTATGTGTCCTTGATATTAATTTGTTATAAAACATCGACTATTCTAACTTTAACTGAAGTTTATTAAGTGCTAACAAATTGTATAAAGTAGAAACTGAAACCATGTGTTATCAACAAGCTGAACATCTACATCAGTATAACAAAATGAATAAAATTTTCCATTAATTTGAAATAAAAGAAAAATGTGTTGTTTGCCGAAAGACATCAATGACGACATTGGGTAGGGTAAGAGAGAGTAAAAATGAACGTGAAGTTTTGTTTGACCTCGGGATTTTGGACGATCGGACAGGCGACCTAGATTTCCTCCTAGAACAGTAAAAATGGAAGAAACATTAATCTTGCTTTGTCAAATTTGGAAAATATAAAGAAATCTAGTTTATCATTGCAAACAATTGAAATCATTATAAGCATTCCATACACATGCAAGAGCAAACATTCATTTCTGAACTAAAAATGCCATTTTTAACATTAAGGTGACAAGCCAGCCATTTTGAATGGTAGATATTCACACCATGCCTGAACATCATTCAGTGAGTATACTCATGCACTCATCACATCAGCAACAGTAAGTGTCCTCAGCCTTATTTACACCACGTTACTCTCCCATGTCGTGTAAACTCCATCTGCCATCATTTATAGTTACTCGAGTATCCCTGACACAAACTTTGTAATTACAACCACAGTATCTGTAACACCATTGCTTTCCATGTCATATTCTGCTGCTTCGTCAGCCTTAACTATTTCTATGTTTTTAAACTTGAAAACGAAGCAAATATATTGATTATCACATGCCAAGCTATATGTAGAATGAGACTGTACGATAAGGCTGAGAGGCCCATGGTGTTGGTGCTACTGTTGTCTAGTCACAGCCCGTATAACATCAGTTTCAACATCACAAACCTCCTCTGGTATAACATAAAGCTGTTTAATATGATTGCCATCGTACAATAAAGTTGGTTATTTAAAGCATGTTATTCTCCAATCATACATCTACAGGTATATTGGTAGGGTACACAGACCATTGTTATAATCACACTGGCTTACCTTGGAGAACGGCTTCCATTTTCCATGCTGCGCTTTTCATCCACATGTGTCATGAGGCCCTGTAGCTGGTCCATAGCTTTTTGTCTAAATTATATCAAACAATTATGGATATATATTTTTGAACATTAAATTGTGATCTTAATATTGTTTCTCTCTAGAATACCATTTATAATCAGCCAATATTTTTCATAAACAGTCTGATCTTAAACTATGACCCAGGCCGGACTACATCTTCTCAGTACATCAGCAATCATTTTATACACACGTATATTGACCATGTCTACCTATTCTGTATACTTTGGTATTCTGTGATCAGATCCACTTACCTGTTTTCTATCTCATTTTTGGAGTGTTTGAGCTGTCCCTCCAGAGTTTCGATGGCCTGGTCCTTTGTCTCAATCACCCCCATCAGTTTATGCAGTTCACCGCGCATGTCATTCAGATCAGTACCAACATCATCTAAAGATTCCTGCAAGCAAGTTATAACAGAAAAATAAATAATTTATCTCAGGTTGGTCTTCTTTATTTCCCTGAAACAAAAATGACATTTTAACATAAAATTGATTTTTACGAAACTTTCAAAGCAATCCTAATATTTAACTAAGCTTAAATAAAAGTTATTCAACATTTGAAATGTTCCTTCATCTTTATATAGAAGTTATTTAACATTTGAAAGGGTCTTAAATCATAAAAAGGAAGATTTTATAAACAGAAAGTAAAAGGCTAAATGCAAAAGGATGTCCATTCTCACGAAATGACTGAAAATTCCCACATGTGAGCAACATTTTTCATTTTTCACTACATTGTCGTCACAAAATATACTGAAAGGATCATTATTCATTGACATTGTTATAAACTGTAAAGAAATCTAATACGAAGCAGAGGTATTTTAAAGGACATGTATGGAATTAATGAATTAAATTTTGAGCACGTTCATGCACTTATGGATGTATGAATGACATAATGAATGAGGTTCAAAGGTCCATCACCAATCAGCATCATCATCAACAAGATGTTATAACACTTGGTATTACTGGCATGCAATGATACTTCATTTGAATTAGTTTCAAGGGTTATACTTCCCACACAGATTTTGTATAAAAGTCGGAGAAAACTGACAATAGTAATGTTTTTGACATTTTAGACACTTCCTAAATAGTCATAAAAGGTTTCCAATGATGATTTATCATAATTTTGCTACATTTATAAAATCATAATTTTGCACTGTAAAGTCTTGTTTTATTTTGATTAAATAATTAGAATAAATTGATATTATTATGCTAGTTGCATGACATCAGACTTGTATTGAAGGAAGTTAAAAATATATAATATGTCGGCATTGACAAATCACATTACATACAAATTGGAGTTTGGGAATCACAAACGAGTTAGTAAAACATGGACACTGTGGTAGGCATGCAGTTAAGATACCAGTTTCCTTTAAATAAATGAAGGGTCTAAACTAATCCGAAACTTCCAAAAGTAAATGGCAAATGAGTAGTCAGCTTTTGGGTTTAGCAATGCATCAAAGTTTTATTGTCAAGACAAATCACACAGTTTCTATTCTCTTAGTCATTATAAACATAAAAATAGTCATTCTGTTTAATTCATTATCACAACTCTCTGTTAAGTTTCCATCCTTTTTAAAGTGTTATTAAACTTTTGCTCCATATCTGTAATGGTAGAAATTAGTCAAGGCAATCAATTAAAAGCATCTAAAACTCGGTCCGAATAAGATTAATTACACAACTACGCCACTTATTGTAACGATGTACTATTCTATCTGTAAGATTACTTTCTGAGTAAATGTAAATGATGAATGGAGATGATTGATGGAGAGATGATTTACCAGTTAATGAAAACAACGGGACCGAAACAAGTAAAATCTAAGGATGAATTCCCGAGAAATACAGCCCACATGATACAATGCTAATGAAAAATGTATTTGAAGAAAATTATGAATTTCAGAGTAAATGAGAAAAACAGCATTTGAATTTCAATTCCAATAACATCATATTCACAAGTTAGGACTTACAATACACAATTAAACAGAGAGTTCAAAGATTCACATCAAGCCAAAATGAAATATAACATTTGCTATATATGAAATCATGTGGGTAGATGTATTCCAATGCTTCTACCTAACACCTAAGAATGTGAATGCCAGCCTAAAATATTTCAGAAATTGAATACCTGTCTATGTGAATGATGAGAGAGTTTTCTGGATCATAATAGATTCTGTATTGGTTTTCACTTAAATACGATACTTTCATCTACAATTTCTAGATTTGGTGAGAAAGTCAAATTTAAATTTTAAAATACTGACTCCTGTTATATAAGTACCAGACTTTTTAAAACAATGTGATGGCATTGCTTCATGCATGACCATATACACACGACACTAAACCTTTGATACATTGCTAAACCACTAGAGTAAGTTGTCCACAAGCTATATAACTTGAGGTGAAAAGGTTGGTGGTCTGAGGACGGACCCCCTTACTTACTCTTATTACCTGGGGACCCTTAGACTTTTCATCATCAAGTTCCTATAGCAATAAAACAGTGAAACCTTTGTACGACAAGTAACAATAAAGGACATCACAATGATGGAAGGCATTGTTAGTGATCATAATGTTTCAGTCACTACATTATTAACGGTGCTAGTACGGTGTGTACGAGGTATAAATATCAACAGTGCCAATACAATTTGTTTAATGTATCAAAAGACTGTTCTAGTCACTGTACATGATCAACAGTGCCCAAATGATAAGCGTATTTGATAAAAAAAACAACAAAAAAAAACATGCCAAATGAAGAACATATTTTGAGTTCTTTGAAATGGAACCTAAGCCTTTAGAAAAAGGGTAGCCTTATTTCTTAATATCAGGGAACCTTAGTCCTTGGAAACAGTGAACCTAAGCCCTTAGAAACAGAGCACTTAATTCCTTAGAAACAGCATAACCCAAGTCCTTGGAAACAGTGAACCTAAGCCCTTAGAAACAGAGCACTTAGTTCCTTAGAAACAGCGTAACCCAGATCCTTGGAAACAGTGAACCTAAGCCCTTAGAAACAGAACATTTAATTCCTTAGAAACAGCATAACCCAATTCCTTGGAAACAGTGAACCTAAGCCCTTAGAAACAGAGCACTTAATTCCTTAGAAACAGCGTAACCCAAGTCCTTGGAAACAGTGACTTAGAAACAGAGCACTTAATTCCTTAGAAACAGTGTAACCCAAGTCCTTGGAAACAGTGAACCTAAGCCCTTAGAAACAGTGAACAAAAGCCCTTAGAAACAGAACACTTAATTCCTTAAAAACAGCGTAACCCAAGTCCTTGGAAAGAGTGAACCTAAGCCCTTAGGAACAGAACACTTAATTCCTTAGAAACAGCGTAACCCAAGTCCTTGGAAAGAGTGAACCTAAGCCCTTAGAAACAGAGTAACCCAAGTCCTTGGAAACAGTGAACATTAGCCCTTAGAAACAGAGCACTTAATTCCTTAGAAACAGTGTAACCCAAGTACTTGGAAACAGTGAACCTAAGCCCTTAGAAACTGAGCACTTAGTTCCTTAGAAACAGCGTAACCCAAGTCCTTGGAAACAGTGAACCTTAGCCCTTAGAAACAGTGCACTTAATTCCTTAGAAACAGCGTAACCCAAGTCCTTGGAAACAGTGAACCTAAGCCCTTAGAAACAGTGAACCAAAGCCCTTAGAAACAGAACACTTAATTCCTTAGAAACAGCGTAACCCAAGTCCTTGGAAACAGTGAACCTAAGCCCTTAGAAACAGGAAACCTTAGTCCTAAGAAACTGAATAACCAAAGTCCTTAGTAACAGGGTTACCTAAGTCTTTATAAACAGGGTAACCAAAGTCCTTAGTAACAGGGTTACCTAAGTCTTTATAAACAGGGTAACCAAAACCCTTTGTAACAGGGTTACCTAAGTCTTTATAAACAGGGTAACCAAAGTCCTTAGTTACAGGGTTACCTTAGTCTTTATAAACAGGGTAACCAAAGTCCTTAGTTACAGGGTTACCTAAGTCTTTATAAACAGGGTAACCAAAGTCCTTAGTTACAGGGTTACCTAAGTCTTTATAAACAGGGTAACCAAAGCCCTTAGAGAAAGAGAACAGGGAAATTTAGTCCTTAGATACAGGGTAATTCAAGTCTATAGAAACAGGGCATCTAAAGCCTTAGAAATAGGAAACCTTATTCCTAAGAAACATGTAACGCAAGTCCTTAGTAACAGAATAACCCAAGTCCTTTGAAACAGAGTAACCCAAGTCCTTAGAAACAGAGTAACCCAAGTCCTTAGTAACAGAGTAACACAAGTCCTTAGAAACAGAGTAACCCAAGTCCTTAGAAACAGGGTAGCCCAAGTCCTTAGTAACAGAGTAGCCCAAGTCCTTAGAAACAGAGTAACCCAAGTCCTTAGTAACAGAGTAACACAAGTCCTTAGAAACAGAGTAAACCAAGTCCTTAGAAACAGAGTAACCAAAGTCCTTAGAAACAGGGTAACCCAAGTCCTTAGTAACAGAGTAACCCAAGTCCTTAGCAACAGAGTAACCCAAGTCCTTAGAAACAGGGTAACCCAAGACGCCAGATATGATCTAAATGAGTTTAATAAGAGAGTTGAGGATCAAAACCAGAATTAATCTGTACATAGATATTGAGCAGAACAACATGCATACACTACCCAGATGTGCTTCTCCATGAGCACCTGACCCAGCTATAGATCCAGATACACTGATACACGTGAGACTAGTTTAGGGTAGAGGATTGATGATTTACATAAGCATGCATGAAGATTATATGAAGAATAAAATTCAGAGTTTTGACTAAAACATGAGTGCCATAATATAATACATTTTAGGAAGTATAGGTTGTAAGCTACAAATTACATACAATGCGTCAAGACAATTTGTGCATAAATCATGTAGATTTGAATAAAAAAAATCACTACATTGAACAGGGTAGCAAAATACAGATTGTATACATTTTCCTCAATTTTACAACAGCTTTTCTTTAGTGTTGGATACACACAGAACTATTTATCTTGAGGAATACTACATTTTAATATATGATTGTTTGTAACAATCTGATAAAGTGCTTATACAGGCAATCTTTATAGGTTAACATTTATATTGCCATTTCCTGTATCACCTGAAGTTTTTCATCGAGGAGTGCCAGCTGGCCTCCTACTCCTGATGTCATCAGAGAAGTGATAATTCTTATTATTATTTTGGCCAGGAGTGCATCACGTGTCCACCGATAAAAACTGATATTGACTTGGAGTGCGTGATTTTTGTTGAAGGACTGGGTATTTCTAACAAGAGGCCCAGAGGGCCTGTATCGCTCACCTGTTTCTTTTGTTACATGCAACTGACATATAGGTAACTTAAGACCAAATTTGGTAACTAGAACACAAGACATTTTAACATCTCTTAAACGGTTTTGAAGATACTGTTGTTTGAAACTTAAAATTTTAATTTTAAAGCTTTTAACCCATATTGACCTTTGAATCCCGATTTGCACTAAAGTTGACATTTGACCTCATTACTGTAATGAAGAAAACAATTCACACAGCTGGTCTACATAACATACCTAAGTATCATGACTGGTCCAAATGGTTCTTAGGATATTGTTGTTTGAAGTTTTTAACATATTTGACCCCTGTGACCTTGAAAGAAGGTCAAGGTAATTTTAATGAGGAAACTTTATAGCACTCCATCCCAGGTACCTACTGGCTAAATATCATGACCCTAGGCCTTATGGAACTTGAGAAGGAGATTGTTAAAGCTTTTAACCAAAGTTGACATTTGACCCCCGACTAGCATTTAAAGTTGACCTTTGACCTCATTACTGTAACTGAGAAAAATATTCGAACTGCTGGTCTACATAACATACCGAAGTATCATGACTCTAGTTCAAATGGTTCTTAGGATATTGTTGTTTGAATTTTTTTCATGTTTGACCCCTGTAACCTTCAAAGCAGGTCTAGGTCTTTTTAATGAGAAAACTTTATAGCATCACATCCCAGGTACTTACTGGCCAAATATCATGACCCTGGGCCTTATGGAACTTGAGAAGAAGACTGTTAAAGCTTTTAACCAAAGTTGACATTTGACCCCAAACTAGCACTTAAAGTTGACCTTTGACCTCATAACTGTAACGAAAAAAAAATGTGCACTGCTGGTTTACATAAAATACCCAAATATCATAACTGTAGTTCAAATGGTTCTTAAGATATTGTTGTTTGAAATTTTTAACATATTTAACCGCTGTGACCTTGAAAGTAGGTCAAGGTCATTTTAATGAGGAAATTTTTAGCACTCCATCCCAGGTATGTACCTACTGGCCAAATATCATGATCCTGGGCCTTATGGAACTTGAGAAAAAGCTTGTTAAAGCTTTTAACCAAAGTTGACCTTTGACCTCATTACTGTAATTGAGGAAAATATTCGCACTGCTGGTCTTCATAACATACCCAGGTATCATGACTCTAGTTCAAATGGTTCTTAAGATATTGTTGTTTTAAATTTTTAACATATTTGACCGCTGTGACCTTGAAAGTAGGTCAAGGTCATTTTAATGAGGAAATATTTAGCACTCCATCCCAGGTACCTACTGGCTAAATATCATGACCCTAGGTCCTACAGGTCTTCAGAAGTCGTTCAAGAGAAAAAGTTGACGGACGCACGACGGACGACGCAGTTCGGCATAAGCTCACATGGCCCTTTGGGCCAGGTGAGCTAAAAATGGAATTATGACGTGTCTCCAAACAATGCACCGTCCTGCTTCCAAAGTTTTTTTGTTGTGTTTTTGTTTTCAGATTGCTTACATTACTGTTTTGAAAATAATAAAACAATTGTAGCCTTTAACTTTGGTCGCGTCCGAGGTCAATATATCTTTTCTCGGGTCGATAAATCCAGGTATGGACCTCAGCCAAAGGCTATAATTGAATAGTATTTCTTCTTCAAGGTGTACATAGGACATGTTTCTGACTTAGATGGTAGCAACATATCATAAGTGTGGAGATAAACTCTGTGATAAAGAAAGCAATAGAAAATACTGAAAATAAGATCCAATGTAAAGGGCACAGATAACTTTGGTCTCTTTATAGCTCTACTAGCACCAGACCTATCAGTCCAGCATGATTTAGACAGGGAAATCTCAACCTGAGGATAACAATGAACCGCATACACTGCGCCATCATCAGGGGTACATAAAATTTGATATTTGATGATGTTACCATGGCTACTGGTTACAACACATAAAGTTATGACATGATGGTGATGTTTTCATAGTATTAGCATCTGAGAGATGTCCCTAGGTAGGTAAGGACACTGGTTTATTTTTTCCCTAGCAAATATGGGAATGCACCTGTGAGTTGCGGGAGAAAAAGCAATTCTGATTTTGTGTATGTGTGATACCTGGCATAATCAATAAAGTCCATAAAGTTTTAAAAGAAATGTAAATATGTCACCTCAAATTTTGAATTTTAGACCAAATCATAATTATACATACAGCAATATATTTAAAAGGTGACAATTTTTTTTTATTTTTTCTAATTTCTTTCATCTGTATACAAAACCAGCACACAATTTGTAAAGAGACAAGATCTACATCAGATTTTATTGACAAATTTGCAATAACACATCTTATCTTTTCAGCATTTAGCTTTAGTTTGTAGCTAATGAAAAGATAGTTTGTCATTGTAAATATGCCATTAGAGGTAGAGATACATAATTGATATATTTTTGACAACATTACCTCTTTGAGACCTTTAATGATTCTCTCCTGCTTCAGCTTGTCAGCTTGAGTCTTAGACAGGACACCCCTCAAGTTGTCTATTTCACTCTGTAGCTGCTCCATTTCAGCACTACCTACAGGTCTGTAAATTGCCGAGTAAAACAATTTTTTCAACAAAGTCCATCAATGTTTCAGATATTTCAAGGAAATGGATATTTACAAAATCATAATATCTATGAACATTTTCTAAACTACAAATTACAGAAATACAAACACAAGTCAATGATAGGCTCAATATTTTAAAATTATTTCAATATATAATGAATCATTATTTCAACAAACAATCATAGATTTATATTCTAAAAAAAGAAATATTCTACCAGACACAATGCTACTTTGTTCAGAGAAAGAAATTCAAATACATCTGTACATATGTAAATATTTTGTAAAATATTAATTGATAACAACGAACTGTTTAATCCAAATGTGCAACACATTATTATCAGGATGTGGTTCATCACCAACAAGAAAAATACAAACAAGTCAGTATGCTCACACTTCAAAAAAGTTGTTCATTACAAAACACATGTTAAAACAGCCAGTGCAATTCCATCTAAAATTGCTCAAGGGAGATAATTTAGAAAAATAGAGAATAACGTCAAACAGGATGGAAATGTCATATTGACATCATTGTGTGAAGGAAAGATGATTGGTGTAGATCACACATAATACCTGCCGTGGCAGACTCGCAGCATCTCCCTTAAAGTTGGAAAGGAAATAGAACATACAATGTTTTATTTTTTTATTTTTTTTCACTTATTATTTACTAACCACAAAAGTTTCCTCTATACAAAGTCTACACAAAAATTACAGTGCAGGTGTGGAAAAACATTATGCATGTCCCATACCTAAGTGAAATAATTGTGAAGCCTTCTGATGCTTTTTTGAAGTGAAATGTATGAAACTTTTTAAAATGCAACAATTAATCATATTTGATTAATCATAAACCATTAAAACCAAAGTTATTCCTCGGTGCTTTTTCATTTACAAAAATACAGAATCACTGAAATCTGAACTTAGCGTTTTGTCTTTGCATGTAGTACATGTTACCAAGTTTCCTCAAAGCTGAATGATACTAATACAATGTATGTAATATACCATATAATACCAAATGACATCCTGTAGTTTGACAGATGTAGTATAGCAAGGTGATTTCACGTTGGTTTTGGGTTTCAGGATTCAGTATATGAACCAAGAGAAACCTAAGTTTGGCTGTATTGTAAGGACATTGGGTCGGTATTACCTTTCCAAATGTTTGACATCTTGCCTTTTCTGATGACATATTAATGCAGTGTTGAATTCACCAATTTATACCTACCATTAATTGCTAACCTTATTGTTACTGTTGATACAATATGATTAACCTTGCGTTACCCTCTCATTAGGACAAAAATATAACGATGGGCAGGTTTTACAATAATGATACAGGTTCATAAAATGTTGCCGACCATTGATGTCCTCTGTAACCCTGGCATACTAATCCCTGTGATCAACACCTCCTCCCTCTACACTTGTAAATTATCGACTGTGTGGCAGTGAGAACAAGATCTAACATCTTATCCTTCTTTACCAGTAAGGACTGCGTGGAAACTAGTGAGGTCCATAGTACTTTATATTGGTGGTGTTGGTCAAGGTACAATAGGGTTGTAATGGGTTTTTTCTTATTGTGTGGAGCGGTAAGCCTGCAAGATTTAGCCAAATCAAATGTTTAAAACTGAAACTTACTTTGGGTTGCTGTAATGAAATTCATATAGCATGACTGACTTGCCAACCACACAATACATTAATAAACACAACACAGTAACACACCAAGTAAACACGTTATATAACACTCCGAGTAAACCATTATAACACATCAAGTAAACACTAATACTGTATAACACTCGGAGTAAACTCTAATATAACACACTGAATAATGTCTAATACAGCACATGTCAATATTGATAATTCATTACTCAGCCACACTGACAGCATCAAGTCACCAAGTTAGTTATTACATTTCTTAATACACATCAATGATATTCTCAATCATTAATGATAGTTGTAATATACAACAATTATACATTGCTTTATTTAGTTTCCAAAAAAACTCAAAGGATCCTTATATCTGCTCTTTAACTATCTAAAGCCCCTGCTTCCTTTAAAGCTTGATGAGATAACACAATGTTACCACAAGTGGCGCAACTCTGGACAGCCTGATACCAATGTTATGCTTGGTTCCCATTATACTTTGTGCATCTACATTTTGCGTTACCCACAACCTGTTACCCTACACCATGTTAATTCTAATACTAGTCTGTAGGGCCTACCAAAAGAGGTTCCTGTCAGAGTTATTGTTCCATGTCATCTCATTGTCTTGTTTTAGGGTTCTTTAAAGAGTTATCCCCCCTCCCCACCCCAGAATGGCAGCACCTCATGGCCATGTTTTGGCAATACCATTATTTCCTCTCAGTCTTGTTTGAGCATACTTGCCAACTCTCCCTATTTGGGAGGGAGACTCCCGATTTTGAGTGTTTTTAACCAGTGACTTTACTTAACTGTTCTAAGATCTAACGATTTCATCTGAGAACAACTCAAAACATGTCATTCTAAAGGGTAATTTTGTCTCTAGGGGGTGAATATACTCATTCTATTTATGTTTTAATTTTGATCATGCAGAACCTCCCCCATTGAAATTATAAAAAGTTGGAAAGTCTGTTTTAGGGATCATTTAAGTCCACATTGACTAAGTGAGTTTAGTCAGAATTCCTCAACATTTCAGATGGCTGATTTCTTGAAACCATCTGTAAGTACAAATGTCTATTGAAAAAAATACCCCCTGAGAAGGAGCTGGACAACAAGAGTTGGTCGTACTACCTATACAGGGTACAGGTACCTGATCAGTTGTCAAACCACAACCACAATGTCTATCAATATTTCACAAGGTCAGTGTTAGGTAGCTTATGTAGCTTTACCCCCTGGGAAGGAGCTGGACAAAAACGGTTGGTCGTACTACCTATACAGGGTACAGGAACCTGATCAGTTATCAAACCACAACCACAATGTGTATCAATGTTTCACAAGGTCAGTGTTAGTTTGCTTAGGTAGCTTTACCCCCTGGGAAAGAGCTGGACAACAAGAGTTGGTCGTACTACCTATACAGGGTACAGGGACCTGATCAGTTATCAAACCACAACCACGTACAATGTCTATCAATATTTCACAAGGTCAGTGTTAGGTAGCTTAGGGAGCTTTACCCCCTGGGAAGGAGCTGGATAACAACGGTTGGTCGTACTACCTATACTGGGTACATGTACCTGATCAGTTATCAATCCACAACCACATACAATGTCTATCAATGGTTCACAAGGTCAGTGTTAGGTAGCTTAGGGAGCTTTACCACCTGGGAAGGAGCTGGACAACAACGGTTGGTCGTAATACCTTGAAACCATCTGTAAGTACAAATGTCTATTGAAAAAAATCCCCCCTGAGAAGGAGCTGGACAACAAGAGTTGGTCATACTTCCTATACAGGGTACAGGTACCTGATCACTTATCAAACCACAACCACAATGTCTATTAATGTTTCACAAGGTCAGTGTTAGGCAGCTTAGGTAGCTTTACCCCCTGGGCAGGAGCTCGACAACAACGGTTGGTCGTACTACCTATACAGGGTACAGGAACCTGATCAGTTATCAAACCACAACCACAATGTCTATTAATGTTTCACAAGGTCAGTGTTAGGCAGCTTAGGTAGCTTTACCCCCTGGGCAGGAGCTGGACAACAACGGTTGGTCGTAATACCTATACAGGGTACAGGTACCTGATCACTTATCAAACCACAACCACAATGTCTATCAATGGTTCACAAGGTCAGTGTTAGGTAGCTTATGTAGCTTTACCCCCTGTGAAGGAGCTGGACAACAACGGTTGGTCGTACTACCTATACAGGGTACATGTACCTGATCAGTTATCAAACCACAACCACATACAATGTCTATCAATATTTCACAAGGCCAGTGTTAGGTAGCTTAGGTAGCTTTACCCCCTGGGAAGGAGCTGGACAACAACGGTTGGTCGTAATACCTATACAGGGTACAGGTACCTGATCAGTTATTAAACCACAACCACAATGTCTACCAATGTTTCACGAGGTCAGTGTTAGGTAGCTTATAGGTAGCTTTACCCCCTGGGAAGGAGCTGGACAACAACGGTTGGTCGTATTACCTATACAGGGTACAGGTACCTGATCAGTTATCAAACCACAATGTCTATCAATGTCTATCAATGTTTCACAAGGTCAGTGTTAGGTAACTATAACCCCTGGGAAGGAGCTGGACATCAACGGTTGGTCTTACTACCTATACAGGGTACAGGTACCTGATCAGTTATCAAACCACAACCACATACAATTTCTATCAATGTTTCACAAGGTCAGTGTTAGGTAGCTTTCAATGATATACCCCATCTTTCACCAAAAACTTTCCATCTAGTTTTATGTATGTAATATCCACATATATGTATATGCTTAAATGTACATGTATTATTACATAAAAAGCCAAAAATCATTCTCAGCAGACAGAACTGAACCATGCTCAGGGTTATGAATTAATGATTTTGTTACTCCATTCTACAGCCAGTCAATAAGTGGTTAACACATGCACCAGTTCTAAAACAGACACGTGTACATTTGAAATCTGTTTTTCTCACCGTAACATTGCCTTTTGGCTCTCTAACATAATTATTCTGCAGAGAAAATTCATAAATCAGTTATAATACTACTACATTCAATGTTTCAGAGGAATATTTTTAATGATGGAATCGGTATCAAATTCTGAAATAGGGTGACATAGAGTCTGTTGATGAAGCATAACATTCGCTACAACTTACTGTTGACTGATGTCAAAACAAATACCTAGCTTTCTCTCCAACAATTGGTCAGTTAGTTCCAGAAATACATAGTCAAACCTCAATATAAAGAAAAACTTTCATACTCATTAACAAAAGTATACAGCACAACCTTTTGGAGTCTCCAACTAGACTTTCTGTTAGGTTTAATCTCACACAGCCAAAGACAGGCTAGCTGAATAACATTCCGTCTTCACTTGCTGTTATAATCAGACTTAAAGCAATTTCCAACAATAGCGAACTCCCCCTGCCCCGTAACTGTTGTAATCAGATGAGATACATAGAAATTCCGATTAAAAGTGACCTCCCCTGCCACTTACAGAGTTAATCAGATATAAGAGCAATCCTTATCAAGAGTTACCTCCCTTGCTATTTACAGCTGTAATCAGATATATAGAAATCCCTATCAATCAGGCTCTTTCCTTGCTACATAAAAATGTAATTAGATAAATAGAAATCTCTATCAAGAGTGACTTCCCTGCAACTTCCAGTTGTAATCAGATATGTAGAAAAGTCCCAAAAGACCAGAGAGACCTGATCCACCACTTACTGTTTCTCTGCCTCCTCTAGCTCCTTCCTCAGATGGACAATCTCGTGCTGCAGATCCTCTACGACCTCATCCAGCCGTTTCTTACTGCCTTCCACCAGTAGTAGAGACCCATTGATCAACGCTACCTGCCTCTCCAGTCCCTCCTTTTCACGCTCCAACTTACGCACCCTATCCTTCTCTGTAAACATTAGAAAATATAATAGTTTGCATCATCTACATCTATCTAAACTTATTCTTTTGACATTGAACATATATAACCATTTAATCTTAATGGGATTTATTAGTCTCAATTCTAGGTGCATTATCTATTTCCCATGGTTTTTCAACTATGCATCAAATTAAGTGTTTAGCTTTAAAATGTATTGTTTTAGCTCTGGTCATGTAACAAACTTTGAGTATATTTCTTTTTCATAAATGATTGAGATCAACATCAAGGTTTTACTGAGTCATAAATACTTTGCTGATAAATTAATACCTAGCATACTGAATTATCTTTTATAAGCTTACAACAGGAATACTGCAGGTAAAGAACTGTAGACACTGTCATAGGCCAGGTAATACGAAACATACTGTTCCTTACTTCACTTAACACATAAATAAAGCTCAGTGCACTTAATAACTTAAATTGTATTTCAAACAAATTCTGTGCAACTATAGGAATCACTTTGTTTTGCCAATATTGCAAATCATTGTAAAACAAAAATGATTAAAACCCATCAACGGGCCATAACTATGTATTGCCTTCCCAAGGTACATAAAAAGTATTTTTTGTTAACCTTGGTGAAGTAGCAAGGATGTTATGCTATATTGATAAACTTTGATAGCTAAAAAGATCAAAGGGACATAACTCTGTATAAATTTGACACAATATAAGTACAGAATGCGACAATAACTATTTTGGTGAAATAACAGAGGAAGCTATATTGGGACAAATTATTGTTGACGCCCAGTCATCCACTCAGCCAAACAAAACTGCAATGATACCATGATATCTCCCATTATATCTGTGCATATAAAAAAAAAATCTCCCTCAAATTTTAACGGAAGGAACTCAGCAGACGGTATTGCTTACCATCTTGTACGATCTGTCCGTCTGGGCCATAGTCATCGACATACTGTTCGTGTCGTTCCTGCAGGCTCTGATTCTCCCTACTCATCCGCTCCAATTCCCTTTGTAGATTTTCCTTCTCGTCCTCCACCCTAAAAATGCATACCAGTGTTCATTTGTGCTATTCCATAAATCTAAAACATTCAACATGGTTTTATTTATGGTCCTATAACACACTACCAAGCTTTATTATGTTTGTCATCAATAACAATGTGTGTTATAGGACCATAACAACATTTGCTAAAACATTCATTGCTTAAATAAACACGCACACAGAAATTGTATTATGACCCCTCCCAATACAAATTTGGTTTCACCATCCTCTCAGAAAGCCAAAACAACACTTCCCCAACCAATATCAAATATTTAGATCCCTCTTTGTTTTCACCCCATTCCCTACCAAAACGAATTTAAACGTACCTTCTTCCCTCCCTTGTTTTTGTCCATATAATTTCCCACCACAATAGATCTTCTCGACCCCTTTTGTTTCCACCAATGTCATAAAAAACATATTTTTTTATCCTCTATACCCCCTTTTGTCTTCCCCAGGTAATTCCAAAAACAGATTCTATCATCTGGACCCCATTCCTCCCCGATCTCATACAAAACTGGGTTCCTCAGATCCTCTTATTTTACAGCTTTCCCCTCCAAAACAACTTCTATCTATCTGGTAACATACCTTTCCATTTCCACTTTTGGCACAAGACTTCCATCTCCCCCCACAGCTTCCTTCAGCTCTACATTTTCCTGAAATTAAGGAAAATGTTTGATTGTATTACCTGCTTTTTGATAAACTTAATATCTTTACATTGACAAAATTTACATCTGATGAAAATTTTATTACACTTTTTGTATGTGAAAAACTATAACGAAATGAAATACTTTAAAATCTGTAGATTTTAATTTCAATAGAAAAAACATGGTTATTGAATTCCCCTAAACATTGAATTATTCTTAAGCACCCAGAGCGCTTAATACAGCATATGGTATATGCTTTTATCAGATCATTTGTATATTTAATAACAATATCGAATATTTGTAATCCTCATTAATCCAGCTGTCATAGTTCTACTACAAAACAGATTAGTTAGACATAGTAAAACAATATCTGTCCTACAAATAACAGCTTTGTTAATACAAAAATGTCAGTTATTAAACAATAGTTATAACCATCATCGTCTACAGTGGTGAAAGGGTTAAGATATAATCAAAGATTTTATCCTTGATTCTTTTGATGCTCATCTTGACAGTGATCTCCTGGGCATGACTTTTACTGTAGTCACAAGGAACTTTGAGCTAGCATTCTAGGCAAACACAGCTTGGAAATATAAAAAAACAATGTACAATGTATTTATAAAACCTAAATTTGCATCCACTTAATATAAGGAACTCCTAAAAATTGACACTAATATTCTCCGGTACAGAGAGTTTATACGAAGAAAACCTAAACACAGTTCCTGTCATTTCTAACTATGAGATGTACACCTTATAGAACAACAGAAACAATAGAACAATTAATTATTACTCTCATCAATTATAGAATTAAATTGTTAATTAAAAAGAAGAAATCTTTTGAGAAGGAGGAAGAGACAGACTGCTTTATTTACTGAAGTATAATAGGGATGAGGCACCTGTATCTCTGATGTCTCAGGGGAAATAGGCAGACAGACAGTTACCATGAAACACCTCAATAGCATTTCTATATAATAGTCTGTACTGTAGTGTGATATAGAAGAATTAAAAAAGAATTTTGTAGATCTATACCTGGGTACAGGTAAAGATCAGTGTTCAATAGGAGAGGGGGTTTAAACTGTAGTACCATATAATACAGCACTTACATATAACACATACAGAAATTATAAAACACACTGTATATACTTAATACAATTTGAAATTACCAGACATGAATCATTGAATATGAAATTGAAAGATACAAATATTTTTTGTTTCCCCAAGTATCATTTTTTAAGCAGAGTTAATTTTGATTTCACTGATGATTGTCTTTACCAGATTCACACTGCTGGATAAGCCTCTACTACAGCAATGCTGCCGCATTCTAGATGTTAACTGAAACCTAACCCACAGATTTGTCAGAATGTTATCTTGGAGGGTGATTCTTGATTCTTGTCTTTTAATATCAGCAGAATTGTCTTCATCTTGTTTTTAGCTCAAATTCAATCAGTTTACTGCAAAGAACAGCTTAAACTATGACTTTCCTCAAATAGAGGCCATTTTTAGTACAAAAATGTACATTTAGACATTTTTAGATTTTGCAATGGGTTTTCTTCCAAATGATTTTTTTTTGAAAGGTTGGCAAGCATGCAAAGAAAATTACACTAACCATGGAGTGATTTCAATGATTCGATCATTAAGCCCTGTGCAAAACGGAACCTTGACCCTATATTGTTAATATATATTACAGATTTGAATGTGGAGCTTTAAAGTAACTATACAGTCGAAGTTTGAAGTTATATATATGATACATAAAGACAATATGAAGGTAACATAACAATGTTAGATGTTTTGAATATACATGTATACGGTAGAAATGTATATATACATAACAGAGAGTATAGTCTCTATATCTCTGGCTACTCACGTCGAAGTGCATGTGCATCACAGGTGCGAGTGACAAGGGGGACAACTCTGTGTGTGTGAGGGGGATCTGTGACAAGGTACAGGTTTACATGAGGCAAGTAATATTATACAGATAATCGGAGCATATCGGTGGGACGGAACATATGAGGTAATGGTATATATAGCTAGCTGACTGTGTCGGAGGAACCAATATTTATAATTGAAAGCCAAAAGCACCAAACATTTCAAAAATAGGATAAAATTCTATTTGATATTTATTTTTGTATGTTGTAAGTCTATGGAAAACAATATAAAAAAACAAATGTGACTGAAAAACAGTCAGTGGTCAACTATTACAATATTGAACAGAGGTGGTTACCTTTACACATTTTAAATTTCTGAAGTTTGTGTTTTTGGTTTTTCTGAAACAATGTGTTCCTCAATACAACAAAAAGCACAACTAAAAAATACATGTAAATACTGACAAACTAAGATATCTTCAATATGTAATGAAAAAACACAGGATAAAGTTAAAACAGAATATATACACTAAAACAGTCTGCTGGTTCCTTGTGTACCTGTTTAAACCAGTTGACAAATACAATAATGACATTCCAGGTTTCGATAATACAAAGTATCAGGTTTTAACTGGATAAATGGGCATATGTATGGATAATGACACTACAACCAAATTTTATTTTATATTCTCAGATTTTTTTTAAATTTTGAAAATATAAACCCTTGAGAAGAATCGGAAAGACTATGTCAATGATGAAAGCAATCAGGGAATATAGAGAAAACATTACTATATACCTTAATAAAGGTTACTAATCAGCATGGTTATAAAGGAATTGTAGTTCCAAAAACCTTACATTAACTGATCAAATGCAAATTATATGCAACTATGGGATGTTACAAACTAAAATTTCCTAACTACATGTACTAGATTTTTTTCTGTTTTAATAAGTGCAATTTCTTACGGGTACAATGAATTCCTCTGATAGGAAGCCATTTAATACATTACTGCCCCTCCCCTGGGTAGGAGACATAAGATACGCTGCTTGATTTACTTTAGCCATGTTAGTGGCTACTGTTGTCTGAAATAAATGAAACACACTCAAAACACAACACACATTAATAAACTGGTACATGACAGCACATGATATTAGGTACATATACATGACAATAGGTCAATATGTTAATCAGCATATACATAAAACAGGTGTGTTGTAAGAGGAATTCTCAGAAAATACTTACATTTACATTACACGACATAGCATGACACAACAGATAACAGACACATCAACTACATAACAGACACATCATTACGACATTTGTATCAGGTTTATTGGGGTAATGAACTTCGACAGGGGACTAGAATTGGACATGGAAATGAACTTGTACTGGGTAATGAACTTGTTCTGAGTAATGAACTTCTACTAGATAATGAACTTGTACTGGGTAATGAACTTGTACTGGAAATGAACTTGTACTGGTAATGAACTTGTACTGGGTAATGAAATTGAATTGGTAATGAACTTGTACTGGTAATGAACTTGTACTGGTAATGAACTTGTTCTGGGTAATGAACTTGTACTGGTAATGAACTTGTACTGGTAATGAACTTGTTCTGGGTAATGCACTTGTTCTGGGTAATGAACTTGTACTGGGTAATGAACTTGTACTGGGAATGAACTTGTATTGGTAATGAACTTGTACTAGACTTGTACTGGGTAATGAACTTGTACTGGGAATGAACTTGTACTAGGAATGAACTTGTACTGGGTAATGAACATGTACTGGGAATAAACTTGAACTGGGGACTGAACTTTTACTAGAGAATGAACTTGTAACGGGAATGAACTTGTATTATCACTTACGAAACAGTATCCCTATTAAGGGTGTAAAGAGGATTAAAATTATTTATCCTAATCTGTATATCAACAACCACTGGAATTATGGGGTCGGGATCACAGTCGGTTATTCTAGACTTATAAAACCACGGAATATAATACTTGTAATTACAGCCATGTGTGTAGGTGGGCTCACGTGTGATATCCTAGACTTATAAAGCTGTGAAATATACTAACAGCCGCTTCCTGTAAGGTACTGTATGTATAACAGGATGTAACAGAGTCTCCATAGAAACCATGACGTGGACAGAGAAAACATATATGTGGAAATACACATTTCACAACGTTTAGCAAAGGATAGTGGTACCGTACCTGTTCAAGGTTTTCAAACTGATTATTCATTGACTCGTTCATGTCCCTTAACTGTCTGTTAGCTTGCTCCAGTTCATCGACCTTGTTCTCAAGGTCTTCCAGTCGTGGCTTTTTGTATATCAACTCAGTACTTGCCTTTTTGTTTCAAAGAAATTGACATGTTTTGGTAAAATGACCTAACAGAGATGAACTTGTCTTTTCGTTTAACAGAGTAGAAGATTTTTGGTAAATCTGCATAATACTTAAATGTTATAAAATGAAATAGCATTTCTTTTTCAATCTGCATTCATTGAAGATTAGGTAATTAAAATTTACCATTAATCTGAAATGATGAAAATGTTCTGAAAAGGACACAAAAATTACATATAAAAAGACCTGCATCTAAATTCAATCTTCTAGCAACTTAATTTTCATATCTTTAATGAACACAATTTTGTACGTTATTTATGTAGCTCATCTACAAAGCAGAAGCTACTACTTGCATACGCACCAGGAGTTCTTCTTTTTGGCTAATTAGATTGTCTCGTACTTTTTCAAGTTCCAAGATTCGGTCTCTGAAATTGAGAAAAATAATATATAAAATTCCTGTATAGTGTTTTTATAATCATCACACGTTTAGGCAATGATCACTTGACGTTTTTTTGAGTGATTTTTAAAATTAAAACAAGGCATTTATGGCAAAAGCTGGCAAAATTTGTGACAAAAAAAGGGGAAATGTGTGCATGGGAATATGAATGCCCCACTCCAATGCATTCGGTGTCATTATATGACACATTTCTTTAAATGGTATTATTGACCTTGGCCTTGATGTTAAAATCCTGATACATGTATACACAATATCATTTGTGGTACCATATCAATTTCTCACATGACTTTTGTATCAAGTATCAAGTTTGATCAAATTCTGTAATGACATAAAGTTGCAAGAGTTATGACAGAGAATGGGTTGGGAAGCAGTATAACAGGGGAGGACTACCCAGGATGGGAATCGTTATAAATGGTGCCAAGGTCATACCTGAAATGTTCGTTTTCATTTCTTAATTGATCGACCTTGCCTGTGAGTTGGTCAATATTGTGGAGCTTGGCTAGACTGTTTTCTGACTGAAAAACACAACAAGATCACATATATAGTACTATCATTCTCATCATTGGTAAATGCAGCCAAGATTTCATTGTTTACTAATCTTTTGTCAAAGGAACATATAAAATACCTAAAAGTTATCTGAAAGGAAAAATGTTAAACATGGAAACAAAAATCTTTGGGAAATATTGTTTCTGCACAGTAAAATTTACAAAATTTTGTTTGATAACCTAGAAATGTATATACAGACAAATTTTCTGGAGAATTCTTTATTCTCCGTGACTTTTGGATTAGTTTCCTGAAGGACTCTTTGAAGGTAATATTGGAAACATCAACAATACTTTGACATCAAATCAGTCATAACTATTTCATTAGCATTTCCTAAAGAAACTCGTCAATATACAAACAGGCAGTAAAATGTCCAAATGACTTTCCCTGCTATCACTACATTTATTGTTATTCTAACCTAAACAGTGTCAAATGTACAATGATGGAGAATATATGAATAAAACACCAGGTGTATCAGACATGAAGTAAAAAGCATGAGAGACTGATATTAGTCAAAGAAACACAAAAACAATATTTCACAAAAAACAGTTCATACGATCATGGCGTTAATATGTCAAGAACTTATGACCCGTCACAATTAAAAACAGATTTTAAGGATATTTACCACATTTAGTATGAATATAACAAGTCACAACGATAAAAGATTTTAAGAACATTTACTACAATTAGCATAACTATGAACAGATTCAGAGGATAAAGAAAATTGTCGTCAATGTATCTAAGTTTTGAAGACTTTGACCTGGTACTTGACTTTATGAACTGTCTAGCACACACTTGTTACCTGTTTAGGTAAACATGGACCTATAGAGCCTAGCAGCAAATACCAATATAGGGACCAGAGATAGTAGCCTCTCTAATGAAACTCACTTGAGGTGATTTATTGTTTTCATTATGTCTTAGGGAACAGATTATGTCCTAAGTAAATATTCAATAGTCAATGAGGCTCAACATGAGAGGTTGACTTGCTAAGGTATAAGGAGGGTCAGTGACAGAAGCATGCCCGTTACCTATAATTTTCCCAAAATGGTATACATGTACTTATGAAATCCAATCTGGCATGAAATATCAACTTTTAAAATCCTTTAGAGTGACAAAGCCACAATAAAATTATGAAACAAAAACAATCTTTTTTCTTTCTTTTTTTTTAGGAGAGGGAGTCTTGATTTTTCACCCAATTTTACTTTTGAAATCAGCTATCACATTTCCTTACATCTCGCTTTTTGCTAAAACTCAATTAAATTACTTGCAAATACAAAACAGCCTTAACACTTTTATTTCGTCAAAAAAATGGGTCATTACACTGTATAAATGGTATTTAGACATTTTAAGATTTTACAACACAAGTACACATCCATAAAAAATTTGAATCCATAAAAAATTTGAATAGTTTGAAATTATGAAAAAGGTCAATTCTGTCCTTTAACTGTCAGGCTAATTGTACATGTTGATTTTTATGATGAGAGTTTACGTGGTACAAACATTAAACATGTCACTGGCAAAAAACCAATAAATCAGTATTTAAATGTCCTCGTTCGTTATCGATTCTGTAACCTTCTAAAAAAAATACAGAAAAAAAAGATTCATGAAATAGATACATCTTTATCAAGACAGTAAATCTACGGGTCAGTAATTGATTTCAGTAACATGATATAGGATTTTTATGGACATCTCCCCCCTCTACACCCTCATAATTCCATGAAGACGAACCAAGGGTATCAATTGTACCAATATGGTGTACAATTTTGTGCTTATCAAAGCAGAATTAATGGGTGTTTAAAAGGCCATGTAATCTTCTCAAAACACCATTTAGGTACCAGACCTTCTGTATCAATAATGAAAGGTGATATGGGGGACCATAAGGGAAAATTTATGAAAAAACCTGGGCGCCTATTTCTGGCTAGTTTGATATTTCATTGTTCAACACTTTTGGGTTAGTCATACCGCTGGCAACAAACCTGGGTTACACTATATCAACATTTTTGTATTAAGAAACTAGAAAGAAAATTCCCCTTTGTGAAGCCTCAGATTTGTAATATATTGATAAGGGGGAGAGAGACCCTGCTAATTAAGTGACATTACATACATTCTTGTCATATTTCTATCCTTTCCTAGTCAATGGCATTTCAAAAATCGAAAAATCTTTTCAGATTATGATACCAAGTTACAGGATTGTGGATTTTTCATGCTATGAAAAATAGTTCAACTATTTTTTTTTCAGTTTTAAGATAATTTTCAACATTATTTCTATATGTCCACAGAAAGTAGTTCCCATATTGTTGTGGAAAGTTATATCACAGAAATAAGTCCCTTCCAGAGACAACTATATGTTATCAAGAAACAGGTTCCCTCATTTGTAGGATAGGAAATGGTTCACTCTCAAATACAAACTGTTGACAAGAAAATGATTCATAAATAACATCAAAATTATAAAAGGAAGTCGTTTAACCACACCATCAAACTAATGACAACAGGAAGTGGTTCAGTCACACCATCAAACTAATGACAACAGGAAGTGGTTCAGTCACAACATCAAACTAATGACAACAGGAAGTGGTTCAGTCACAAAATCAAACTAATGACAACAGTAAGTGGTTCAGTTACACCATCAAACTAATGACAACAGGAAGTGGTTCAGTCACACCATCAATCCAATGACAACAGGAAGTTGTTCAGTCACAAAATCAAACTAATGACATCAGGAAGTGATTCAGTCACACCATCAAACTAATGACAACAGGTAGTGGTTCAGTCACACCATCAAACTAAAGACAACAGTAAGTGGTTCAGTCACACCAGCAAACTAATGACAACAGGAAGTGGTTCAGTCACACTATCAAACTAATGACAACAGTAAGTGGTTCGGTCACACCATCAAACTAATGACAACAGTAAGTGGTTCGGTCACACCATCAAACTAATGACAACAGGTAGTGGTTCAGTCACACCATCAAACTAATGACAACAGTAAGTGGTTCAGTCACACCAGCAAACTAATGACAACAGGAAGTGGTTCAGTCACACCATCAAACTACTGACAACAGGAAGTGGTTCAGTCATACCACCACCAAACTAATGACAACAGGAAGTTGTTCAGTCACACCATCAAACTAATGACAACAGGAAGTGGTTCAGTCACACCATCAATTTAATGACAACAGGAAGTGGTTCAGTCACACCATCAAACTAATGACAACAGATGGTGGTTCAGTCACACCATCAAACTAATGACAATAGGAAGTGGTTCAGTCATACCATCAAACTAATGACAACAGGAAGTGGTTCAGTCACTCCATCAATCTAATGACAACAGGAAGTGGTTCAGTCACTCCATCAATCTAATGACAACAGGAAGTGGTTCAGTCACTCCATCAATCTAATGACAACAGGAAGTGGTTCAGTCACAAAATCAAACTAATGACAACAGGAAGTGGTTCAGTCACTCCATCAATCTAATGACAACAGGAAGTGGTTCAGTCACTCCATCAATCTAATGACAACAGGAAGTGGTTCAGTCACTCCATCAATCTAATGACAACAGGAAGTGGTTCAGTCACTCCATCAATCTAATGACAACAGGAAGTGGTTCAGTCACTCCATCAATCTAATGACAACAGGAAGTGGTTCAGTCACAAAATCAAACTAATGACAACAGGAAGTGGTTCAGTCACTCCATCAATCTAATGACAACAGGAAGTGGTTCAGTCACAAAATCAAACTAATGACAACAGGAAGTGGTTCAGTCACTCCATCAATCTAATGACAACAGGAAGTGGTTCAGTCACAAAATCAAACTAATGACAACAGGAAGTGGTTCAGTCCCACCATCAAACTAATGACAACAGGAAGTGGTTCAGTCACTCCATCAAACTAATGGCAACAGGAAGTGGTTCATTTACATTCAAATTATAACAGGACATGGTCAGTGACAGCAACAAACTGATAACAACATCCAAGAACTTGGAATATCTGTGAAATTTTACAACACAAGGAAATGGGCCAAACCTAATGTAAAGGATAGGATTAATGAGACTGATTCAAATCCTTAGAAAACAGATGAACACTTTCAGATTTCATTTACAGATTATTCCAAAACTGTTCAGCCTTTTATTCGTAAGAAAGATGAAGGGGAAGTCGATGACATTAAGAACAGACAAAATGATTACATTAGTGATGATGTGTAAAAAAAACAAGATATCACCAAAACATGACAAAATATTTATTTAATATAATTGCTGTTAACAAATCTAATTTTTATACCATTTAGATAGTACTACTATGTGTATAGTAATGGTTAGATATCAATTAAGTATGTATCAGGTAAATATATCCTATGTTAAAAGCATATCAACTAACATGATGTACCACTGGCTAAACAATACCCATGTTATAATGGAATAAATAAGATTAAATACAGATAAATTACAGTAACAGCTGTGTTAAACTTATTTTTCATAAAAACTGATTGGAAATACCATTATTGCAACATTTTCTATTTTTTTCATAATTAATTAGAAAACAACAAAGCGGAAAAATCCAAGTAAAGCCCTCCAGATTTGAATATATTGTACCAGCAACAATATTTTTAGATTACAAGCAATATGTCCATCTCATCGTTTACCACTCTAGCATTCATATAAAGTCACAAGGATGAGTCAATGTCAATGGGTATCGAAGAAGTCAAGTAATTTAATCTCCTAAAAAAGAAGCAATGTACTATACATTTCTTATTAAAGAAACAAAATTCTAAACATCCTTATAATCAAAGTGTCAAAGAAAATACCATTTCTTAAACATGTCCAGCATCAAAGGTCTCAATAGGGCATGCATGAGATATTGCCATTTTTTTTGGAATTTTAACCTATACCCATTTTAAAACTTTTTTTTTTACATATTTTTTATGAATATCCTCAGAATTTTAAATTAATATATATGCTTATATCAGCTTTTCTTGTAACTTTTATACATATATGTAATTCCAAAATGACACAAAATTTAAGAAAGGCTAAATGTATCTTACAAATTTGAAACATTTCCCATTTTAGGTCCCCGTCAAGTTGTGGCCTGTAACTCCTAGCTTTACTATAATGATAAAAACTTAGTACACTGTAGTTTTTTAATTAAACTCTACCTTCTTCATTAATGTTAGCTATATGACCAAACCTAATGTGTTAGTAAATATATACCCCAGTAATAAGTTTGTTATTGATTTGCAAACATAAATGCGGTTTACATGTGTCTGTTATAGGTTGAGAGGTGCTTATTAACATGTCCATATTCAGTGCTTCATACATGCATAACAGATCTCCTAAGAAAAATAAACAAATATTGATCCGAAAATCTGTCAAAATACAAAGGACGTTCTAATGCTTTTCAATTTAAATGATCTAATTTGGAACAAAATAAAAAAGAAGACTTAAGGAACCCTGTCCCACTGCACTGTGCTTTTTTCTTACACAGTAACCTCCCCTGATTTCATTGGGTTAGGACCTTTTTGCGGACCTTGTGGCTCAGTCAGTTAGAGCAATGGTATAACAGTCTATGTCCAGAGTTCAAATCCTGGTCTAGCCCCACTGAATTTTTACAAGCAGAACACTGTTGTATTTATGGAAACCAAATACCTGTAATTAAAATTAACTTCTAAATATAAATATTTTTTATTTCATCAATCATTAACCTAGTGTTTCCCAAAAAGCTTGTTTGCTTATTGTCAGCATTAAAAGTAAACCTAAAAGTAACTTAGTATAACAACGCTTCATATACTTGATTTGCTCAAAATCATCAGAAATAAGAAGATTTTAATTTACATTATAAATTTAAGATTCAGGTTATATTTTTTGGTAAAATCTGCATCAAATAAGACCTGTTCAAAACAAACACAGGTGTTCCAAAAGTTACTAAAAGATAAAAGTCCTAAACAGGTCAACATCCTTTTTTTTCTGAAGATTTTTAAAAAAAATGCTGACTGAAATGTGAAAACAGAAAAAGATATACATAGTCATCAAACAAACAAGACAGCACAGGTAAAGGATGCAAGAGTAAACACACTGAAAAATTACAGATTTGATGTTGTATACCTAAAAAAGAATTATCTTGCAATCTCTCCATGTCAACAGTATTGGAATGTGCAGAAGACTTGTTTGTTTGATCAGATGAAATATGTGCAAAGCAACAATGATATTGGTAGTGAAGGTCAATTGAGGTCAGACACAAGTTTTTTTCCTAGCACCCAGTTACACCCAGAGGTTAACACAGCCAAAACAGGCTTCACAAACTTTTTGCAATTAAAGTTATTCATAAGTTCTGGTGGCAACTTCATGCACAATGATACTACAGTATTTATGTCTACCATTACAATCATCAACTTGTAACATGATATTTACAGCCAAAACCGTCTAGGTCAATTATCATTGTTTTCTTTCTCTTTGATAAATTTATTGCTAGAGAAATAGTATCAATATAACAAGATTTTATTGCATGTCAAGTTTTTCATTACTTTTTTTCAGTATAGAATTCACAATTTCATTAGAATTTCTTGAGAAACCTATTTTACTGTATAGATAAAAAGGTCATATATTCAATGCACCCTTGTTTTAACCTCTGATCTAATGGTCAGCTGAAATTTTAATGTCAGCAAAGATGTACTTAATAGTATTAGGTCAAACATCATCAGGACACCACCACACAAACAAACACAGTGAAAATGCAAGAGAAAAGCTGTGATTTCAGAAAATGTAACCCATTCACCCACAAAAAAGATGAATGGACTCTACTGTGATTGATTTGGGTTGTGCTAATGTTGTCTAGAGGGGAGACAGAGCGGAGCTGAAGTCTCTTACACTCTTTGTTAGGACCTCCTTCTGGGTTTCCAAAAGTTTAATCATCTGTTCATTCTCAGCATTCTCCTGTATCAACTTTCGATTTTCCGACTTTAATCTGAAATGGACAAAAACAAATATTTTATACAATGTATTAAACAGCATCAAAATTTATAGGAGAATTGTTCGTTTCCAAATACTTTTTTTCTGTACAGCGAACTTTATAAATTTTACTTAAAAGACACATCATGGAACAGTGAAAAAACTAAAAATTTTAGTACCAGTACCTGAAATGCCATTCCAATTTGTCATTATATCAATATGGCTGGCACGTGTGACAAAATTAACAGTAAAAACTACAGTTTTGGAAATTGTGTTTTCGATTAGGAGAAGGCTACCCTGGATTGCTTTTCACATGAACAGGGAGACATAGAGTTTCCAAGGAAGACAAATATCGAATTTTTGCAAAATGTTCACCATAGATAAAAATTTGAAGAATTATCTAAATTTGTTGTTGTTTGGATGAGGCTAGGTGAAGCACAGTGATACTTACGTAGTGACGTTCTCCTGTTGGTCTGTCAAAGTCTCACACTCCTCCGATAGAGCCCTGTTTTCTGTCTTCTGTCTTGAACTCTGTGGGGTAAAGATTAGCACGCAATCGCATCACACCATTAGCATAACACACCATAGCACTCAGCACTATACTCTACAGCACATCTCTCCACACAAATTAGCACGCTAACTAAACCGCTAATGATGATGATGGGGATCAATTACGATGGACAATCATCAATAGATGACTCTATACTATGATTTAAATATTTGGTGAATTAAAAACAGAATATCCTAATTCCTGAGACGGAGAGTTACGCAGCAGGGTAACAGTAAATCTCCGGTACTTATTTTCCTTCGGAAGCTCATAACTTCGATTTCTTAAACTACAAAACATGTATTGTCATCTTCGCACCTGAAATTACAACCAGAGTTTTAGTTTAATTAAATGAAGACCTGACCACCACAGTATGATGCTATCTGCCTACATGAGCCTATGGTATTTACACTGGTACTTACAATTTCATCTAGTTCTTCACACCGGTCCATCAGTGCCTGTATCTCTGACTCTTTCTTGTGTACGGAGGCAGTCAAACTATCACATGTATCCTTCCAGGTGTCCAGTTCCTGCTGTGTGGCCATTGTCGAGGACCGTATGTCCTCATTAGCCTTGCGCAATTTCTAAAATGAAATGAACACACTTTATATAAACAATTTATTAATATAAACTTATCCTATACATAACTGAAGAGTGCAAAAAGTATGTACGCTACTGACTTCAATTGATGACACAAGAAGAAATGGTTACCAGTATGGCAGTAGACAATTATTTGTTTTCCCGATACTTAACTCATTCACCCCCTGAAATTTCATAATGAACTATTCCAACCTTTGATTTGGAAGAGTTCAAATGTGACTTCAGGGGTGAATGAGTTAAACCTTGATATGTCTAGTCAGAGATTTGGTCACCGTTAAGTGTTCTCTTCTAGAGTCAGGTTTTGTCTTTTTTTGGTCTTTTTTTTTAAATTAATATTTTTTAAATTGCAGCAAGTTATGCAAGCAATGAAAATTAAGGTTCTTGTTAAATCTTTAGATGGTTACTAAAATTTGAACCATCAGTATTCCATACACACACTTAAATGCACATCAATCAAGAAAAAATCAACAACAACAAATACCTAAATAAAAACAAGAGAATAACTGAACTGACACAAGAAGTCATAATACTGATCAGGATGGAATGTGTTTAAATGTTATTCATTAGGGAGCAATATTAGGTATGTTTTCAAAGTTGATGACTAAGCATTAAGTGGAAGGGTACTTATGTTGTTTGTTCATTGTATAACACAATATTGTGGAAAACATTCATCCCAGTGGGTTGTCAGAGACTTTAAAATGTATTTAACATAATATTACTCTCAACACAATAAGTGTTTAGTATATTGATGCTTCAATACCAACTTTCTACAGAGACCTAGTCATAGAGACAACTTATATCCATGAAAAATTGACACCAGAATACGGGAACTTGATTTTTGTAGAAAAACTAAATACATCTACTGATGCGATATAAGATAAATTTATTCAAGCTAATTTTATTTTGACTTGATTTTATTTTGACTTGTAAAAAGAAACAAGACGATGAATCTCTCTTCCTATTCTGTTAAAACTATAGGACACTATCAGGCACTCGATAGTACCCAACGGCAACGAAAAACTGTAATAATGTTTTGAAAATTAAAGGAATTTTTTCAAAAAAACCTGAATTAACAAAAGCAAATTTAAAGCAAAACAATATTAAATCAAAACAGTTTTAGAACAAGTTCGTCAAACACTTCAAAAGTGTAATACAACAACAGACAAAAACATGGATTTTCCACAGAGAAAAACCCAGAACTTGCCCTGTTATTAGCCCCACTTTCCAGTAAGATTATCTGCCAGAAGACAAGTGATTATAGGACATGAACTTTTGTTTTAAAACTTAAAATAGACGACCTGTCACCACAGCTCAGCTTTTCTATTTACGACTAACTCAACAAAAATGTTTTCATCCAAAAGGTGTCCAAAATTATTGAAATCAATACACATAATTGAGATTTTGTTTCAAAAGATTGAAATCTTGAAACTTAAAAAGAGAAAAGGGTACACTGAGTAAAGGATTCAGGAGGGTTTGGCACAGGTAACAACTCTGGTAGGCAAAATACAATTAAGGATTCAGGTAGGCTGTGAGTACAGGTAAGCCTTATAGGATTCAGGTAGGTTGAATACAGATAAGGATTCAGGTAGGTAAAGGGTAGCCTTATAGGAAGCCTTATAGGATTCAGCTAGGTTGAATACAGGGAGGGATTCAGGACGGCCGGGTACAGGGAAGGATTCAGGTAGGTAAAGTACAGGTAAGGATTCAGCTAGGTTGAATACAGGGAGGGCTTCAAGAAGGCTGAGTACAGGTAAGCCTTATAGGATGCAGGTAGGTTGAATACAGATAAGGATTCATGTAGGTAAAGTACAGGTAAGGAATCAGGTGGGTAAAGTAAAAGTAAGGATTCAGGTAGGTAAAGTACAAGTAAGGATTCAGGTTGGTAAAGTACAAGTAAGGATTAAGGTAGGTAAAGTACAAGTAAGGATTCAGGTAGGTAAAGTACAGGTAAGGAATCAGGTGGGTAAAGTACAAGTAAGGATTCAGGTGGGTAAAGTACAAGTAAGGATTCAGGTAGGTAAAGTACAAGTAAGGATTCAGGTAGGTAAAGTATAAGTAAGGATTCAGGTGGGTAAAGTACAAGTAAGGATTCAGGAAGGTAAAGTACAAGTAAGGATTCAGGTAGGTTAAGTACAAGTAAGGATTTAGGTAGGTAAAGCACAAGTAAGGATTCAGGTGGGTAAAGTACAAGTAAGGATTCAGGAAGGTAAAGTACAAGTAAGGATTCAGGAAGGTAAAGTACAGGTAAGGATTCAGGTAGGTTAAGTACAAGTAACGCTTTAGGTAGGGAAAGCACAAGTAAGGGTTCAGGTGGGTAAAGTACAAGTAAGGATTCAGGCAGGTAAAGTACAAGTAAGGATTCATGTAGTTAAAGTACAAGTAAGGATTCATGTAGGTAAAGAACAAGTAAGGATTCAGGTGGGTAAAGTACAGGTAAGGATTCAGGTAGGTAAAGAACAAGTAAGGATTCAGGTGGGTAAAGAACAAGTAAGGATTCAGGTGGGTAAAGTACAAGTAAGGATTCAGGTAGGTAAAGTACAAGTAAGGATTCATGTAGGTAAAGTACAAGTAAGGATTCATGTAGGTAAAGAACAAGTAAGGATTCAGGTGGGTAAAGTACAGGTAAGGATTCAGGTAGTAAAGTACATGTAAGGATTCATGTAGGTAAAGAACAAGTAAGGATTCAGGTAGGTAAAGTACAAGTAAGGATTCAGGTGGGTAAAGTACAAGTAAGGATTCAGGTGGGTAAATTACAAGTAAGGATTCAGGTTTATGTTTTATACTTACTGTTTCTAACTCTTGATTCTTGTTATGGAAATGTGAATTTTCATGGCGGAGTTCTCTCAACTCATTCTGAAATATTCAAATGAGTATCAGTAGAGTCAGCTAGGTAATATATGTATTAAGAAAATTCTAAACAGGTATATAGAAGAGACACTAAAACAGGTAATATATGTTTATTTAAAGAGAACCTAAAGCAGGTAATATAGATAAATAGAGACAGAGAGTTTCATACAAGGACATGTGATACAAAGACTTTTTTTGTCTTAAAGTCATTTTATTACCATATATTTTAACTCAGGTACACCAAATACCATGTATATCTAAATGGTCCCAACAACTCTGACTTGCTGAGGCCTGTGTGTATCTGTCGAGTCACTTTGCTGGTATACATCCCTCTTTCTTACATTACTGAACTAGTTTTACTGAAGAATTCAGTATATATACCGCAGTTTATCTCAACCTCATTTTTGACTCTTGAAATGTTTAAATTCTGTTAATTCATCACAAAAAAAGCTTATTTATTTTCTCATTTCTAGAACTACCTTGGAAGTTTGAATAGCTTCACATTTCTAGAACTACACGGATAGTTTGAACAGTTTTAAATATTTCTAGAACTGAATATTAAATAGTTTCTCATTTCTATAACTACACTCCAATTCTACAATTACTGCAGATCTTGAATATTTTCTCATTTCTATACTTACCTTGAGAGCTTGAATAGTTTCATCAAATTCTTCTCTTTCACGTCTGATGTCTTTTGATTTTCCATCAGCCATCTGTTAAATAACAAATTAATATATGACAGTATGAACACAAATCCTCATTAACCCAGTCACCACTAATCCTCATTTATCCAGTTACCACTAATCCTCATTTATCCAGTCACCACTAATCTTCATTAATCCAGCTGCCACTAATCATCGTTAACCTTTCCACCATAAATCTTTACTAAACCAGCCACCACCAATCCTCATTTATCCCACCACCACTAATCTCATTGTCCCAACATCTTGTCAGTGCTCGAGGAACAGATTGGCCGATTTTCTATATAATATATCCCTGTCATCCAGCTGGTTCACACTCCAGCCTATTTAATTTGGAACAAATTTGGCTGGATAATCTATTGAAAGCAAAGGTGGCTGGAATATCAAGTCTCTATTATATTTCATCTCAAAATGTAGAATAACAATAATCAACAAAGCATCTTCATACCTGTGAATTTTGAAAGTTCAATGTTGAAAAAAGCTTCAAACTTTTGTTTTCGACCAGTTTTGGAAATGTACATAATATTGTATTTGAAATTGGACTTTCATCATTTAGACTTATAACTGATATAAAGAGAGGAAAATCTATCTTTACCAACATCAATGACTGACAAAATTGATCAAACAAAACATTAGTCAGTATTAAAATTACAGATACAAGTCTTTTGGTGTCTTAAAACCATTTAATATATAACTGAGTGACAGGTTTCACTCTATCTTTCTGTTTAAACGGAAATATTCAATTTCAAACTGAAAGCTGTATCACTCCACACTATTAAACAGTTAGGTCAGACCATCAGCTATAGGGGGATCAATCCTCAGTGTATATACTATATAAACAGACACATCAAGTCTTCTGCAGCTATAGGGGGATCAATCCTCAGTGTATATACTATATACAGACACATCAAGTCTTCTGTATGTCTTATATCAAAATTATACATCACTCTTTTAGGGTTGATCAAACTATTTAAAAAAATAAATAAACATCTAATTCACAAATGAAAACTATGTCACCAGCTTATATCTAATCATACTGTTTGACCACAGAATTAGCACAGGGAATAATATCAGATCAATTTCTTCAAGATTATTATTCCTTGTCAAAATACTCCATCATTATATAATAATCTGGACTTACTTGTTACAAAAATTCAAACATTAGAAATACTTTAAAAGTTGAAAGACATGAAGTACAATGTACCATATTCTATCAATTATCTTTCTAATAAAACAATTGAACCAATCTTAATCATATCACAGAATTATAGGATCCATTTATACCTTTAAGCAGGATCTGCATGTTGAAGCTCTATCAGTATTAGTGAGCATAATTGTAATTATAAACATTAATACCGGTATATATATTTTTTTCAAATCACTAATATATAACCAAACCACTGCCATATTGATCCCCAAAGCTGCATACTTACCAACCGACCTTCAGCAGGTTTCCAAATAAACTACCATACAAAAATCCACAATCAACTCACATCATTTCCATCAATCAATAACACATGTCAAAATGTTAAACATTTCCCCGCAAAAAAATAAACCACGAAATAAAAATGTCAGAAAACGGAATTTACCACATCTTGGATCAACTGTGCATATAAAGAAAATCAGTCATTAAAAGTAAAACAGCAAGAATCAAAAACAAAATTATTTATATACCATTTCAAATAAACACTACAAATTGTAAACTTTATAACCTCAAATACACTATTGTAAAATCTTCAACATGTGAAATCATTTGTTTAATAATAAACCTGAAAATATTAAATAGGCTTGTTCCATGCAGTTATAATTAGTGACTTAGGGAGTGACCAGATCAAACTTGGACAAAGGGAGATAACTATATATAGGATTTCTGGACCACAATATATGTCTTTGTTTAGACACACAAACAATTATACATAAAACATTTCTGATCTGTTATCATGGTATATTTTAAAACTCTACTCATACTTGTACCTATTTTTTCTTATCTAGAAAATAACAATGTAACTCATATTGGGCTTTACTGGTCAGAAAAATAGGGCTAGAGATTGGGTTTGGGGGGAGGGGGAGGATGGTTGGAGAAGTTTAGATGCTGGGTGATAGTGAAAGGGATAGGGGACAAAAAGGCCAGGTCACCCAAGGTTGTGGGAGATAAACCGAAAACCTGTCAGAATAAAATTCAGATATAGAGGGGTTGGAGTGGATCGAGGGGCAATTCAATTATTTAACTTCAATATCAAAGAATCGTCAAAACCGAATCATCAAAACCAATCAACGTGCAAACCCAAAATAAAAACTTGCCATTTTGTTGTAATATTCCATGGATAGAACTCTCTGCATTGGAAATAAAATGTTTCTTAATGATTACAATCTTGTTCACAAATGAAATTTCAAATATAAATTTCTGTAGGTTTTATACAGTTTTCTTTCACCTGATGTGATGTTTATTTTGTGCTGAATGTATTAGCTTAATCTTTTATCGAAAGTATCAGGTAATTCCTATTTTGTCTTGTCTGACCATCCTGACATCAGAAAAGTAATTGCCACCATGGGTAAAATTAAATGTCTATTTCAGAATGTAAATTACAGCTGTCTAATTCAAGGGTACACATAACGTCTAATCAAAGTCACCTGAAATAGGGAGAGTGACTGAAAGTTATTGACCATTTACACAACGCTGCCAGACAAAAAGTTGACATTTGTGTGTCCCAGAATCCTCTATTTACCTTGCTGAGTCTCTCCACCTCTGTCAGAAGTCTTTCCTTCTCCTGGCTAGCAAAGTCCTGTTGCTGTGACGACATTTTTTTGCCATTTTCCAGTACGCTGATCTGTTCCAGAGCACGCTCGTAGTAGGCTTTTACTGAGGCTAAGTCTGACGATATCTCCTCATTCACCTACGGGATCAGCATCAACACAGATCATAAACATTGATAATTACAAGACTTAATATTCTACAAAATATCACCATGGTGCTGACTTAGACTTGGTGAATTACTGCTGTCTTGGGACGTGATACACAAGATGTGAGGAAATATTCTGGTCTAACATATTAATACAGTGTAATTGATACACGATCATGGTTAAGATACTGGCGATTGTAAGTAGTTTTACAGATACAACCAACACCAGGCTACACATGTGTTTATGAGATATGATTTGGTTTGTTCGCGCTTTATGTCTATGTTAACACCTATGGCCATTTAAGTGTGAGTCAAGTTTTGGTGGTGGAGGAAAACCTTGAGAAAAACCGACCACCTGTGGCTCATACCTGGCAACCGTCCCACGTAAAAGTAGGCCTCCAACCTATGACCCAGTGGTTGAGACTAGTGAATTTAGAGAAAGAGTACAAACATTGTATATCTAATAAATTGACTTCCTTTTGTAGATTTACTTGTTAAAACATAATCATCCCATTTCCTTTATTCAGCAGCAAGCAAAACCAAAGTTAACGACGTTCAGTTATTACCTGCTTTATATCTTGTACAGCGTCTTCCAAAGCATTTTTCTCCATATCCTTCTTCTTTGCAGATTTCTTGACCCTCTCTACCTCATCCTGAAGATCGTTGATCTGTTCCTGCATAACACTGTTGGCCTGGAATCATGAACACATTCAGTTTTATATATACATCTCAAATTTTATGAAAAGTGACATCATACTTTATTGGCTAAGCAAAACTTACAGGATTGGCTAAGCAAAACTTACAGGATTGGTTAAGCAAAACTTACAGGATTGGTTAAGCAAAACTTACAGGATTGGCTATAAGCAAAACTTACATGAGTGGTTAAGCAAAACTTACAGGAGTGGTTAAGCAAAACTTACAGGAGTGGTTAAGCAAAACTTAAGTCTAACATTGTTTCATGATCCTAAAGGGCCAGGTATCTTGATATATCCAATACACATACAATCACAACATATCTTGAAAAATATATTAAGCTATTCTCAATCTTTTGAAATTTACATGCAGCCAAGACAATTTTTTGACAAAATTTTCGAACGTATTTGTCATTTCACCTTGAAAGAAAGGATACTATGGAATAACTACATTGTATCGCACACTGGATGATGCGAATATACTTAAAATTTTGTGAGGATAGCTTAAATGGTTAAAGCTACAGCAATTTTACTAAATTATGCACTTATGTGACAATATGTCTCCCTTTATTTAAAGTGAAGGCACACTAACTACTGACCCGGTCAAGCTGCTCTTTGCCGACAATGAGGTGTTGGTATTTGTTGTTGAGGTCCATTTTTTCCTGGAAAAGTCTGTCTTTTTCCACACTGGCACTTGAGGCCTTGGCCTGCATATCTGTAGCTTTGACTTTTTGATTGTCCAGTTTCTTTGTCATAACTTGCTTCTCCTGCAGGTAAAATATACAAGTAAGCGACACATATAATCATAACTCCATACATTGTATACTATCAAGTTTTTTAATATTAAGTGATTTGACATGAACTCCGCTTCATATAATGTTATACATGTTTTGACATTCCTCTTGATATCATGTTCTATTTACCACTCCCCTAATATCATGCTTGTATTGTGAGTTGTCCAATCACATGTATAATCTACCTTTACAGACTAAAATATATGGCAACAATTGGGTTTGTGTAAATAGATCAAACAGCTACTGAAGAGCTGTCTGTAATGACCTAACTGTGCTACCTTAGAAATACAATTCCTTTAAATTTCACACTGATTGTGGTTTTTTATATTGACCTAAAAATTACAAAGTACTTACATCTGCTAATGATTTCCAAGAAGAAGCAAGTTTCTCATTTTCCTCTTTCATTGAGTTTGTTAGGGCTCTCAGTTCTGTTAACTGACCCGTTAGCTGGGCTAGTTTCCTTGTGAGATCAGCATTCTCCTATAAAATGTAAACAATTACAAATGTTATTCTTAGAAGCTATGAAGGTTATGGGTTCTGTCCTGTGAATTGGTACTGATACTGTTCTCTGCATGGGAGGGTGTCAGTAAGGACAGGCAAGGTCATTGTCAGTATAGTGTGACAGCGTGGAGTGTCATCCTGCCATATCCAGTTTAGGACATTTCAGTGAGATGACACTTTAAGAAATGGTCTCATCATCTGTGCACACCATTTTCACTATACCTCAGCAAGGAACAAACAAACTGTACCTACCAAGTATATTGACATGTATATATGTATGCAAGATATCACTCGATCTTATTCATATATTTGCTCCCACCATTTCGCTTTTAATCAGGTTTCTTCAAATTTCTTTTTTTCATTTCAATTTGGCCTTAAACATTGTCTATACAGAAATTATTTACCTCTTTAAGTTTGAGAACTTCCATCCTTAAATTTTTGTTGTCGTCCTCCAGTGGTTCAAACCGTACTTTGGCTAGCCTCATGCTCTCCTTGGCGACACCTACTTCTCGCGCAAGTGTTTCTTTATCCTACATAAAACATGAAATTTCAACATATAGACAGTGTGGAAATGTTCCTATTTTGTCACTTCAACATACACATAGTGTGGATATTTTAGTATTGTTGATACACAGTTGAGAAGATTTTTGTGATTTGACTTTTCAAGATGTACCTAATGTGGAAAGTTTGGTTTTGGCAGCAACATTATTTTCAAACTACATTATTGTATTCACAAATGTCAATTCAGTTAGATGATGAAAGTGAATTTCGTATTGTAGTATACCACGACTGCCTGTATGTGACAATACCTGTCGGAGATTCTTGTTTTCAGACTCGAGCATAGAGAGTGCTGTAGTAGACTGGTCCAGCAGATTGATCCTCTTCTGGTTGTCTGTCTCAGCCACCATGTGCTGAGCTTGTAATGATCGCAAGGCAAAATCAAGCCGGTCTATTCTGTAATGGAACCAAAATTCTTGCATTTATTAAAAATGTTTTCTCAATAACCTTAAGATTTGAAACTGAACTGCTTTCATAGTCAATATGAATGCAAACTGAAAATCAGAAACTGCTTGAAGCATGCTGCAGATTGAATTTGTTGTTTCCAGTTGGCATTCATATTGACTATAAATGCAAACTGAAAACAGTTTAATACTTATAATTTGAGGTTTTCAGCCCAAAAACAAAAGATTCGAATATCCCTACCTCCCTACCGGTCCAAGGGAATATAATCCATCGGAGTGAGAAGCCAAGGACCGGAGATAAAAATCTGTGAAGCTAGTCTGTCTGTGCCAGAAAGCAGCGGACATGACCTCGTCAAAGGAGGACCCCCCCTGGTTTTAACGAGGTAAAAGCTAAACGCCCGACAGGGACATAGCAACATATCCTACTCCTCAGACCCAATGAAGGCAGTCAAAGACGGAATCTTAATAGGATCGGGCAAGAAGCCAGGAACCTGATTCTTATCCATGAAGGCAGGATCAGTGAGAAGGGTAACGGCAGAGTAATTCCTAGACCACCGAAGGCAAGAGGGGTGAAAAGATAAGGCATGAATCTCACTTCTCCTTCGAACCGAGGCCAGGGCAATAAGGAATATCTTAACATACTTCAAGGAGGCAGACGCTAAAGGCTCATAAGGTGCCCGCACCAGCGATTCGAGCACCAGTGGCAAGCCAACTGCCGGACCCTGGGCCTGTTCACCCCAAACCCCCTAATCAAGGCAGAAAGAGAGGAGGACGAGCCTACGTCCGGCCTACCATGAACAGAGAGCACACTTGCAATTGCCGTACGATAACCAGCGATAGTGCTAGGGGCAAGATTGCGGTCCCTAAACAGCCAAAGAAGGAAGTCCGCAATCACCTGGACAGTAGCCTTGATCGGGTTAACCTTCCTGCTGAAACACCAATCACAGTAAATCTTCCATCGTGACTGGTAGACGGCAGATGAGGAAGACCTAATCGATCGAGCGATGTGATCTGACACGTCCCTAGAAAAGCCCACCTAAGCGAGGCCTCCTGAGATAGCTTCAACGAGTGGAGGTGGAGGATCTTCGGACGAAAGTGCATCGTCCTGGACCGAGGCTGGAGCAGGAGGTTCTTTCTTTCATCAGAATCGACGAAAGCTCCTGAAACCAACGCTATCAGGGGGAGGGAACAATGATGCTCCCGAAACTTCAGCAGCACCCTGCCCACCAGGTTGAAGTGCGGGACTACATATTAATTGATGTGCTCTGAGAGCTGTTCCCGCAACCATTCCCCGACCGGCAATGCCCGTCGAGGTAACCTCCCCACCCCGTCATGGACTTATCCGTGTACAGGGTCATAGTGGGAGCCGGCTTGAACAAAGGTAACCCCCCGGAGAACAATGTCCTGATAAGTCCACCACCGTGCAAACTCCTTGACCGACTGGTTAAGAGGAACATCTGCAGAGGCCTGATGTGAAGTCTCCCATAGAGGACAACATCTGCCAGGGCATTGAGATAACCCAGAAAACTGATAAACCAAAGTACCTGGACTTGAGACTGGCTGATGAAGGTCAGGGCAAAAGCCCTGGCCTTCTTGAACTTCTCCATCTGAGGAAGGAATGAAGACGACTTTGAGTAAGACTTTAGAACCAACTGAGTGTCCTGCACCAAAGACTCTCTCACTAGGTGGAGTATAAGTGAATCATTGAAATAGATGTGAACATCTATCCCTTGAGAGTTCAGGATTCCCACAACCACCTGCAGCAGTTTGGTGGAAACCAAAGGGGCAGTCGTGAGCCCGAACAGCTTGGCCCGGAACTGGAAGATCTCTCCGTTTGCACGTAAAACAGAGGTACTTCCATGCCGACTTCTTGATTGGGATGTGGAAGAAGGCGTCTTTCAGGTCCACTTAAGTTGCCAACATTCCATCTATCACGGAGGCGATAATGTGCCAAGGAGTCTTCATCTTGAAGTAAGGAGAATCTACGTGCCTGTTGAAGGCACTTAGATCTATGATTGGATGCCACGCCCCAGACTTATTCCAAAACAGAAACATTCTGCAGTAGAAACCGGGCATACATTCAGACATAGGAACCTCCTCGACCGCGTCCATGGTCCTTACTTCCTCCTGGAGTGCCAGAGCCTTTTTGAAACCCCTGGCTCTGACGCTAAGGGCGGTTCCTGCACTAGCGGAAAGCCTAACCCCTCCTTGACCACAGACAAGGCTCATGCGTCTTCAGTAATTTCCTTCCACTCTGGGAGGAAAGCGGAAAGACGGCCCCCCACAGGAAGATCTGGTAGAGGCAGATCGAGACCATGCCAGGCAAGAGAACCGTCTGCCGACCCAAAGCCTAATCCTTCAGGAGAAGGACCTAAGTTTGAGCTGGGAGGACTTCAATCCCCCCGGACAAACCCGTTGTCTGACATGACCAAGGAGGAAAGAAGAGAGTCAGGAACCCTTCTTCTTACCCCCAGGAGGGTTCTTACCCTTCTTACCCTACCCTTTGTTGCCCATGAGAGGAGGCTTATACTTGGGCTGTGCAGAAGACTGCGAAGCTGAAGGTTTAGCCTTCTTCTTAGGAGGCGCTGACCCCTGCGAGGTACTGGCCTTCTCAGCCTTAATCCTCTTCACCAGAAGTGCAGAGGCAACCGAATCCTTCTTCAAATCCTTCTGAACAGAAGGAAGGGCCCCTCCAAAAAGAGTGAACCCTCAGAAGGGGGCAGTCAACAGACGGGAGCGGTAAGGTTCATCAACTGGGCAGTTTTTTAAAACTGAAAATGCCTAGCCAGCAAGACATTGATGAGTGATGACACCTGTAAAGTTGCCAGTGCTCTCAATGCCCCGTTCTGGGCAGAGGTCACTCTGTCCTGGATGTCGGCCTGCTCTGTCTCGGTAATCCCACCCTCAGTCGGATACCCTTTGTAGACATACCGTCAGGTAGTCTATATAAGACAGAATTTGGATGGAGAGATGCAGCAGTCTCTCCTTCTTGTGTTCCTTGGGGCCGAACAACACCTGGTCCACCGATTTGCCAGGCCAGGCTGCGAGTTCCCTTGACTCCAGCTTAGCTGCTTGAGTGGCAAGCAGGCCATCATGCGTGGTATAGTCAGTGGTATGCACCTCTGACAAGTCGCCGACACTGAACTGCAACCCAACATACCCAAGACTACGGGTTGAAGAAGACTTCTTCTCTAAAAACTGAGACTTGGCAGTGGCCAGAGCTAAAGACATGATTGTGCCTTCTGGCACTGAGCGGACACCCGAGGAGCCACCAAGGAACCCAAAGGGTGGTGAACTCGGGACAGATGACGCCGAAGGTGGTGGGCATACCGCTTCCCCAAGAATCCGGGAAATGTCGGCCCTCGGGCCCCGCAAACCGTACAACAACACATGCTGGGCCTCAACTGCAGCAGCCTCAGGGTCACCCTCATCCTGGACATCCTCCTATCAGAGGCCAAGCCCTCCTGAGGACTGTCATCAGACGACTAGTAAAGACCAGCGTCTATATCCGGGCAACCAGGTGAAAGATGAACAACATCATCGTCCTCTGCCACACCCGTGCCCTCAAAGTCCATAGCCTCCACGCTATCAAGACCAGAAGACTCGGCCGGAGGAAATGGGCCAGCCAGAGGGGCCAACTCGAAAGAAGGCTCCACATAACGGCATTTAGGTGCAGTGCCCCTAACAAACATGGCTGTAGGTTAACGCTTAGTAATCAAAACCCTACCCTTGGACCCAGAGACCACCGAGCATGCTCGAGAGGCAGAAGTCCTAAAGGTCCTACACACCTTCTTAGGACCGGCCAATAAGGCCCCAGAAGTAGCAGAACGTTTGAAGGGGAGGGGGGGTTGTTGTGTCAACAGAACTGCTAACACATACTGCGCGAGGAAGAGACCAAACCCCAAAGATTCCATGAAGGAAACCGGCCCCCTGTCCAGCAAACCGCCCAAGTTCCCAGCCGAATGAAACCCTGGGCCGTACCTAATAGGACCGGGTCCGGGTAACTGACCGGGAGGGAAAACCAGACCAGCATTGGTTCCAGGATTAAGTAGACACAGACACAGACATGTAGTCACCCAAGAACCTGAACCGGAAAGAACAGGCCTGGCACCAAGACTGTCCCCGACGGAGTCAGTGCCAAGCCAGGGTCGGACTGCCCCTCCCTACTCCAGGGAGTTCCTGGACAGGAAGGGCCACCCGCAGAAGCAAGACTCCCCCGAGACAGGAATAGAGACAGTACCGCCAGACCCCAGAGAGCCGGCGGCACCACCCCTACCTCTCTGCTTCCCTCGCTTACCGGAAGAAACAGATGAATCTCTCTTATGGTAAGCTGAGGGTCGCTTAAGAATGATGAAGGCCTTGTCCTGAGAGCCAGCCTGTGAACAAAGTTCACAAGGCGAAACCTCACTACAAGGACGACACTGGGGACAAGCATTATGAGGGTCCTGTTCCACAAAGAAATGGGAACACTTATGAGCTGACCCCCTTCGCTGTCCCGACCGAGACATACCCTACAAAACGAAAGTAAACAAAGTTTACAAGTCAAGAAATATGGGGAAAAAAAACCTACGGCAGTACAAAGTACGCAACGTAGAATGAAATTCACCCGAAATACAATTCAGAAACGGTGAAATAGACAATATTTGCTGAAACAACCAACCATAACCGAAATACTGTAAACACTGGTCGGCTACTTGGAGTAAAAAAACGACCAAAAAGGCACAAAAGCAATTTTCAACAACAAATAATTGCAGAATAACTTGACAAGACACTCAAACCAATCTGACAAAACGAAGTTTAAAATGGAGCTAGCTCCGGGCCGTCAGCAAGCAGCAGGTGCAATAAAAGGGAGAGGATGGGAGATCACTCCGTGGCTCTGTCGTCGAGATATGGGTTACTTGACGGTAGGGAGGTAGGGATATTTGAATCTCTTGTTTTTGGGCTACAAAGATGGGTGTAGGTATTGTTTATGTATACTAAACTTATGGTAATTATTACTGAAATGTAATCCCATTTTTGAACTTTTTTAAAAGCTTATCACAGAAAATGAATATTGATGTCTTGGAAGTCCCCAAATAGGAGGATACACATACAAAAAGCTTAACCTTAAAATAGTTCTAGCGACCATCCTCAAACTTCCACAATTTTACAGATATACACAGCAGGAGCTAACAACATCAGTATTACACTACAAATGTCCTACTGACATCGACACATTGCATTACCTGTCCTGCATTTCTTGTCGAAGTCTTATATTTTCCATCCTGAGTATATCTTTATCTTGTTCTGCATCTTCTAACATTTTAATTTTTTTCCTATATTCCATTTCTTTAAACTTCAGGTCCTCCACTAAGACTGTGTTTCCCTTGGCTGAGTTTTCTATCTTTCCTAATCGATTACTTTGGAGCTGAAATAAACCATACATCAGATTATTAAAACTGCACTGAATTTAAAATAACTATCATAATATTTTCAGAGGTCAAACTTCTATATAATTAAATATATATTATACAGGTCGGTTATCAAAAGATAAGTTCAACACAAAATTATCTTTTCCTGGATTCAAATGAAATTAATAAAATTCAAACCAGCTAGTATATTAATAAACAATTTACAAAAAAACTGTTAAGGGAAAACATTTTACATTACAAATCAAACCAATAAATAGTAATACTTCCATATCTTCATTATTATCTTTAAGACTTGACAGACTTCTGTGCTATAATTCTGCTGTAGTACTATAGATTGGCTATACTTTGAGGATCAGGTTAGAGACACGCTTACATCTAGTGTATCCTGGGCTTCCTTCAGTTTGTGCATCAGTACACATCTTCTGTTCTCGCTGTCCTCCAGGGAGTTACTCATGGTTTTTAGGGATCGGTCAAGGTTGGGACTGAAGTGACTAGAAAGGGGAGTTAACTCCTGTGACATGAACGACCCATTTAGCCTGTTCATCGACTGAGACCGGACCATCGGACCAGAGCTGAACCGCGGTGTGATTGCCATGTCGTCCCCGGAGTTGAATGATCTCTTCATGGAACTGTTCAACATAGACAATAATTCTGATACTAAAAGAACATATTTTCACCTTCACATCTAACTCAAAATCCAAAGATGAATGAAAACTGATACATGGAATAGGGTTATTTTATGATTGGCAAGTTGTTTTTTCCCTGAAAAAGTCAATTTCAAAAGCTGCCAAAACAGCTAACACATTTTTCCGGACAAAAGGAGTCTCATAAAAACCATGTACTGCATAATAGACTGTGTTTTCGCTGTGTATGCTGTTTCTTTTGAATCTTTGAAATATATGTAGTTGTTAAAAGTCAGTTACTACTTGAAATATTTTGGCTCTTTCTTGGCTTTAAGATCAAAGTGTATTGACATGAAAGTTTGCTTTCCAACTCAAGTTGCCGTACAGTCCCCAGGAGAGTTCCCTAACTTTGACAAATATGATGTAAAACTATATACAGCGAAATACTAATATCAATTTATCTCTCCTTAAACGATGAGGGATGTGAATTCTACCAGTGCAGGTAGAATATTTCACTGTTATAACTTTACCGATATACATGTGTTCTTTTGAAAGCTAAAAACCATGATTTCATTTAGGAATCATTACTAATTTCAGTTATAATTTCTGGTAATTTATTCTGAGTAGAATTCTTCTTAAGTTTACTGGAGCAAAAAACACATGGCATTTTGCACAATATCCTACAAATGCCAACAAACTCCACAAGATGTCAAAGAGTCAAAAGAATAATCCTTCTTTTTGAGATTTTCAGTATTACTAAATCAATGTTACAGTCATCATGGGGATGTACCTCAAGACCTTCTGCAGAGTTGAGACTGAATTTCAATAAACAGTTTGTTATTTACATGTTTGTCTTCTTTCCTCAGACTCAACTTATTAAGATCTAAAAAGGATTCTCAGTAAAATATTATCTTTTTTAACAGAAGAATTTATAAGATACAAAATCTTTCAAATCATGGCCTCAAGAAACTGACATATGACAAGAGAAATGATAACTTGACTGGTAATGTACCTGAATCCGCTGTCGTTATCAGGGAAGACTGCAACTTTGGAGTCCTGCCATGACCCCCGTATGGGGGAGTTACGCGAGGCAAACAGGGGGGTGCTGCTAAAGTAACCCTGCATGTCGCCGCTGCCGGACTGGTCCCTCACTGGGACGGTGTCTACCTGCTGAGAAACAAACAACACTTATAAACAACAGGTATGCAATCGCCAAACTGGTCCCTCACTGGGATGGTGTCTACCTACTGGAAAACAAACAACACTTATAAACAACAGGTATACAATCGCCGAACTGGTCCCTCACTGGGACGGTGTCTACCTGCTGGGAAACAAACAACACTTATAAACAACAGGTATATAAACAACACATTCATAAAATAATAATTACAATGTATATGTACAACAAACAACAGGTACCTGGTTAGGAAGATGTCTCCATTATGACCTCATAAATAACAGTCTGGTAGAACTTTTACAAAGAGAAATAACGTTACTGACCACATCTACAACATCTGGTAACAAAATCTACTAATGAAAGCAGCAATAGTATGTTCCACAGAAAAATAACAGGAGGAAATAAGACACATTAAAATAAATCTGCTGTATTACATCTTTAAGCATCCCTGAGGCCAATGAGGACCTGCCAGGGCTTCAGAGATCACTTAATTATAATTTTGTTACCTCCAATATTTGGGATACAAACTTCAACCTTCACACTCCAAAAACTGTACGATATAAGATCTTTCATTTCTGTTAATATCAATTAAAACCTATAGGTGTATATTTTAATATCAATTAAAACCTATAGGTGTATATTTTAATATCAATCCAACATGCCTTTGCATACCTGTACAATCATTTAAATAGATCAACTGGCAGTCAACTACAAATCTAGCAGCATCTTGTAGTTGTACACAGCGTAAAAGGAATTTAATCCAAATTTAAATTAAATCAAATTTTAACATCATGTCTAGCGTATTTTTATAACAGATTGAGCGCCTATTGTGTCTGAAAGTTTTGTGTACATAATATACTTACAAACACCTTTCATCCTACAAATAACGTTATAGGGCAAAAGGTCTCCGTAAAGTCTGGAAATGTGCCAACTTTAACAAGTTGATATTAAGTTAAACTGAGGTTAAGTTGTCGGTGGTAAAGATATCAGAACTAAGGAATATTTCAGAGATCAGCACTTGTGCTTTTCCTGGGCCTCAAGCTCATGATCTATAATGTCAGTAACACATACAACTACACCATTGGATTTACTACATACACACTGTCATTCCCTCCGTCTCCTAAACTGCTGCTAATTCTGACATGATCATAGTGGACACTTGTTTATTGATGATACGACTTCTCCGATCAATATACAAGCATGTTAGTAATCATTATATATATGAAACATTTCCAAAATCACTGCAACAAAATATATAACCCAGTAACGATTCCATCATGCCATTTTCCTGAAGATATAGATATATTTCCCTATGGTTTCGCACAAAACATCCGATCAATTGTGACATGTTTAGCTAAAATATCTATTTAGCACAAATCTGTAGGATAATTATAGAATGGTTATCATATTTATATCCATTTGTTGGAAGATTGCCGCTCAAGAATGACAATACTATTATGGAGAAGATTGCCGCTCAAGAATGACAATACTATTATGGAGAAGATTGTCGCTCAAGAATGACAATACTTTTATAGCGATACATCAAAAGAAGTGTATTGTTGGGCAAAGAATCGGTACAGTGTCGGTCCTGTATACCTGATTGTGACCTCATTGAAAAACTAAAGTAAAGACCAGGCAATGTTTAAACGTCCGACATTATAAGGCACTCAGAACTAACACACTGTGGACAGCGTAATTACCGTCAGTATTACACTAAAATCAGTGGTCTGAATGAATTGTAAAATACACAACATGTCTAGTATTTAAAGTTTGATCATTACCATTGGATTAAGAAAATAATAAATTATATTGGAAAAATCTGAACATTCATAATCCTATTTCACACAATTCTTCACTTTTTCTTTTACAATTCACAAAAAATTATATTCAGCTTTAATAAATGGTTTATGTATAAGCTTCCAGGAATCCAATAGCACAAGTGTGAACTTGTTGAGAATAAATCTTACCCTCCATTAGATTTTAGATTCATCAAACCCTGACCCCCACACCTTATTACATACATAAGGATTGCTAACAGGAAGTAATCTTCTTTCTGGAAATCTATTAGTGTTAATAAAATCTGTTTTATTAGAAAACCATTCTAACTTTACTATCATGTTTAAGTACATTTGAATATAAAACCCATTTTAAATCACTTATCTGGCATGATATTGACTGTCCTGATTCTCGAAGTAATCTTGAATTACCAGTAATAAATTGGTTATGATGTTCGCTGCCGGTATAAAACACTTGACATATTTTTATTAATAATCCCGCTATCTGAACCTTTGCCAAGACACTACGTTACCGCTATCAACACCAGGCAATTATCATTATCTACATTTGAATTTAATCGAATGTCAGTCTGAATTTAATCAAGTTTTAATGATATGCTGGTGGTGACTGAAAATCTTTTCAGGCTGCTGATTTCAAATACTAAACAGCATTAATCACCTCGCATGTCTTATCACATAATTATACAGGCGCATATCAACCTATGTAGCAAAAGACCCCGGGCTTACACATCATTTTTGACAAAAAAACAAACAAAAAAAGCAACATAGACTAGGCTTATATGACATAAAATATTAAAAAGCAAAATATTTGTAAAATAATAGGCGAAAATGATGTTTTCTTGCTTTAAAAGGGCCATTGAAACTGGCGCCAGAACATGGGAGAACACTTCTCAGGCGTTCTAGAAAACAAAATTCTCCCGGGGGAGACCCCCCATACCCCCACTGATGGGAAAGACCCCATCCAATACCCTCCCCCTCCTCGCGCTGCGTGCTTCGGGGTGCTGCCTTTGGCAGCACTTTTGATCATTGGGCTTACACATTGAAAACCCGTTTGTTACGTCCCTGTTATATATATATTTTTTTTTTATAAATTGCTCCTTTGGGAACATTTGTATGGTCAATAGAGCCATATGCCAGTAATGCATCGTGGGACCTGAGTGTAAATAATAGTGTATAAATTCATGTTTGATTGATAGAGAGCTCCCAAATAAACTGATAGTTTGTTTCTTCTATACTCCATCACTGCAAAAATTGTATGATAATGACATCATCAAACAGTCACTGATTTCACCATTTTCTCAACAGAGTTATTAAACACAAGGACAAAGAAATACAACGATCCAAACCAAGAGTGATGATAATAATTCCATGTATAAAATCTACCCAGACATGGTGGTATCAGGCGCTGATTCTAGCAAAAATGCCACCCCAAATAGATGATCATTGGGGATGCCATTTTTACCGAAAATCGACCTAAACCTCCCAAATGTGTAAAATTACTCTAAACACCTTAGTTTAGGTCCAAATATAGTTGTTACAAATTCTCAGGTCCCTGTGATTCTTGTCTGTACAAAGTCAAATAAAACTTTTTACAGGAATTAAGGCTATTGAAATCAGTCTTATGATGTTCCAAAGCACAGTTCTAGATATTACAATCAGAGATTTAATGTGACACACAATCTCTGCCCAACGTCTCTCAAATCATTTGATTTTACATTGTAATGTATAGCTGTTCTGGTTTGTCCATACAAACTAGCCCCACTCATCTAACCATCTCAAGTCTTCTCAACTTTGATCCCCATTGAGTTAGCATTACTGTAGAATTTTTCTAACTTTGAGATGCTTCAGTTAAGTTCTTACAAAAATATGTTCCCTGGTCCAATAAATGATAATATCTTGAATCAGGATCATGGAGAATCATACATATATTAGCACAGTATAATACGTATATTTCTATTTCGTAAGCCAGGTGAGATACAATGTATACAGATATTTTAATTGTAGACAGTCTAAGTAGGGATATGGAGTATTGAAGGACTTTAATTACATAAAAAAAGAAACCTGAATTGATATTTCAATTTTACCCGTAATTCTGCTGCAAAAAACGTTTCTGTTGATTATGAGCAGGCCATGATACAACGAAACATAATACGTGCTAAAAGCAAGGAGAACATTTAAAATCACTTTGATATTAAAGCAGGTGAAAATGTTCACACACGTTATCAGATAGATTACATTATAACTATAATGTGTCTCAAATTAACTCAAGTTAATGTCAAACGGATTTTATGAACTAGCTACCATCATTTACCTGTCCCTCTCTACAGTAAATATAGCGTACAACACTGATATCAAAGCTGGTCTGTACTTGTGTAATATTAGGGCTGACAAGTATAGCATGTCAGAAACAAATTTCAGTATTTTTAAAGTGGATATTATCTCACAGCCTTGGTAAAATTAAAATTACGACTGCAACAAGGTGAAATACATTTACCTGAAGATAACAATCGGCCAGGTAATAATAATTACAAGCATATGAGAAACACCTGAATGGAGCCCTGTACCTACTTCACCTTGACATTATCTATCCCTCTGGGAGTTAATGCGAATGTTATATAGATTTCAAAAATATATGTCCATGAGAATGGCATTTTCTGAAACACAAGAAATGCATAGCTGACAGAACCAAAGGTTTTGTTATTGGTCCTCTCAATGAAAGAAACATAATTTAATTTAAATCAGACCAGTCACCCAACATAGGGTGTTAGATAATTCTGTATAAACACTGTCTGTATGTAATAGGAGATCAAATAATTTCCCATTGTTTCAATTTTCCAAGACAAATATGACTACTGAAATCAGATCAATATTCAACATTGACATATATTTACTTAGGATGAGTATGTTACAGGACAAACATTATTATTAAAGATCTCCCAAGAAAACTCCTTGAATCCTAACTTGTCATGGAATAATGCATCTAGATCATGTTCAGGTATCTGAAGTGTTGTAATCTCTAAGAAATCTGATAGCTACAGCTATGAGCTGTAGAGAGATGCAAAGTACTTTTAGATCTATAATAATGACCAAGTTTTAAAATTGATATTTATGGGAGTGATGAAATCAGTCTGAAGCTCCATACTAGATTTTTGAGATCTGCAATGCCAACAACAAAGTTTTGAAATCTTCCTAAAGCT